AAGTCAGTCATCAGTTAACAATCATTGAACAAAGGAAGAAAGAGGGGAGATCCGGTCATTGCTTTGATGATCGAAATATAAAGCTGACATTACCAAAGACTCCATTGCTGCTTGGCGATTTTGATTCGGTCAATATTTTACAGCCCCCTTGGATCGTTCGAATCCTTCAAGGTCAATCTGGCTACCAGTCACCAATCATGACACTTCCAAAGAAACAGAAAAAGGTTCTCCAAAAGGACAATTAGGATCCACCTAAGCACCGTTGAGCTTAACAGCAAAAGACACAATGCCGTCTTTATTTTGCCGAATAATCAGAACCCACAAGACTTCTCACCATTGCACGTCTTGATCGACAAAGAAAGCGAAGGGGAAATACAACGGAGATAAGAAGCGGAATCCGAGGAGCTTTCAGTTGGACTAGTAACCAGCTAGTAGCCACGCGACGGGCTCCAATTAATTGCTAAATGAGATCCGCCGGCATCGGGGTCCAGGTGGATGCGACTATTGCTCCAGGTTTTCTAAAGCCCGTCTTCCAGAATATCAACATGTTTGGAAATTAGATTGCGGCATGGTAGACAAAGTGGACGACCTAATGGCAACTATTGAATCGGCTCTTGCTTCTTTTTGTCTACTTTATCCGGTACGAGCAGGTGGTATTACTATCTTACCCCCATCGCCACTAGTATCGTTCTTTTTTCCATGATTGACTTCTGCACTCCCATTTTTAGGGATGGATATGGAGCCCGGTGGGTTCTAAGTACTGTACATGGTATGGCGGTGGCGACGAATGGATCGCTGCCTTCGTTCTCGCATTTGTACTCCGTACACAGCGCAAAGTCGGGATCTGCTTGCATGATTCATGCATTCGTGTCCATCTCGGGCTTTGGTCTTACCTTGCTGACCTCTAAAGGGGAAGGGGGTAGGCAGAGGCCTCTCGAAGCAGCGACCTGCGCAAGCAAGAGTTTCATGACATCCCTCGGTCCAATGGAAACAGCGCGACCTGCAAATCAGGTCACAAAGTACATGTCAGTAGCAATGTAGCTCCAGGCGTATAGGTAAGGTGCTGAATTCGACATAGGTTATAGCAATCGATTGCTTGATACAGGATAGTGCGTTCCCTTTCCAGCTTGAGCCTGCATATGACAGGCGGCTCGGATGTCCGCTATATCAGGCAAAGCTATCTCTTGGACTTTCGTCTACTGTACAAATTGCAGCACGTAGTACATGTTGTTCCTTTAGTCCCGGCCGAAAGTAGGCCTAGAATTCTCCGAATACACTCTAAGGCTTCGGCCTTGATCGGCCATACCTGGTTCATTGACCAGGGTCCTTCCGGCGGCCGATGGTGCTTTTTTGCATTTCAAGGATCCCATGCAGCTTGTCACAGTGTTCATGCACCCCAAGTCATGAGTCAGGATTATGAGTGGGAGTAAAATTGAGACTGAAACTAATCGGTAGACGGGCATGAATTGCATCGCTATCAGGGTGTTTGATAGTAAGCACAGGGCCCCGGCTGCAAGCTGGTCTTTACTTTCATTTTTTGATAACCCCTGGTAGGCGTGATGCCGCAGTGATTTCTCAGATACATCATACCAGGTCTATCTATCTAGATTGAGCGGATTTACTAGTCTAAAGGTCCTTGAATGGCATTATCGTGGTCTAGAATCTAGAATGACAGTGTACAATATATAAACTTCCTCTATGGCTGAATGCTCTTTTTTTTAATTTTTGAACTCGTCAGACAGGGATGTATTCCAAATATACAGGAGTAAAATGTATGTATCCGATCCATGACCTTCTGCTAGTATTCCCGGCACTATCAAATGCATTACTTAGCTGCTGGCATCTGATAGTAGATTGGATATGAACAAAAAGACGCTATATGATCGTCCCACTTTGCCGTGTATGTTATGTTAAGAGTTACCATATTCCCGCAAGCTGCAGATGCGGCTTCCAGCTACATGTTTACGGTGGTATGTTTGACAGCTGCTTGTGCATGGGTATCTGCATTAGCGATCAGTCTAGACCATTTTCATTTCCTCCAGCCAGCGCCAGCCAAATCAATCCTGATGCTGCAGCAGGTAAAAGAAGGGGCCGTTGGTCTCAATTAGAGGACAACAAAGAAACATCGAGGACGGCATAGAGGCCTAGAAAACTGAGTTTTTGTGACAGCGGAGCTACCTGTGTGTCGGGATCTACCTGTAGTCAGGTATTTGGAATCCTTTGTGCACAACTAAATAAGACAGCTGCTTAAGGTATTTAGCATGTTAATTGCGCTACATGATCCATATTTAGCATAGCAAAAAATCGCAACCCGAGACTTGGGTCATATACTTCTTGCTCTATTGTACAGTACGGTACCTTGTCCTTCCATACTTTAGGTTCTTTCCATCGCTAAAAATGGCAGCGTTGAGCCGCCCCTAATGGAGCGACAACCAATGCGTGTCCACCTCGGTCCTCGTTCGGAAGACGGTGTCGAAATTTGACTCCACAGAGAACCGAAGAACCGCCCAATTGATTAAAATAATAGTGAAAAGCATCAGAGCGAAGAAACGGAAGAAAGCGAAAAATAAACAAACAAACAAGACACCACATTTCTCCATCTCCATCTGTCTTTAGAAGCATGGCTACCTAGACCCCAGTGGCCTCACATCCACCTTCTTCTCCCGACGCCACATGAAGCCCCCGATGGAGAAAAGAAGCTCTTAGTCCCCAAAATTTCCTAGCAGCAAGCCCCAGCATCGAGCTTGAGTTTCTTGGGAACACATCACAACCAATGACCATCTCCGTGGACTAGATCTGTCGCTCCAACAGGAAGGAGACTGGGCGAACTAGTGACCATCCGCGAAATGAGACCGATCCGTGTGATCGACCGTGACAGCACAACAGCCGAACGATCGGCAATCTTCAATCAAATCAACCACCGCGACTCGCGACCACTGGACAAGGGGATATATGGAATGGACCCCGCTAATACACGGTTCAGAAACGTCAAGTTTGTGACAGAAAAACGGCCATCGCTCTTTGGATTCCCCACTACTAATGCGCTCTCAACGATAACCTTTTTCGGTCGGGCTCGAGAGGAGGAGAAAAACAGGTGGTGAGGAACAAGAAATAAAAGAGCGGGCTCCACTTGGTCAACTCTGCGGAAAATGAGTCCTGTTGCTGGTATTCCCCGTAATTGGATCCCCGATATCTCCTACTACTCCCTTACTCCCTTGATCTGGGCCTTTTCCCTCGGTTTCCTTTGGGGTTGGTCGGAAAGGAGATGTTTTGGGGAAGATTGCATGATTATCGGTAGGAACGGGAAAACTGGTACATACGTAGTAGTTGACTAGTACTGTAGGCTTCTTGATGCTCTACTGGCTGGCTTCTAAGCAAGAACAGAGGCTCCAGGCCAAGAAGTTTCGACCTCTTGGCAGCCATTCGTACCCAGGTTCGTTCCCCGGTGGCTGGGCAGTGTGGATGCTGACTGAAACAGCCTGGTGCGCACAGCAACGAGACAGAAATACTCCAGCACAGTACCCCCAAATTCATCTCGCACGACCAACAATAATACCAGAGGTCTTGAGTAGCAGAAGATAATCTTCGGGCGGCAATCAAGCCGGTCTCGCCTCGGTGTCGGCCTGGTATCCGGAAACCCCCCTCGTACTTTGGTGCATGCGATCAGTCTACGACGATGAATTCCTCTTCTGTAAGAAGGGCTCATCATTACCTACTTTCACAGAGGCAAGCCAAGGCAACATAGGACACTGCATATGTGCTTGCAGTGCAGGAGAGAGCTCGACGACTGCGTTCCATTCCTCTCGCCCTAGGATTCATGTGTCACCGAGGTCATGTTTTAGCCAAGCGCGCATTCGCTGCCTACTTGTCTCCATCCTTGACCCGCCTCTATCCATTCCCAACCGGAGAGGAGGGGGTATGGCCAACACTGGACATGTCTCTGAATGTCCCCAGTAAGCTTTGCTAAGAACCAGGGTCATCAATCCCCGAGCCTAGCCTGACTCTGTCCCACCTGGGGGTACTTTTGCTCCCTTTGCACACTGGTGGCCCATTGGGGGCCCGTTACACAGGGGTGAGATTGAGGGTTGGTTGGTTGGCTGAGGCTGGCAGTGGAGAGAAGACCGACAACGGAAGTCAATCAAGAACCGGCGGGCGCGATCAAGAAGGGCACATCCTTTTAGGTCGCGTGCAGATTGCATATGCAATGCAAGTTTCCGTATGGAGTTCCGGTCCGATCGAGTTCATCAGCATTAATCATGGTGTCTTGGTCACCACTGGTCTTGTCCCTTTGTGGAGGAAGATAGCCCGTTCCAGAAGTTGCCCGTCCAATCACGGGCTCGTGGGGTGGACGTATGAAACGTATGCTTCCTCTTTCTTCAAGCTTTGTGTGGAGGCAATTGGTGTATCTCTTTTGTGAGCTGTCTTGAAAATGTGCAGCATCGCGAATGGTGCGGTACGTAGCCGTTATGACAGCGGGTAGATGCTCGATCTGGAGTAGTTTGTGGGAGAGGCGTAGACTGTGGTCCAGATGCACAGCTCGTGCAGTACTTTTGTTTGAAGATTCCCTCGAGGCATCAATCAGTTACTGCTCCTTTCTTTGGGTATTTCCATACATGTCATCAAGGGTGATGATGGGATTGCTGTGTTGACTTGTGGATTGTCCGATGGGTGTGGATAGATATCTTAGTTGCTTGGCATTCGATCTCTACCGAACCGACTGTAAACCTCTTCAGATTTACTCCGTTTTGTGAAGTCAATATAGATCATTCATGATACAACGCTTGATATTAGGACTTCCAATGTTGCAGGTATCCATGGTTGATATCTTCAAGACAAACTGCGGGGAGGTAGAGGCTTACGTGACCGCTTGTCATGCACGTGACTAGACGTCACCTTTGACTGAGTATTGTTATGTTGACCAACAACCTCCCATCCAATACTCTTGCCCTCCTCGCATGTTCTCTCACCACCGAATAAATCTCAATACACCCCTCTCCAAGATGGTCCTTTCGATCCTTACGATATCCAAAATCCCAACAGTGTCATCTCTGTACCGAGCTACCAGCCTCCGTCAGACCACTACTGAGCGGACTCCGGTACAGTCTCTCAATGATATCGTCTCCGCCGTCCGCTACGATATCACCAAGCTTGAGGTCGACTGCATCGTGAATGCCGCTAATAGTTCGCTGCTGGGTGGTGGCGGCGTAGATGGTGCTATCCACAGCGCCGCCGGACGCCAACTTACCCGGGAATGTGCCACTTTGGACGGATGTGAGGTCGGTGATGCCAAAATCACCTCTGCGTACCACCTGCCATGTAAGAAAGTTATTCACACTGTCGGCCCCATTTACTTCACAGAGTCCGCCAAGGACCCTGAGCGCCCCGAGAGTCTGCTTCGCTCCTGCTACCGCCGCAGTCTGGAGGTTGCTGTTGAAAACGAGATGAAGTCCATTGCCTTTGCAGCCATAAGTACCGGTGTCTATGGCTACCCCAGCAAATGGGCTGCTCTTGCTGCCACCGATGAGGTGCGGAAGTTCCTGGAGTTGCCTGAGAATAAGAACAAGCTGGAACGAGTGATATTCTGTATCTTCGAGGTGAAGGATGAGATTGCATATGAGAGGGCGCTTCCGTGGGTACTCCGGTTCTTTCATTATATCCTATTTGGACCGAGACACGTGAGCTAACAGCGATATGCAGTAAAGTCTTCCCACCCACAGAGGCAGACTTGGCTTCTAAAGAAGAATCGACTACGGAGACAGAAATCGGCTCTGAGAGAGATTCAGCTTCCTTGGAGGACCCTGATCCCAAGGAAAAGTAGGATGCCACGGCCCGTAAGAGAGACTTGGATACCATGGAAGATGTGCCCCCCGTCACGGACGATTTACCTGCCAAGAAAAACCTGACTCCCAAGGACGACTTGGCCCATCAGGATGAAGTAGTCTCTGTGAAAGACTCGGACGCCAAGGAAGATTTGGATTCCATGAATGACATGGCTCCAAATGGTGACATTACCCGCAAAGATGAACCGGCGCTCAACGAAGACTTAGAATCCAAAGTTACTGCGACGTGAGTGCGATGGTTCGGACGCGTTCGTAGTGTCCCTATGGACACTTCCCCCGCTTGCTCTGACAATGTCTCTCCTTCTGGCATCGTACCGCTTGTTTCCTCTTTTTGATACAAGAGTTTATGCCCCTTATGTCTGTATGATTAACGAATTATGACTGGACGATGTCTGCAAGAAAAATCTCAGGCCTGAGGCCATTCAGCCTGAACAAACAATGCAAACATCAAGCTTCTTTATCACTTTATCAATTTCCCATAGTCACGGAAGCCTCCGCGGCCAGCTCCAGTAGTATATTCTACGAAAACGCTCTCCTACGAAGACCATAAATTGTCGACATGCATTCCTAGCTGCGACTCCCTGACCTTAGATTGCCACTCTCGTCCCGCAAACCCACAACCCACCCTCCGCCCTTCTCCGCAAACATGCCACCACCCGACCGAAAACCCTTAAGCTCAAACATACGCGCCCTCGACCACAAAGATGCCAAAATCCTCGCGCAAACAGGACGACTCCCCTCAAAGAATGCACCAGCTTCTTCGCCAGTCCCTCCACCAGCGCCATCATCAGCCCCAGAATCACCAGGCCCCAGCCTGGCTCGCAAAAGGCATCTCCACTCCTTCTTCTCCAACTTCCGCCAACGCTGCGCAGCTCTCCCCCGCCCAGTACGGCTCATGGGCCGGGGCGCTCGCGCTTTAATCCCACTCATTCCAATCAGTCTTTTCTTCTCGGAGCATGTTCTGCAAATAATGTGGGTTAAGGGCCCGTCGATGACGCCGTATCTGAACGAGGACTATGACCAAATGCAAACGAAAAGCGATATGGTGCTGGTAAATATGTGGTCGATGCATCGGCTACTGCCTTGGAAGGATAAGCGGAGGTTGGAAAGGGGGATGGTGGTTACATTCCGGTATGGATTTTCGAACCCTGAATCCATACATCCTCAGCGTATTGCTAGGACGACTGTCTGCGCACTGTTGCGCTCAAGTTCAATGCCCAGAATACTAACGAATGCCTCGGCCTCTGTCTAGGTCACCCGGCAATTCATCCCATGTCGCCGTCAAGCGTGTCATTGGTCTCCCCGGTGATCGTATTACTACCCGTGAACCGTGCATGAAAGCTACTCAGATCGTACCTTACAATCATGTTTGGCTGGAGGGCGATGCAGAGGACCCGGGCAGATCGATGGATAGCAATACTTATGGGCCCGTCAGTATCAGTCTGATCAGCGGTCGAGTCATTGGTGTGCTGACTCCACGAATGCGCTGGTTGGATTGGACAAAGTGGGAGTCTGGGCATGTGGATGATGCTGGGCCGGATAGTCAGTTGGGCCCTAATTATCGGCAGGAAGTACGCGATCGTGTCTTAAAGGATGCTGTCAAGTTGGAGAAACCACCTGATTTTTGAAGCTCGCATTGAAGGGGGCGTAGGGCGGAAGGTATGTGGTGAGCATCTCCGTCCATGATAGCGTTGGGACGCTGTTTACACTGTATATAGCAATATCTCTTCTGGGATATCATTGTACTATTACTATTCATCCGAAGCGTGTACTATGTATAGATGAATCAAAAAACCATTCCCGAAAACAAACCAACAAGCTCCCAAAATGCTAGATGCGTGTGCGTGCCCGGGACGAAAAGAAGAAATTTGCTAAAAGGAAGAACAAGAGCAGAAATGGGTATTATAATGAAACAATACGGATATCCTCCTGCCTCTCCTGCTGCAATCGGTCAATCTCCGAGGAGATACTCAACACCCACCGGTCTTTCTCGACACGGCTGCGGGCCTTGAAAACGATCGTTCGACCATGTTTGCCAAGGGCAGAGACATGTCGCAAAGTTCGAGTGGCTTTACCTTTTGGGCCTCTTTCCTCAGCACGAAAGTAGCTCTTTCGCAGAGGTTGCCAAATCACAAAAGTGATAGCTGAGTCTTCATCACGACTAGTGAACGTATCGGATGCAAGATAGACTCGCGGAAGGGCGCGCAAGCCCGGGTTATTGCTGTCGAATGTCTGATTGGCATAGAGCAGATCGGCCTCGGTCGCTAGGCCGGAGTAAATGTAGCAGTCACTGAGGTCGATGGTAGCATCGTGGTCTTGATGAATATGTGGAATTTCAGCGCCATTGCGCTGCCGAAGTGTACTCCGGAAGATGACAAGTTTGCCTGACGTAAGGATCACATGGCATTTGGCAAAGGTGGAGTGACGACGGGGTTTGCGATAGAGTTGACCAGACATCTAAGGTGTTGTTAGCGCGCTTTCTTTACAGTAGAGATTGTATCCTGGTCGAAGGGTGTCTCCATACCTTGATAGGCCGACAACCAGACAATGCACACATATTGTGCAAATGTGGAGATGTCTCCGCCTTCTTGACCTCCCACTTTTGCGCAAACTGGCCCATGATGGATTCCATTTCTTCGTCGATTTCCAAGAGCTTCAAATTCCGCTGTCGCATGGCTTGGAGTTCGGCGGCATCATCGAAAAAGCGGGTTCTCCAATATTTCACCAGGCCATCGAGCCGCTTCACCCATTCGTCTCTCGTCGCAGCGTCATAAGCCTGCAGGCGGATAACGAGGTCATTCTCAAGTGCGAGTTCAAATGTCCGATCATGTTCTAACTCTTTGGTTGTGCCGTCATCTCCGCGAGTATCCTCAGGCTCGGGGTGAAAATCTACAGCAGGCCCTTCGGAAAGGTTTGGGTCTGCAGGGCTGCTCCCGGGCTGCATGTTACGAACTTCGCGTACTTTGCAGAGGTCAATGTACCCATCAGCCTGGCCGATGTTGTGTACATTTCTCTGTAGCTGCGCATATGCCTCCTCATCGTGGCGCTGAACGAATTCAGAGTTTCCATTCGTCAGCCACGAAATTTCACCGTTCTCGATGGGATATGGTTCGATGTCCCAAGACATAGGCATCTCCTCTATAATCTGGCGAGCAGTGGGAATATTTGACTCCTCTATTGGAGCAAGTCTTGGCGGTGTGGGTGGACATGCCTTGGCCGGTCGACAAAACAGGAGGAAGTGATCTTGCGAGTAGAAATACAGTCGCTTAAAGAACATCTTGTTCATCCGTTGATGCAGCCCCTTTTGTGATGTAAGCCGAATCAAGAAACCCTCGACTGGCGAAGGTTCCACTTCTTTGGCGCCTGCACTTTTAGTTACCGTAGGGTAGTGATATCGCGGTCGAAGCTCAAGCTCGTGGGTTGACTGCATCGCGATTGTCCTGTACATATTCTCCTCGTTGGCACCAAATATCCATTCAAGACGGTCGTACCTCTTCCAGGCAAGGCCCATCTTCTCTGTCTTTGACCAAGCCTTGAGAACTTCGGACCACTCAAGGCGGCCTTCAAGGATTTCAATACAGCCTTTGATGATGGCAGCAGCTGCAAGTTTCTCATCTTCTGCGGCTCGGCTGAGGACTGTAGTGTGCTGCATATCCTTACTCTTCACACCAAGCTTCGCCTCTAGTTGGTCAAATGGGTGTTTGAATACCAGTGAAACACCTAGATCAGGAACGTTGATGGGAAGCTTGCTTGGACGCCTCCAGCCGAGCACCTGCCGAATGAATGTATACCACTCGGCGGCGTGGACTGTCGATTTAGGACGGACGATGTAGATTTTGGTGCCATGTCTGCAGGGGTGCCAAATCACTATGGTCTTGTCCAGAGCCGAATAGAGGTTGACCTTGGTGTCCCTGTGGTTCAGCCGTACTTCATAGTAGGGTTTTGATTTGTTGTGTGGGGTTTGCGCGTCTGGAATTACACGAGTTCGGTACATTTGTAAGGCAAAGGGGGTGTCTGCTGTTGAACCTTTCCGAAAAACGACCAGAAATTCTCGCCATTTGTCTACTGTTCGAGTTTCCATCCTCAGGGAGTCGTTTTCCGTGTAATCATCTGGCAACGTATCCTGTAGAGTCTCCTCCACGGAGACCAGCATTTTCTCTGCTTTGATGATCTCACCGTCTTGTACTCCCCGCCGGCGGGGGCGGTTTGCGGAAATCGTACCCTGAGTTCTGGCAATTCGAGAGCGTAATCTCTGTTGTTTGTCCATGACGTTGTCGTCCAGGTTGAATTTTGCCATCTTCCGGGTAATTTTTCGCTGTATTGGCCCATGTCGTCCTGAATCTTCTGGTTCAGAGTCATCTTCATTTTGAGGCTCATGTCGGTCGAGCGTAAATCGAGATACGCCCGATGCTTTACTTTTGAACCTCTTGGTGATTTTCGGTCTCGGTTTGAGCAAGTGTGTGGTGGAATCAGCTTCGCTTGGCACCGCAGAAGCACTTGAGGTTAGGGGACTCGCCGTGCTAGCCCCAGCGATGGCCAGGTGCTGCGAATTTTGCGATTGGGATTGCTGGGCAGGTGTTGGTCTATTGGGCTGGATAGTAGACGAAGTTCTGTCCGTATTCACACTACTGGAAATGTCCTCCCTAGCTGTCACGAACGATGAAGAGGCATTCCCATTGTCATAGATATCGTCGGTTCTTTTGGTGTTCGTTTGCGCACTTGCTCGGGGTGTTGCGTCAGAGTCCTCTTCAGAACATGGCTCCTCTTCGGAAAATGGTTCAATGGCCTCTGTCTCCTCTGGAGGGTGGGAGAGAGTGCGCAGCTCTCCTGATGGTTCCTCGGCAGTCTCCTGGTTGTCATCTTCACTGTCGTCCTCGGCCGCGGATTCTTCAACTGTGTTACTCAGTGTAATAGCGACCTCCTCATCCGAAGCACGCGCAGGGGTTTCCACCTGGTCAATGTCTTGTTGGGTGTAATGAGAGGCCACGGGGTCGACAGAGAACGAAAGCGTTTGCGATGTGTAGTTCCTGAACCGCAGTCGTGACCGGTACCATGACTTGCGGTGTCCATTAATCCAACCCTCTGGAATCGGTCCGATAAAGAAGCGCCGGCTAGTCATGTACAAGTGATGAGCCGAGGCATGACGCTATAACATAGAGGCCGTCAGTTGGTGTCCATGTAAATATTACTTTTACTTTGGTGGGGCTCGCGAATTCATAAATAACCTACCAGTTTTTGCTCCGTATGGGATCCCACTTGCAAGCCCTGGTACTGCTCATCCTGCAACGCAGGAGAGCTCTCCGAGGGCGCCGACCCGTTGGGCTGTTGCGAAGTGCTCATGGTATTAAGTGTATTACCTACCAGAAGTAGGAGTCAATGACCATGGACTGCACATTGAGAAAAAGAAGCTCTGCAGCGGGGAAAGGAGGCGGACTGGATCGTGGGATGATCGCCCAGACACGATGGGACTCAATAGCTCAGTCGCGATCGATCGGATGGAAATCAGGATACCAATGACGTAACTTGCAAACAGAGCAAACGAGCTTCAGCATGTTTGCATGATTTGCATCGTTTCAAAGTGCCCCGCTCTCTAATTGGCTTGCGTGGCTCGCGGCGGTGAGCGGACGGGACAGCTGTTGACATTATTCCCCGCCTCGAAGTAGGCTGGTCCTGCCCCTTTGTTGCTTCTTCCTTTCTGCACTGCAATTGTTCCCATTGTTCCATATTTGCATTCTCACTATGTCTCGCACAAACGAAGTCCACGCCCCTGGCACCTGGTTCAGCACCATCCAGCGATCCTTCGAGGAGGTGCCAATTGATACCGCCAATGGCAACGCTATCTCTACTGTGGAATTCCTCGAGGCCGCTGGTGCCTTGGTTTCTCTGTTTGGTTCGTGTTACCCGGATCCTGCATGGGGACTTCGATACTGATGCTGGATGAAATGCAGACGTGATTGGTGGTGTGGGTTTGGCTGCAGTCAAGAGCGATCTGTCTGGAAACATCGCGGTATGTTGGCCACCTATGTTTGAGGAGCTAGAGGAACGAGCGGACAGGTCTGGATAAAGCAGTCGCTTACTTCTATGGCAGAAAGTTCAAGAGAGGTACAACAAGGCTCCCGCTGAGTCCCAGACTCTGCAGGATCTCGTGCGAAATGAGTTGAAGTCGGGACAACACAAGGCTACTGAAGGTCTACTTTGGCTGGTGCGGTAAGTGTTGAACATACAATCCCTATCCTGTGTTATCACCGGTCCAATATATTTACACGCAAAGTTGGTTATCTGCTCGGGCTATTACTAATATTATCTAATGGGAACAGTGGTCTTCAATTTACCGCCGCTTCCCTTCGCCTGAGCATCAACAACCCCTCGGAGGAGCTCAACGCATCCTTCTTGGGGGCCTACAAAGCACCGGGTGGTCTCAGCACTCACCACGGCTACCTGATCCGGAAGGGTACCGAAGTTGCCATCAAGTCCGGTGTGCCATACCGGAAGGACTTCTATGCCAAGCTGGGTGACAACCAGGCCGATGTCAACGCTGCCCTGGAGAAGGAGGTCAAGGCCCTCGAGAACGTGGTGGATATCCTGCTCAAGTTCCAGGCCACTCCCGAGGCCCAGTGGAAGTAAGATAGTTGTGTCATACACGAAAAAGCTGGCTGTGGTAACATGCATTCTGCGTGTGGTCGGCCTTGTACATATCGAACCTCTGTCTCTGCGAGCGCATGAGTTTGAATGGCGAAATATAATTGCCCCGGTGGCTTAGTTGTGAATTTGGTGAGACTGGTGAGTTGCCCATGTGTCTGGGACCTGAGACACCTCACTGTCATAGTGCAATGATGTGTAAGACCAAAGCGCGAGCAGTTGTAGCTCTTGATTGTCTACCACGCCTGTAAAGTATGGATTCGGAGTGAGACACATATGACGGGCCAAACGTAGTAATAAAGAATAAGGTTTTCGATCCCAACGAACATCAGATTGATGGATGACTCAACAAGCTGTATGAAGTGAAGCACTCATCCTAAAATTCGATCAAAAGTTGGAAAACAAGAAAAAAATGATCTCAGGTTAATTGTAGGAATAGCCGAACGCGGGGGTCGAACCCGCAACCTTGAGATTAAGAGTCTCACGCTCTACCGATTGAGCTAGCCCGGCAGGGCTGGTTGAAGAGCGAAAAGAAATTTGGCTACATGAATCTGTTCTCGATTTGAGCCGATAGACACGAAAATCGAGAATCTCGATTGGGAAGTGGAGAGGAAGGATTCCACGAAGGATTTTGTGGCGGCCTTAGCTTGATATTGGTGCCCGTGAAGAACATAAACATTAATAAATTCTGGAGGAAAAAATGGGTCTAAAAGCTTGACCGACTGCCCTAGCTTCGATTTTGACAATAATTCCTGGGCAACGGTAGCCAGTCGGGTTTCTGCATATATATATCGAAGGCTATTTGGACGCCCGGGATCCATCTAAGGTTGGGTATATACAGTCAGCGTTCAAAAGTATTTGTAACACGGTACATGCCCCACTTTTTCTTCTGCCGGTAGAACCCCCTAAACCCTCAATTCTTCAATAACTAGTGTGCCACCCTTCGTATCTAATTACCTCCTCTACACGATGAGGCATCGTCTCAGCTAGATTAACAAAGTGACGAATAGTCAGATTTTCCCACGCGTACTGTGCAGTATCAACTAATTCAGCTTGAGTATCCTCGTTGTTAGGCATATCGCGTAAATCTGGTCGAATCCTTAAGATATCGGCTTTTAATAAGGCCCAGAGGTTCTCAATTAGATTAAGATCAGGCGAGTAGGGCGGCTAATCCATCACAGTAATATTAAGCTCGCGTAGTAGAGCGCGTACAATAATCGCAGTATACGTAGGTGCATTATCGTGCTGAAATATTGCGTCTTCATTACTAAGTAAGGTCGGTGAGATCCTCTAGTAGAGATCGTGGATAACCTCCTTCGTAATGCCCTTCTTCTCTGCGTCTGGATCTCCGTAGAGTAGAATTAAGCCAGTCTTTCGTGGTGAGCCTGTAAAACATGCCCAAAACATCTGTTTTATCTGCTTTCCTTTTGAAAGAGACACCTGTATACCGTGTGTACGCTCCTGAAGCTGTTGCTACGGCGGAACGAAGGTCTACTCCTTACGAGCACCCTGCCCGCGCTCAATTATAGTCTCATCAGACCAGAAAACTCGCTTCCAATCTTCTAGTGTGTAGTGGCGATAGGTAAGAGCCCAAGAAAGTCGTTTTACTGTATATTCAGGCGTAAGATATAGTCTATCCATCTTGCGCCACTTCCGGAGACCCATTTCGTGGGTTAAGCGCCAGATTGAAGAGGGTTTAACCTTATAATCAACCTCTTTCAGTAGATCTTCGCGTGTAATAGAAGGATTCGACTGAATTGCATCGTAAATTCGATCGCGATCTTCCTTAGTAAGCTTACGTGGCGTACCAGTGCGAGGTAAAGCTGCACTATTAACGCGCTTTCTCTCCATAGTTAATGTGTAGGAGATAGTTGATAGAGGGATATGAGGAAACCGATGCTTCTGAATTCGACGTGCGCCCCATTTAAGGGTGAATTTCAATTCGCATATACGCTCGCGCGTATATGCATCTAGCTCTTTACCGCGCATGAGGGGCTATTGTAGCTATTTACTACTACTATCCTGCGCGATTCGATCGCGTGGGCGAAGTCGCGTGTAGCTAATTTAGGTAGGCGGTGTTAAAAAGCGGTAGGGGCGGGAAGTACTGTGTTTCAAATACTTTTGAACGGCCACTGTAGGTACGAACTCCATCTCCCTCTGGCACCATGACCCATCACATAACCAGAGTATATTCAGAAATTAAGCGTTCCATCAACAAAAATGCAATATATACAATATGATGCTATTCTCCACTCTCCGAGACATAGAATGTCTTCTGCACGTTCACGCCTTGAAAAAACGTACCCTGATTCGTCTGCTGCGTGGGATTAAGATCCTCCTGACTGCTGGTGCGACTACCTCGACTCGAGGCATGAACAGTTGTAACCGCAGTATGGGAGTCTTCCGCGTCCAAATCGGGTCGCCAATATCGAGGACCAGAGGGGGCGGAGCGATTTCCACTCATGCTCGAGAGCGGCATGCTGCCGCCGGTTTGCTTGCTTCGAGTTCCTCTATAGCTGGGGTCGCGGAACCAGCGGAATAGAGGACGGAGTGTGACGAGACTGCCTGCTGCGATCCCGAGGCTGGCTTCGACGTTGGACCAGATAGAGATGTTGGAGGTTGCGTCTGCGGAAAGAAAAGGATTGTTAGTCGACCTTTCCAAGAAAAGGTATATAGCGTATACAGTGTGAACTTACACAAAAAGTCCTCATCCTTGTAGTCCTTCAGATAAGGAATGCGGACAATGACCGCGGCGCTTGCAACGCACCCCATAGCCAAAATACCGGCCAAGGCAGCCTTTGTCCTAACATTCATCTGGAGATTCCACACAAGGAATACAGGCAGAATTCCCAAGGTAAAGTCACAGCACGTAGCGGTAACACTGTAGACGTAGGCCATATCGATGATGGTATCCACACTCAAGCAGCTGCCGTGGACAGGCGCGGTCGGGTCGAGCTCCAGTCGAACCCGAGTCCAGAAGAATGAGACGGGGTGGCACTGAAGAGTCAACATAAACCAGAAAACCAGGCCGACAACTGTGGTCACAGTGATGACCCCCCAAAGGATGATCGTATGGGCCCGCATGACGGTAAGGCGGAGAAGAGCAACGGCGATCGAGATCTTTGCTACGGCGCATGTCCAGACGTAACTAGTTTGACCTAGCCACCACCACTTTTGAGTTGGACGTTAGTAATCGATTTGTTCTTACTTTCCTCGCATGTATTGGAGAACTTACAAACATAGCGGTCTCCATGGTCTTTCGTACCAGCAGGAGCTCGAGTGATTTCTGACCCATTCCATATAATGAGCCAGTGATTCCACACAAGGCAAAAAGAACATTGAGACACTAGAGAAGATGTTGTTAGCAACTCTGAGAAACCCGAGACAACTTTTGACGCAAAACAAGGCGACTCGTTTACCATTGCGAAAACCATCAGCGCATCATCCCAGCCAAAGGCCTTGACGAGCCTGAGTCGGACAAAGCATCGCAGACAAACCGCAATAAACGAGATACCCAAAAAGACAGTAGTGACGATAAAGATCGACTTGCTGCGACCCTCCAATGGTAGCATGGTGATGGTCAGTCTGAAGTCGTGGATCACTTGCTATACATGATTCTCCCAAGTGCAATAATCAAAAGTATAGATGGGCCGAATTCCCTGTCTACCCTCTCTCTCTCTCTCCCAGAGGGGCTACCAGGACGAGACGCAGTTCAGGGGCAGGAATGAAGAAAGAAAAGAGAATACTGGAGGAAAATTCACTGGCGAGAGTCAAGCATTACAATCGGAGTTGTCAGTGGCAAGAAGAGGGCCTGCGCAATTCAAGCGGGTCGATGCGATGCGGTTCTCCGTGCGTTCGGGCAACGCAGGCGGAAAGTTTGATAAAAATTCTGGGAGTAAAATATGTAATAAAAATTATCTGAGGCACGCGAGGCGCAACCACGGATGATATGCACACTCCGAAAGGCTAGTTAGTGGGATCAACGGGCCGCTTTTAAACAATAATGGGACCGAGTCTCTATTTGTTGCCCATGCCGGCAGTTTTAGGGCCCTTTAGGTTTTGACCTACGAGCCGAAGGGGGGCAGCCTGTGGGGTTCGAAGTTACAGTTTTCCTCCCACGCCTGGAGATGGCTATTCACGCTTGACAAGATGTTAAGCAACTACTGTATCTGTTCACTGACAAATAATGTCATAATCATTAGTTATTCGACTACATCTTGTCTGTCAGAAGTGAACAGGAACTGCGCTGCTTATGACCACGAGGCGCGAGGCATCAGACGGCATTCCAATAAATCCATGGGATCAATAAAATGTGGAGGAGAAAGTTAGAATTCATGATCAAACCTTCCATCAAACCTTCCAAGAGCGAATCCAGTGGAAGCCATTTGCCCCTCTCGCACTCCCTCCATAGAGTCCATACATGGGGCCATTGATTATTGTAACCGTTGACGATTAATTACTTCGTCAATTTTCGCGTAGGCGACTTGGGACAGTAGTCTGGCCCGAATTGGATTCACAGCCCGAGCCGCTCAACCCCCCCCTTATTGTTCGCTACAAGAATCCATCAGCGACCCAGAACTTCGGCAACATGACTCGACCAAGTTCTTCAAGCAAAATGGCGGATAGCCCTTGTCGACCAACGAGACGTGCACAGCGTATAGCATTAAGTGGAGACTTCTCTTGTGACTTCCACATGCAGAGCCCAGCCGGTCGCCGCTAGTGTCGTTCCCGTTATTCTTAGTCCACGAAAAAAAAGGAGACTGTTGCCACTGCCCTGAAAATGAACAGAGCGTTAGAGCGATAGTTTCACTATGTCCTGGCTGGGTCCGCGATCTCCGCAGGGGGGCGTCGCGTCTATTCCTTGGTAGCCTTTGTTTTGCGGCTGAGCCAGGGGGAGGATGATATGTACAATAGGCTTTTGGGCATCCAAGGTTTTCTTTTCCCATGGGCACACGCCTTTAAAAAGAGGCACTCACCTCTTTTAAACTCTACTTGTTGGATGGCTTCCGACCGAGGCATGGTGGTCATACTGTAGCTCGTGAACGTAGGGCCATAGAGGGGCCCGTGCGAGTGCCCTGCAGATTCATCGATCGATAAACCATCTCGATATCAACAATTGACCACCGGAATCGAGATCTTCCTGACTCGCATCGCGTCGGCAAGCCTGGAAACGAGATATCCGGACAGTGCGGGAAACCAGAGAGTGTACTCCGTTCTGTACTTCGAGACAGCCGACCACTTGTTGCAGTGGGGCCCCGTTTGCTGTAAACGAGGTGTGATCTGCACACTTGACGGACTGGTCGGAAATTACCTGACAATTCTGTCGTCCCCACTTTCTCTGCAGAAAAGAGTGGAGCGTGTAGGGTGGGAGAGACTGGTTGAGCAGTTGACAACTTGTCACGCTGGCATTGTTAAAAGCCAAAACAAGGGGGTTATTGTTGCCAAGATATCTGGTTCCAAGATACTGGGACGGCTAGCAAAAATAAGGGGGATACTTGATACGATGTTGCATTAATCCCTGTTCCGCCAGTAAGATGTATGCAAATACCAAGGTTGTTCCCTGCCAAGTCAGCAAAATGTGTGCAAATGCCTTGCCCAGCAAGTAATCGCAGTCGAGAGCCAAGCGCAAACACCCAACATTTTTTTTGGGAATTACAAAAGAGGATACAAATCATATTTCTTGTCATTCAGTTGGTTGTTTAAATGTAAATACAGATCCAGTTTCCTATTTCGTTATAGCTATACAACTCTTAACGCACCTGAGAACAGCCCCCGAAATCTGAATCGCGGTCAAATGCAGAGTAAAATGGTCAACAATGCCATGCAAACCCATGTCAGATCAAGCTCGGAGATAAATTCTGAAATGGCCAGGGCAGCTACTGACTGAATGTTTGTGGGCATCTCGCGACCATGGAAATGCTAGCTCGGCCATGTGGCCCTCTTAGCCTGATCAAGGACATCACTAAGTCTACGGAGTACTATCGGGACTAAGGCGTCTGACTCGTTTTCGGGGATTGCCGTTGCGTATTGCCGCTGGATCTGCATGCATACCGGAGCTAGTTGGTTCAAGCTGCGCCCAGCACTTTAGCGTCTAGGCGAGTTGGTTCATGTCCTTCGACGAGTCTCAGGAACTGCCGGGAAAGACCGCGTGGGCGGGATGGAAAGAACTTTGAGAGTAGAATCATGAGTGGTTAACTATTCAATTCCCTGGATGACCGTTCAACGCCCAAAGCCATGCACATTTCAGGTAAGGTATTCAAGACACCCGTCAAGAGTGTCAATAGATCGAGGAAGAGACCGAGCAGACAAGAAATGAGACCAAGGCGCAATGAATCTGTGCAGATTGCACGTAAACGAAAGTAAAGATCAAGCATTGGCTTGTAAATTGCCGGTATAAACGCCTTCAAAATCAAGTCCTGCAAGCATACCATTGACTTTGTCGATTTCACGACTCAGGTCCTCGACGTTCACCGCTAGACTGCTCACTTCGTCGAACTTGCGTCGTCGGTTCGCGTCTGCAATCATCTCGGAAACAAAGAATTTCTGCTCCTCCAGGACTATCAGCCGTTCTCGTAGGGATTTCTCTTCCGCCTCGAGTGCTGATACGGCGCTGCTAGCATCGCTGGCTAGGCTGCTGGTGCTGCCACTGGCGGCAACCCTATTATTATATTTGATGGAGGCGAGTGCGGAGTCTTGCGGTCGAACTCCAGCGGGAGATCCATTGATTGGTGTGCTTGGAGAGGATGTACGACTGGGCGTGAGATCTCCCGCAGGCGCATGCTTGAGAACTTTAGGAAGAGATTTCAAGGGTAGCATATGAATATGCAAGAAATTGCTGGCTTGTTGATATATAGCTTTCTGTAATCGTTGCTGAGTGGGAGAGTTCGTTGGTAAGTCACGGATCCGTCGAGCCGCAACATCGTACTTTGCAAATGAATCAATGAGTCGCTTGCGGACTTTCGAAGCATCGGCAATCTGTGCCGAAGATGGTGGTCGCCTTGGATCTCTGCTTCGTTATCAGTAAGGTACATAAAACGCGTAACAAGAGATATATAGACATACTGCAATGCAGTAAGAAGCTTCTGAAACCTAGGTAAATGAAGGCGGATGCCCCTTTCAAATTGCACTAGGTTCCCATACGCCCTGACCTCGGGAGGTTTCTTCGAGACATCTGCTTCGAAATCTCGGCGATCGAAGATTGTACTTTTGCATTCTTTGCAAAGCCTCACATCAACACTGATGAGATCCTTTGCTGTGGATTTTTCTGATGCTTTCGAGACTACGTGCGAGTATTAGCGCAAGGTTTAACTTATCAGTATCGCAGTTATAGACTCACAAGACGCTATGCTTAGTCCAATCTCACTGGAACAGCCCGTGTTTGGGTCACCACAGACAACCCGCCCGCAAGTTCTGCAGTGGTGCCTCCGGAACGAGTATCCGGAGAAATCTTGCTGGCAGAAAGGGCAACGTGAGACGCTGGCATCGTCCTGCCAGCTGACGACCGTTTGCTCCAGTGCTTTCCGTTGGTCACTCTGCCAGGCGATGGAGAACAGTTTCGTTGAACTGTTCTGTATTTGGTCGGGTGGTAGACTGGCTAGAAGTTGCGTGAGACGTGTTAACCGCTTCTCAAGCCGAGAGACCTCGAGGAAGTCCTTATCAACCGTCTGCTTTCGGATCTTCTTGAATGCATCCGTTTGATCTCTTGTGAATCCTATCGATTATAAGTTTTGATGTTTGGCCAAACCGGCCGCTAGAAGTATGCCGCACTCACCATTATGATCGTTGTAGCCTTCTCTCGATTTGTAGCATGTTTCACAAACTCGAGCCCAAATACCTCTGACTGGTTCGTGCTGTGCCGACCTCGATAATTTGATCTGGTACATTGTATGCTCCTCGCAGAAAAGCTTCCCACATTTCCGACAGTTCACACACCCATTGGTCGCATTGAGTCGTTTCCCGCATGAGGGCTCAAGACAACTATCGTAGAGACCAGGAGCTTGCCAATGTTCTTTTGTAATAAGCTCTTCAGGGTCCAGCAGTTTGGGGGTAATCAAAGGCTCGGGTGCTCCTGCGTGAGCTGCCAGAGGGCGACTGGTAGCGGAGGCGGTTTGATTCTCATTCGACTCGAACACATCCAGGCCTTTGAGCTTCTGGTTTAGCACAGCGAGGGGCTGGAAGCGCCTCGCCTTATCCATTTGCACCTTAAACCAGTCCTTGACTTCATCCTGTCTGTCTTCTTCTAGGTTTTGGTGAATGTCGTCGAGATGCCTGCAGATAGATCAATCGCCGCGCATGACGATTTCGGGATAAGGGGTGGACTCGGGGGGAATTCGGTACCTATTCAGCTGAAGCAAAGTCACCTAATAGACGGTCAGTATATAGGATCATCGAAATTCGACGGGCAATTACCGGACTGGGGAAAGTATTGACGTACCATCTCCTCATTGCATATCGGACACGAGAGCTGAGCTCCGGGAGCCGCCGGGGCTGCAGATATTGAAGTATCGCCATTCTCCAAGGATATCCGGGAAGTGAGGTCTTGGGTTTCGGCTGAGAACTGAGATGCGGAGGTTTGGGAGCTCAGGGAAACGCTGCTGGTGGTCGGCGATAGCACCCTTGGCTTCGGCTGCGGGGACGGGGCTGATGAGAGCGCGCTGGGAGTGCCTAGAACACGACCTCCGCCCAGCGTCCTCCTGGACATGATCACAGGGGCATGAGAAGCACCTTTTAAGGAGATCTGTTTCAGCCCGACACGAGGCGCTGGCTGCACAGGTTGAGGTGTCCGAGGGGACAGTTGGAGCGTAAGTTGGGGGGTGACGATGTGGTGGAGCCTTGCGCCGGCGTCTGATGCCTCAGGCATTAATGAGCTTTTAGCCTCGGCGATCTGTTTCAGTACTTTTGCTGAAACGATATATTGTCTAGAGATGTATTTTCAATTTGTTATAGCAAGCTCCAATAAAGCTGGTAGAATAGGTCATCAATTGCATGTCAGCTTATGCTCAATGAGCTCCATATTGAATGTCAACTAATACAAATACGTGGGAAGCAACCAAGGTACAGGATCCCATGACAAGTTTAGTTTTCCATCTTGCGACTCTTACATTAATTTTTAATTTTATATTATGCTGTAGTAGTACCTGAGATCTATCCGGCGCAAAGGCATGTACTAGGCTCCAGCCAAGATGCATGCCAGTAAAATCTCTCGACTCTCAAGTTCTGCTCTTGGTATGCAAATGTCAAACTGGCAAGGTAACCTCTCGAGTCTTACGCTGTCTGAGAAAACCTCGTCATTAAAAGAGTGTGTATTAACGATCGTGATATTTTCTTGGTTGATTATAACAGTTCCATAGAAAACCGGTGCTTTTTTTTTTCCCTTTTTTTTGCGATTTTTCAACATTTTTTTTCTTTTGGTTCTGGCCTCTCAGGACCAATTTGTATCTTCCCCCCATCAATCTCGCACAAGTCGTGAAGTCATGAACCTCTATGCACAAGCTTAGATCCAAGTCTAAGACGAGATTCCTCCAATTATTGATACCCGAAGAGTTTACCGCTCGTAATCCCGGTGATAGCTGGTACCAGTGTTGGGGTTATCATACTCTCGGTGGACATGGGTGGTACCATCGTCCCGACGGTCAACGTCTCGGTGGCGGTAGACGCCGCTGTTATCAAGTCGCTCACGGTGATGACGGCGGGAATCATCGGTGCGGTAATCTAGGTGCTGGTCGTAGGCACCGCTGCTGGGATCATAAGTGGTGCTGCCATAGCCCGTATCGTAGGTAGTGCCGTAGCCAGTAGTGCCATAGGTGCTGTAACCAGTAGGATCATAGCTGGTTCCGGTGGTGTCATAGGTTGTACCGGTAGTGTCGTAATCGTAACGGTTTCCGTAGCGGCGGTCGGTCATTTTCGAAGATCTGTGATCAACTTCCTGGGAAGTCGGGTTCTGCTCTTTTTTGCTTCTTTCGTTGCACTGGGCTGTTCTGATATTTAGAATGGCATCAAAGCCTCGTTCATGGTAAATATTTATAATTGATTTTGGTGGCGTTTAGTAGTGTGTTCGACACCACCGGCATGACTATCTACTGACATCACCTGGCCAAACATGAAGCAAATCGCCAACACGGAGGCAAAGCTGGCGGCCGAAAGAAGATGGCAAGCCAAAAAGGAGAGTTAGAGGGCTAAACCGATAAGCTCATCTTTCTGGAAGACATTGTTCTAGGCTGTTGTTGCCTTGGGAGGCGAACCTGTTGAGCTGCGGGTTGTGGGGACATCTCTGGCAACGAGATAGTTGGTCAATATCCCGAAGAGGCAACATTAGTTCATAAGAGAAAACTATGGTGGATCTAGCTACATTACTCAGTATCTCGATTCTTCTTTTAATCCCATCTTGACAATGGTCACAGAAATGCTGGAATAATCGAGAACACTTAACAGAATGCATAACCAGGGCAAGGACAAGTGAAATTCTCTGTTATTGCATCGGTGAAAGTTACATGATTCAATATGGCTTATGGAATTCCTAGTTTTGAACCGACGGGGCACCAAGCTGATAGGTTTTCCCCACATTTGCATGAATATCATCGCCCTTTCCCGTTGCGTTGGATTGCTGCTATAGCATACGACGGTCTTCATGGGTGTGGTCATCCTAATGTAGCTACAACGGTCCTGAATGGCCGACGCGAAAGCTGCTGCATCTAGAATTGTCTCACAGTGGCCATTCATGAGCTCAGCGTATTCAGCCGCAAGGTTGCCACATTGACTCAGCAGCGAGAGAGAGGCCACCCAACCAAAACTGTACAATGCAAATGCAATAGCAGTCTCAGGGCTTGAATGGTAGAGTTTATTTGGTACGTATCCCCAGAGATACTGAAGTTGGGGCGCTCGCTCGACCATGATATGTCCCGGTGAAGATGTCAACGCAGGCTTGCACTTGACCAGCTGACGCCATAGCTCTTTGAGCCGCGTTATAGCCACATGTGGGTCCGCCACAGTTCCAGGGAGCTGGAGGAGCAACTCGACAACAAGATCCAAGAAACGATTATTTGTTGTTTGGAAGGGCAAATGAATCCATTCGCTGGATGCAAAGGTAGTCCTCGTCCACTGGTGGAAAGATTCATAGATCTAAGATGGGGTAAACAAAAGGCCATGAGAAGTATTGGGGATCTTACCATGAATAGCCGGATAGTAAGAAACATTTAATGAAGAGTGCCCTGAATGCAGGCTTCTGGGCCGACAATCTGTAGTAGAGCAGCTGCCGCTTTCATATGCTGAGAAAAAGCTCTGTGATTGGTGGGAAGAAAGACCTCAGTGTAGGCCAGAATGACCGTCGTTGATACATGTACCTCACTGACTCTGACCTTTGGATTCTCGGCATAGACCCTCATGTTTCGACGTGAAAGTATAGGGCTTGGTCGTACCATTTGTATGATGCTGCGATTGCACCTGGCTTTGTTCATTGATTCCATAAAGCGCTAAAGCTGCGGCAAGAACCGACTCCCTCCATCCAAGAAGGGCCGTACAGTCTGCTCTGAGGAGATAGTTTACTAGCCATGAGTTGGTGTGCATTCTATTAGGCCTTGATCGGGCGAAGAAGGATACGAAGGATGCCTTGATTTGCGTCTCCAATAAGCCGCTTAGCTCTGGGGTGTAGATGTCATTGGGCAGGCCTGATATAGAGAAGACTTTCTGAATGCCAGCTGTTGACTTTTCATCACCGATTGCCTGGTGTGTTTGTCCAATATCTCGACATCCATGTTCGATTCTTTCGGACTTCACTTCGTAGGAACCGGGCCTTGATTCGGAAGTCCTTGCGAGAAGGATGATCTTGTGAACTTGGGACTGCATAGTTAATTACTCCGTAGCTAGTTAAGTTAGTTCGTCCTCGCTTTGTAAGCTGGGAGCAAGCCATGGTGGAAGCTAACTAGATCAGTCAATTCTTGCGAAATGGGCTCCCACGAGATTGTATCTTGATTAGTGAGACACCATATACAGTACAGTGGCAGTTCAAATGTTTGAAACCAGGGACCAAGAAAACAGGCCGTCAAAATATGCCTCGATTTTATGTTTTTAACAGATCTTTCTGAATGTCTTTTGAACCCTCTTTCTAGATATTCCCGGCATCTGTGTTTTAACTTGTCTTTTAAAGTATAGCTGATGAGATGGGTTTGAACTTTTTCGGGTGTTGCAAACTTATGGAACACCACTGTAGCCGTTCAAAAGTATTTGGAGCACCGTACGGAGTACTTCCCGCCCCTACCGCTTTTCTACACCGCCTACTTACATTAGCCACACGCGTCCTCGCGCGAGCGGTCGAATCTAATAAATTCGCTTAAATTATTGGTTATTTTGTTAATCTAGCTAGAGCAATACCTCATCGTGTAGAGGAGATCATTAGATACAACAGATGGTGTACTGGTTATTGAAATATTGAATGACCGAGGCGGTTTAACTGGCAGAAAAATAAGTGGGGCATGTAGCGTGTTCCAAGTTACTTTTGAACGTTGACTGTACCGTGCTCACTGCCCACAGCGTAGTTAATTGTTCAAGTGGGTCGTCTATATTAACCATGTTAGATCTTAGCTGTTCCGTTGAATAGAGGTAATGAAAAATCGAAAAATGCCCCTTTAGGCGTTTCAAGCTGGTATATATCGCCATCTTTCGCTAGCGGCGATCTCCACTTGAATAAGTACGCTGTGGGCACTGTATACTCAGTTGGCTCCATGTTTTTGGAAGAGCCTTCGGAAGAAAGACTTCTCTCAAATCTCGAGTCTGGATATAAAATCCCTCGTGTCACTGCACTGTTGAATTTCAAGGATATCCATTGACCAGCAGCATACTTTGATCTTCTTATTCCATTCAACATGGGCGAAATTGAGAATTGGAAACTAGGTGGCGAGAAAAAACGTAAGGCGTTGCTGGCTTCGATTTAATCCGAATGGCGCTTGACAAAACCTCTGCCCTTGCCTATGGATGTGCCTGATCTGCGAAGGAACAATCCAAAGCTACCTATCTAGCCGAGAGATTATGATTACAGAAATGGATTGTCTTTCCTTGATGGGGCAGCTAGCGAGCGGCGAGCTTTACTCTCGTGAAGTGACCATGGCTTTCTGTCATAGAGCTGCAGTAACTTAGCGCATCAGATGGTTAATCAATTACACTTGCGACACCTAGCACACTAATAACTCATGCATAGATATCTTGTTTACACGAGATATTTTTCGAGGCTGCTCTAAGAGACGCCCATGCGTGTGATGAGTATATCAGGAAACACGGATAGGTTCACGATGATTATCAGTGCCTCTTTCTTGATTATTATCATTACTTGGCTGACACTTGACTGTAGATGATCCGGAGTTTTCAGACGGAGCCCCAGTCGGTGTTTGAAGATTACAAGAAGAGAAGGTCATCGCCATAGTCGAAGTGCTCAGAAATGCAGTCGAAGGATATCTCTGAAAAGGGGAACAACAAATTGTGAAAATCGAGATCTAGAAATCCTGAAAGCAAGTCTGTAGACACGCATAAAGTACTTGTGCTTCCATTATAAGTATGTTTTACAACCAAATCTACTTCGCCGAACTGGCTCCCAACAATTTCGTCCACCGCCCAAGAAGCAAAGGGAAAAGAAGAATGGGGTATCTAACTCTCCCGACCTAAAGGCGCCAACGAATCTGTTAGGAACTCAGTCGCGTTCATCAAGTCTGTACTACCGTAGACGACCCGGCGACGACCAGTAGTAGTGCGACTAGCGGACGTCGCACCGTCTGCGCCTGACTGGCCACTAGTCCGGCGTACCCAGTCCTGCAAGTTACCATATTCATCCATGCTTCCACCACCGACGGTGAAAACGATGGCCTCATTGAAGGCTTGCCGGCGCTGACCAAAGGTGGCATTGATGCCAGGAGCCGTGGCGCCCATTCCACCGGGCATCTGGGTGCTTCGCGATGCGGAGGCGGGGGGCATGGCGCCACGGGCATTGGCACTGCGGGGGTCGAAGTAGAGATAGTTCTCCGTCTTGGCAATAGCTGAACTAGATGCCGTGGATGGGTCCATGATGGACTCGGTGATCTTTGTCACGGTCAGATCCTTGTTTGCGGGCAGGAAATTTTTCACGCCGGAGATGAGGGAGTCGAAATTTGCGCCTAGGGCACCGGAAGTGATGCGATCGGTGAGACGGTTGGAAAGTGAAGAGAATCCACGGAATAGATCTGAGGACTGCTGCTCTGGGGCGGCAGTGGTCATCATGGTCATCCGGGTGATCTCACGGACCTGTCGAACATAGGATAGAGGGGTGACATCCGATACCCCGGCGTTGGTCAGAGCCTCCTCAAATTGGGTCATTTCCGCCCGGTTCAGCTCGGCCTCTGTACTGAGGAACCAGATGATAAAGATACGCAATTTGTCCAGAGGATTGCTTCCCTTGGCAGGGTCATTGATCAGGTCTAGGAGCTGCGCCTTGGACTGTTTGATAATATTCTCCTCCAGCTCGAAGAAGTTGTCTAGTTGGCGGTCCTTGATTCCCTTTAGAAGGGCGGTGGCGATGTTCATGTGCATATCAAGCACGGCCTTGCGCTCCCGCAGTTCGGGTAGCAGCGTAATAGCCGCCTTAAGGTGCTGCGCTGAAGCGCTAGTGTCGTTCTGTAGGTCTTCAATGGACGAAGCACCAGTCTTCTTCGTGATCTCATTCGCATCGTCCTTGTACCGTGTCAGCTCAGCATCGATATCTTCGGCGACTTGAGGGAAAGGCGCTCCAGCGTTTCGCTGCCAGAAAAAGTCGTTGCTGGTTAGATCGTAGGATTTCTTCGCAACCTTGCCCGAGCCTTGTTCGTCCGCATCCAACGTGATCCGATTCAAGCGCATCTGAAGTACGTCTTGCACCAGCGACTGGTAGGTCCACGAGTGGGAGAGCATAGGAACCAGATCAACATTGCGGTCCATAATAATCAAAACAGGACGAGACGAGGGTACTCCAGGCAAAGCTCTTTGGTTGCCCGAGAAGAGGTTGTCTTTTGAATTGAGGATGTGGTCACGAAGTTTACGGTCCAGCTTTGTAGCGATCAATTCGGCTGCGCCACCCTTGGGACATCGAATGATAGGGATCGTACCTGATTGGACTAGTCAGAGACAAGACAAGACAAAAAAAAGGAAATCAGAATTCCAAGTCAGGAAAGAAGAGCACATACCCATTGTAACGCTCACGCTGAAGAGACCACTCACAACCTTATCGACGATGGCATCCAGGTCCTCGTCGCTAGTCTTCCCACTGTTGATCTTGTAGTACGCATCATTTCCGAGACCTAAGCTGAAGAGATCCGGCTCTGCAACAATAAAGTTGAGGTACTGATCAAAGACTTGTGCGATATGCTCCGATGCCCCGGATGTGGCTATCTGGGAAGCAAAGTTCTCGAGGAGGGGCCGAGGGACGGAGGAGAGGAAGTTCACGTAGGCTGGGGAGTAGAGGCCTTGGGAGAGATCGCGTGTAATAGCTTGAACATTAGCCTCATTGGGCTCGACCAGGTAGACAACGGGGACATCGGGAATGGGGTATCGTTGGGAGTTGATATTCCTTTAGTCGCGGTCTTTGTTAGTTGATTCCGTTTCTTGAGGTTACAAAGGGGTTGGAAGGGCGCCATACAAATGAATGGTTACTCCCCAAGTTCGGAGATCGTTGACTCGCAGGACACTGCTGATGACATCCCGGCCCATGCCATCGAACACCAGGACCTTCCAGATTGGGTCGCCATCTTCGTTCAGGATCGGAGTGGAGTGGGAGATAAGACCGCTTTGAGCGGACGATTCATGTGTATTGTCGTCTGTGGGGTTCGGATCATGATTCAAGTTCAACAGCTTTTGAATTGACGCTACATCACAGAGTATTCCGTTAGTCTTGGACAATTGTCAATAAGTCGCGGGGGAGGAGTATGCGGCCACCTACCGACCTGTCGGTCTCGGAGGGACATGGGATGCGCCATGGCCAAGGCGAACACCACGGGCAGGAATCAAGGACACAGTCACAGATGAAGCAGCTTCACGACATGAGAAACAGGCTCAGAAAAGGTCACAAGCTGGACGGTGTGGACACTCTGCGACTGTTGACATCGCCTCCCACCAGTCGCTCCAGCTGGCCGCAATCATGGGGACGCTGACATAATACACGGCAAACTGTGCAAACTTGAAGATCACATGGGACATCCGCTCTCGGGCTTTTCATTAAGTTATGTAAGCAGAATACGGTAATATACGACCACGCGGCTTTATTTCGCTTGTACGACCGCGCTCTGTAAGGCGGGAATCCGGTTCTGCCCATTACCGTGCTGGCGTCCCGAGGATTTCATTCACTTCCACCTCAACTCCCTTCCAACAACCATCCATCAACCCCCACCTACTCCCCCCCCCTTCCCCATTTCCCCTTTTCTTTTCTACGTAAAGCCAATGGCTATGATGCTAGACTGGCTCTTTGTATAAGAGCCTGAATCTTCTCTCACTCTAAGAGGGATTTCTGGGACCGATCCTAAGGAGTCAGAGAGAGGGAGAGCAGAAAGGCTCTGCAGAGGACAGGAATCGGACTGGAACAAGTACAAACGCGAAGGAGGAAAGACATCCATTTCAGAGAGACATAAGCTCTCGGGATCCTTGAAGATCTCGCGGTCGTTCTATTTCTTTTCCTTCAAGTGTATTGCTGCAGAAGCGTCATCATAAGTCGCTTAAGACGCCCAGCAAAGACCAGGGGTCATCATCCGTCACAGGAGGAACCACAAATAACCTGCAAAACTTGGAAAGCCTGACAGCCTGAAGAATCTGGCACCCAAGTCGATAGTTGTTGCCTGAGGCATAAACATCACTCTTTTTAAAACGCCCAGACAGCAGAACCCGTGGCGTTGGGCAGATTTAAAAGGTACGAAAGAACAGTACTCCAGAGAGCTCAAGAGAACTCAATTTCACGTCATTCTGCACGTATCAACTCTCATTTCCCGTTGATCACTCTGGACTTGCTTCTCATGGTGTTTTTTTCCACTCTTTAGGGATCCACACGCCCTTTCCTTCGAACCCCCGCAAAACCCCATCGGCCGAAAGATCCTCCGCCCGCCGAGTTCTCTCCACAATTGGCAAGCGGTGACTGTGCCAGAAGTATTGGATGCACGTGATACCAACAGTGTAGCAATAAACGGCTCTTGAAGAAGTGACTTGTATTCGTGGAAGCCACCATCATGGAGCAGTCATCGGCACAAAATCAAATGCCGGGTCTGCCCCATGCAGGAGCTCCCCAGGGGTCCCGTCCGCGGACTTTTGGACTTCCCTCGATGCTTTGTACCCTGATCCTCAGCCCCAATCCCAAGCAGCGCCGTCACAGCAGCAGAATCCGTCCGCGCAGCAGCAAGCACCAATGGGGATCACCTGGGATCACCCTGTATTTCAACAGCAACAGCAACCCGCACAACCACAGCAAAATCCTCTCACGCCTCAGTCAGATCCTCATCATGGCATTTACTCGTCAATCCCTCCTCCTTCTTGGCAATCAAACCCGTTACAGACCCCAGCTCGATACGGAGGGTCCCCTCAATACCAACCTCATCAACAAACTCCCCAGTATCAGCAAGACCAAATGACGTTCGATCCCTGTGCCATCAATCCATCAGAGACCTCGGCGTTTCCTTCCTACTCATACCAGTCCGGTTACTTTCATCCACAACAACTCCCTCTGCAAGACTCCTTCCCTTCTCGTCCCGCTCAGCCACAACATCAGCAGCAGACATCACGGCAGCAGCAACCGGAATATACTGCTCGTGTACCGCACTCCTCCATACAATATTCAATGCCCTCTAGCTACCCCCAGGATCTCTTGTCCAATACCATTGATCTCACCAATGACGACTTTGTAAACGCCGAAGCGGGAGTTTCTCATCAAACAATTGACCCGTCGTTCCTGAATGAAATTGCCCGATCGTCAAATCCATCTCAAACTATTGCCAGCAGCTTTTCATTTGGAGTGGACTACGAAAGACCTGAGGGGTTGTTCAATTATTTCCAGAACGATCTCTCGGTTCAGCCACAGCTAAGCACACCTCAAAGTGCTGGAGTGAACCATCTTGGTATGAATGCTTCATCTCTCGTTTCTTCTTATCTCCGTGACTAACTGAAGCAGCCGGACTTGCCCCACGACCCGCTGGGGTCCCTCATCAACCAGCTCTTGCCCCCGCACCCAAGAAGGCCCCGGCTAAAAAGGCTACACAAGCCAAGAAGACTGGTACAAAGGGACAGCAGAAGCACCCGGAAGAGTTGGACAGTGGCAGTTCCGACGAGTCTGATCTGGAGGTTGATCCGGAGCCGTCTCCACTTCCTCCAGTTCGCTCGAGCGAGCCGCTGGAAGCTGCTCAGTTTGATACTATTCAAGCGGTCTGGTCTCCGCGCAATCTGCGCGTCTCTGCAGAAAAGGTGAAGACCTCCCTTGTGGCATTCAAGGATGTGGTGAAGGGGCTTCGCGATGGCTGGAAAGACCAAGTCCAAGCCATGAAAACCGCAGAGAACCAAGGCGATAATGACAAAGCAGCCAAACTTAAGCAGGCCGTGGCCCTCCAGCGTCGCATCATGGAGAAGATTATCTCCACTACTCTAGAAACAGGCCATCCTGTTATTGTCGAGAAGTATGAACCCCGCCCTTTGAGCCTTTTCCTTTCCCTTTGCCCCTTTCTACATTTGTTTCCTGTGGTTTGCATAGCCATAGATTTCCTGGAGCGAATCGAGAGCAACGCCCACGTAATTCTGTCTTTTGGATAAATTTCCATTTGATTACCATTGATTTGGGCTAGAATATAAGGCTCTGTTTCGGTGTCTTGAAACCCAACGCACCCATTTGGGATTGGGCTCTAGGTCGAAGCTGCAATAGCCTATCGCTCAGGAGTCTTGAGGGATACTCTTCAGAAAAGTTATTCTATGGCCATCCTGCAAAATCCAGGGAATTTGTCCCGGCCAAAAGAAAATGAGGGACCCTCCAACGCCCTCGTTTTACAAGGAGTCTATCATGTTGCATGCTGATCCTTGTCACTTTTTGACTTCGTTTTTGTTTTGACCCATTTGTTGAATCCATCACTAATCATCGCAAAAAATTTGCAGGATCGGCGAACATCCGGTGACGCTGTCGGTGTTCTACTCATTCTTGGCGGATCGTTTCCAGGCGGCTGATTTGGAAGGCTCGCTGACAATGAACTTGCTCAAGGTCCGTTCTACTCCAGGATTTCATTCGAACCCGAAATCTATACTAGATTGCTAACAAAATTCTAGCTTCTTTCACGTTTCGTGACTGTAGACGAAGAATTACTGCAGAAGACCAATATGGCCAAGCTGCTCCCTCGATTTGTCAAGAAGGGAACTCCCCACGTTAAGGATCTTGCACAGACTATCCTAGACAATGCTGCTGCCTCTACCAAAAGGAAGCAGAGTAATGCAAAGCCAATTAAGGAAGAGTCACCTGCTAAGGGGGACTCCCCGTCGGCGGACATTGTGGGCGCCAAACGTCCGCGAGATAGTGAGAGCAACGGCCAACCCGCTACGAAGCGCATGGTTGTCACGTCCAATCTCAAGGACACCGTGAAATCTTCCTCTGCTACAAACGGTCCTATCAAACGTGTCACAGATGGTATCCAAAACGGCAAGCCTGCTACGACACCGGCTGCCCAACGCCCGAAAGTACCTCTCGCCGCACCCAAGCCAACTGTCTTCTTCGGTGCACTAAGCTCAGCATCAAAGAGACTGGGCACCACCAACGCAGAGAGAAAAGCGGCTCAAGCGGCTGCAAAGTCTACGTATGTAAACTCACATTCACAGTCTGAATTGGAACCCGCAGATGGATGTACTGACTTCCACAATAGGCCTCCGCCTGAAACGAAAGAAAAACCAGCGGCACCCGCACCCAAGCCCGCATTTTCATTCGGCGACCTCATGGCGGACCTTAACAAGCCAAAGCAGACCGTTGTCGCCAAGCCCGCTGAAGACAAGCCTCCAGAGACCGAAGAAGAGCGCCAGAAGCGGCTACGCAAGGAGGCGCGGCGCAAACTGCGAGTCACTTGGAAACCAGATGATTCTTTGACCGAAGTTCGGCTGTTCACCCATGATCCGGATGAAGAAATTGGCCCTGGCGATGGATCTATGCGTGGCTTGGGTGACGTTAAGGGGAGGGCAGTGTCCTCAAGCTCCACAAGGACTTGGAAGATCTAGAGGAAGATGATCTTGGCGGTATACGGGAGGTTACTTTGAATGACTACACCAGCCTATCCGAAATTCTGATCGAGTCTGCGGATATGAGAAGTGCCAACTTCATTAAACGTGGCGGTGATGAGCTTCCCGTTAGTACCGAGAAAATTGCACAAGACCAGCGCGAGGCGACCACTCTTATGGTGTTCCACACGTCGCCTGCCGATGTCCCCTCAACACCGAAGGAACCTCCTGCTGCCGACCCTAATGAAACCGTATCTGAAGTCATTCCCTTCGGCGAAATCCCTGACAACGTCAAGGTATGTTACGACTTTCCGTCAAACGATGGAAACCGCAGGGTTACTAATCCATTGCAATAGGCTCGACAGGAACGCTACTTTGAATATGTTAATCCAAAGCCTGCTTCCGCGCCTGTTTCCACACCAGCGCAAGCTAACCCTGCAAGCAATCCTGGATTCGATATTTCAAACTTACTCAAACTCATCAAGGGCGGGGCGCCGCAACAGTCCACACCCCCTCCGCAACCTCAGCCAGCACCCCAACAGGCACCCTTGGCTGACCTCGAGCGGACCATCAGTATGTTCCGCCAGCAGCAGGCTCAGTCAACAGTTCCCCAGATCCCGCAGGTTTCACAGGTTCCACAGGTTCCACAGGTTCCACAAGTGCCTGCCACGCAGCCACCGGCCGCGCAAGGCGGTGTCAATTTCCAACAGCTCATGAGTGTCATGCAGCAGTTCCAGCACGGGACTGGCTTCCCCCAGCAGCAGCCGATGCAGTCGCAGCCACAGATGCAACCTAATCTTGGTGCCCTGTTCTCGCAAATCGCCGGACAGAACCAGCAAGCTGGCTCCTCTACTCAGAATTACGAGGACCCGGAGCGCAAGCGAATACGTGACGGTGCTCACTATGACGACCAATACGATAATCAATGGAATCGTGGCAAGCGGACCAAGGCTAACGATCCTAAGCCTGTAAGTTTCAGGAGCTCATTTTGTCTGATTAAACTCGTAAAAACGAGCAAATGCTAATTGAGAAAATAGTACAAGGTCGGACTGGTTGCTTGTCGGTTCTGGAAGGAAGGCAAATGCAGAAAAGGCGACAACTGCACATTCAGACATGACTCCTAGACTCCTTCCGATGATATTGACCAGATCATGAAATGGTCGTTTCTGACCATCTATCTCCCTCCTACCTGCGCTACATCCTCCGCGCCGCGACGATTTTTCCCCTTCACATTGTATTTCATACTCTTCATCATATCACGACAATGCATAACAACCTACCTAGAAAACCTCCTTCGGACAGAAAGTTCCACGCAGTAACCGAGCCAGGTCATTCGCGGGAAACAGTTCTGACCGATTCAGGTTCCTTTGGTGGGTGTTTTGATTCCTACTTGCAACGTTTTGCATGGCCACCCTCTTTCCATCGCCCTTAGACGTGGAACAGGGTGGCACCAGGCGTTTTTATCTTGTTTTCCCTCGTTTCCCTGTCCCTTCGTTTCTCGTGGTTCATGGGTTCCCTGCGGTGTCATCTTCCTTGCTTATAGCGAGTTGCGGAGGCGCATCATTAGCAAGGCGGTTTGCAGATGGAGAGGTCATTTTATGGCGCATGTTTCTTTTTTTTTTGCCTTTTATTCATTCAGTGGGAAATCGGGGCAGAAGGGGGAAACCAACCATGTACATTAAGATATATCCTTACAATGGACATTTAATCTGATGTCTTTTGAGTCCAACAAATCCTCATAACTTTCTGGAGCACAGTATCGTGTAATCGTCATTATTTTGCTTCCCACCTGCATCCAGGCTAACCCAGTCCTGCCAGGCCGGTACCTATACACGCTACACAGGATACAGATCCGCCCGTACTCCCGCCAACCGACATGTCCCCTGATACATCCTCTCCAAAGTAGCCCTCATAATATTCACATCAATCGACTCGGCAGCCCAATACCTCAACGTCTTAATCGCGATCCGAACCAACGCAGCCCAATCCCGCGGCAACTCCAGCATCAACACGCCCTGATTCCCCGCATGCAAATGCAATTTACCCAGCACAGCAGCGATGATCTGCACCGCCGCCCCGAACGATGATCGCATGAGGTTCCATATCCACTCATGGCGGTGGTTGTACCACCAGTGTGGAATGAGTTCTGCGCAGTTGTCGATTGCTTTTTGGGCGTGGCTGAAGACTTCGTGGAAGAGGCGGGTGTTGCTTTGGAGGTAGGCTGGTAAGGTGTGGTAGTGGACTGCTAGGTAGAGGATTGGGCGGTAGATTTTTTCGAGAGAGATGGCGCGGCGGCCCCAGAGGTAGAATTGGAGGTTTTTGGTGTCTGGTTCTGGGGTTGGTGAGGCTAGGGCTAGTTGTTCTTGGCTCATGTCGTGCCTGGGGAGTTCGGGGGTCTGGTTAGTAAGGGTGTGTTATGTCCAATGAGATATGTTTCGGGGAGTATCGGGGAGGTATATAGTTGGGTAGTCTTGATATATGGGGGTTGGGTGCTTCGACATACCAATAGTCAACAACTTTGACAGCCTCAGCGGTCCTTTGGACTACGCCGGCGACGTTGCTGATCCATTCCTCTTCTCCACAACGCCACATATCGATGAGCATGTCGTTGACGGTTCGGCGGTTGCATATAGCTCCAATGTAGAGTATCCAGCCTTTTTCTTCCTCTGATTCGTGATTATCAGATTGTGGCTTGGCCGGACTGTCGCTGTCGTCCTCCATCTTGTCCTCCGGAGAGGTCGAGTTTGTCTTTGAAGGGAATGGATCGGAGTAGCCCAGACTTTCTAATCCACTACTCCACAGGGGGAGCTCGCTCTGCATTTCACTGTGGGGTTGGAAATAGTTAAGTGGATACTCATTTCAATAAGGATGCGGATTTTGCGAGACTCACTGTTCTGCCTGAATACAAGACCAATATAAACGCGATTCAAGGTTATGATAGTTCGCATCAGCAGTCCACTGCTTCCTGCACAAGGACCGTAGACGAACTTCTAATCTGCATGAAGCCTGTTGGAAACAAAACCAAGCCTGCAACGGACGCATCGCATGTCTATGATAGGAGCCCGCAAGAAGAAAACACGAGATATCGGTAGGTGAAGTGTGTAATGAGCCGAAACGTTGCTTCGCCGCATGAAAGTACGCCTCCGCGAGCTCGATATTAGCGTCTGTCGGGGGTGGTCCGGGGACACGATCTAGGTCTTCGGGGATCTCGTCTAAGGGGACAAAATCAGAGGTAGCGCAGCCTAGTGCGCATGCAAGAAGCTGCACGCCCGAACAAGAATAAGTAAATACCCCGGTAAAGTTTGCAAAGCCTAGTCTCAATCGGTCTTGAGCAGTGATGTATGCGTACCACTTGGCATGATGGCCCGTCCCATCCCAGCCCCTGCACGGTGACTTCCCTCGCATAGCGCTCGAGTTTATCTTTATCCACAACTGGATTTCGGCGATGGATCAATCGGAGGTATTTCTTACATAGGATCTGGATATCATCGAGCAGAGGACCAATGCCCAGCTGTCGGGGCGGCGGCATACCCGACTGTGGCTGGCTGTCCAGCGAATCGAGAAGAAAAGAGCGGATATGTCTTTCAGAATCGGTAATAACCTTATTGAAAACGGGCCACCGGAGCATATACTCGGCGGAGTTGGCCGCGTACAGTGTCAGGGGGTCATGGTCGTCTTCGCGATCTTCAAGAACAGAACCACTCCCACGTAGATTGTTGCTCCCCGAAAGACGATCGTCTCCGGGGCTATTATTGCTCCGCATACCCATCTCAAAAAAGGAACCCCTAAGAGATCTGGCCGAAGAGACCGTGGAACCGCCATCTTGTTTGATTTCCTCTAGTAGTGAGGTGATCTGGCCCAGTCGGGAGAGGATCTCATTGTTGGCTGAATCAAAGCCCGCCCTTCAAGAAGCGGCGACCGTTTAGCTGCTGTAACCACAAAGTCAAAAGAAACAAATATAGCCATATACCAAAACTTACTGGACAGGATGCGGCGAAGTCTGGGGATAGATGCATTCGACCCCCTGAATGGCACAGTAGCTACAGATGGGTCTGGCATTGTCGCACCGGGTCTTGCGCAAGCGGCAGGTCTGACAAGCCGTGGGGGCTCGTGTCCGACTTTCGCGCTTCCTGGGGAGTCTGGGCTCGGCGATATCCATGAAGCCTTCGAATCGAGATCAATAGTTACCCTATTCAGGAAGCAAAAGATGTAATCATGCAAGAGAGTCTCGGGGAGCATCGGGGAGCCGGGGAGAATAAGTTCAGAGTGTTTCGACAGAAGCAAGTGTGACCCATGGACGGCGCAGCGTACTTAGGGGAGGAGAACGGCCCTGCCGTCGAGGCCAACGCAGGCTCAGGTCTGGAAACAAAGAAACGGACAGTCGATCTCTAGCTAGTCACTGGCTAGTCGTGGGTTGACGGTTGTGGCGTGACCAGATGAAGTGTTGCGGTCGACTCGAACAAAGAAACGGAGGCTATGATGCTGACGGCCCACGCTTCGGACCTGTAAAGACCATGGCCCGAGCAGGGATGTGATTCTTTTTTATTGGAGCGAGCTGGGGATCCTCATTGCTGCTGGCTAGGTTTTTGCTGGGTGTGCTCTCCCCGAACAGGCGCCCAAGCACATCCAGGGAATTTCAAATCATACAGCGTGCGCGTTTCCCAAAACAAGAAGCTGCGGTGTGGTCATTTGGGGAGTACCTGTTACAGTCGAAAAAGCTTCGACCTTTCACACTTTGTTAGCCATGGACATCTGCAGTGGCAGATTGGCAAACCTCCTGGGATTTGCTCAAGAGGTCACGTCAAGACCCCCGCCAAAAGAGGTCGGAGCCCGAGGGTACCCCGGGCATTGGAGGGCCCAATGGAAGGGTCGTGGAGGAAGTACAAGTGCAATGTACATCGGAGGAGACAGTGAGGGACTGGCGGATTGGAAACTCGAGAGTTGCATCCCCGAGACAAAAGTACTACTCGAAGGGGACAGAGCTTGGAACCTCGTACACCACGAGAACTCGCAGACCTACAAGAGCACATGACTACCAACTGTCTTCCACTTCCAACTCATCATTAAATTTTGCAAAGAGAAAGAGAACTTGTCCTTCCATATCGTCACTATCGCTAACTTTGCAGAAAAGAGCCGCCAAATGGGCGCTAGTGGGTGGTGTACATGTACAGAATGGGTCTGCCAGTAAACAGAGACAGGCAACCGGGCAGAAACCCTCAAACGCCAGAAACGAAATGCTGATGAACGATGCAAAAGTGAAGAAAGGTCTGAGAAGCATGTAGACAACGACAGGAGAGATCACCACTACCGGACTCGCTTCTTGCCCCTAGTCAGTTGAGGCGCTTCGCACAGCTCCGTCCAAGCATCCTCAAAGGAAGTCTTCCGCGTGCCAATCTGTCCCTCGTAGAAGTTGAGTTTACGCACAACCTCCATCGCACCGGTACCCAGACCCATCGTCTTGCCCATGATGATACATTCCGAAACACCCTCAATGAGATCAGTGCGGCCAGCACCACCGGCGTCGAAGAGGTGATCGGCGGTCTTCTCGAACGAGGCCAGCTGGAGAACGGAGTCTCGCATCTTGGCCAGACCGAAACGAGTAATACCCAGCACCTCACCCTTGTACGTCATCACGTCAGCAAGGAGCTGCATGTGGCGAGGATCGATGTCCATGTCCTTCATGACCTCGCTGATTTCGGTGATGATCGTGCTTCGTGCGGCCTCAATACCGAGCACCTCGCGGGCCTCCATGACGTTGTTGGTCCTGGTGTGCAGACCATCCACACCAGCAGTTGTCATACAATCCTTGAGACCGTAGCCTTCCACCAGTAGGGTGTTGGTAGTTCCCTTCTCATCAGTACGAATGATAGCACGGGCAGCCTGTGGGTGACCCATGATCTGGATGTTGGGCATCATGCGCTTCAGATGCTTGAGACGCAAGAAGGGATCGGCACTAGTAGCGGCAATCTCAGTCTTCGACAGGTTTGCCTTGCTCGCCGGATCAAGATCAATCAGGAGGGTGATGGAATTGCGAGTGGTCCGGAACTTGAGGTCATCGCCCTTGAATCGCTTGTGGTTCTTAACAGCGGTGAGAATCTGAGGCATCGTGATTTCGAGTTGCAGATCATCGATGGTCTTTTGATTGATCTTGGCGGTAATGTAGGCCTCACTGCCCGTCCAGACCTCAGTAATGGAGTGAATCACATCGCGTAGGTAGGTCTTCTCAATACGACCCTTGACAATGCGAGCCGAAGCAAGTTGATCCTTGGTAACCAGTTCACAAGCAATGACCGGAGTACTGATTTCTTTGGAGGCGTTGATAATTTCCTTGATACGGGGCACACCCTGTGTGATACTCATACCGGCAACACCAGCGAAATGGAAAGTCTTCAAGGTCATCTGAGTACCGGGTTCACCAATGGACTGGGCACCGACAGCACCGACAGCATGGCCGGGTTCGACTTGGGCTTTCTTGTACTTCAACAAACAAGCTGCGATGAAAGCCCTGAGAGTGGTCTCGGTCAACTTGCCGGTATGGTCCAAGCCCTTTCGGCTTCTCGGATCGGAGGGATCAAAGTCACCACCACGTGAGATCAGTTTCTCGGCCTTGTCCTGCACGTATTGTTCAATAGAATCGAGGAAGTCACGAGCACTCTCAAACTGATCAACGCCATGGTCGCTGCGATCCATGTATCCCAGTTCATTGCCCATGAGGTCCACACGAGTAAGCTTGGCACGCTCCTTCTCGAGCATCTCCGAGCAGACTTCCATGATCTCTTGCGGCAACAAGCTTCGCTCGTCATTGTCGTAGGTGGTGGACTCGGAGTGAATGAAGGTTCGGTCGAAATGCACAGGCTTGGCTTTACCCTCCATATCCACGGGATCCAGCTTATCGTCACCATACTGGAATTGCACAATGGCAGCCGACGAATTTCGCACCGTATCATCATATCTTGTAGAGAGATCCTCGAGAGACTTCATCAACCGACGAGACATGTAACCAGTTTCGGCAGTCTTGACGGCAGTATCGACCAGACCTTCACGACCGGACATGGCGTGGAAAATGAACTCAGTAGGCAAGAGACCAGAGAAGAAACTGTTTCGAACGAAACCCTTGGATGGGGGCTGGCGTGCGTTCTTTGGGAAGTGAGGCAGCGTTCGGTCCTGGAAACCATCCTGGACACGCGAGCCACCGATAATTTGCTGACCCACAAGAGCAACCATCTGAGACACGTTGATACTGGAACCCTTGGAACCAGATGTAGCCATGATCAGGGGCGAGTTGTACTTGCTGAGCTGGTCAATACACTCGTCACCAGCCTGCTGACGGACCTTACTAAGAATACCAGACAGTTGATTTTCCATTGTCTGTAACTCGTCACAGCCGGGGTACTTCTCCAGTGTGCCGGCCTTGTATTTGGCAATGACTTCGTCACAAGCAGCGTAAGCCGTTTCCACAAGATCATTCTTCGACTGGACCAGTCTGTCGCTGGGGTAGACATCTCCAATACCGATCGAGAAGCCAATGTTGGTGAACCAGCGGGCGGAGAGCTTCGACAGACGGTTCATGCCTTCGGCGGCAGCTGGTGGGCCATAATCACGAAGCATAATGTAGAACACGTTATCCTTCTTTCCAGAACCAATTGTGGATTTGTCCATGACACCACACATGACTTCGGAGTTACGGATCACCAGCCAGCCATCATTCGGATCGAGGTCCTTTGGCCGACCGTCCTTGGGTTGCTTGAATTCACGGCAAGCAGCGTCAAGGTTGACCAGAACAGGGTCTTCCTTGTTGGGGTGCATCAGAATATTGAAGACCTGTTTACCCGTCCAGAGCATTTGGGGCTTGAGAACAGAAGGCGGAGGGAGATCGAATTTCGTTTCATGACCCAGCATGTAGAGGCAGATTTGGGTAAAAGATCGGCGGTCGAAGAAGTTGTCTTTACTGCTCAGCAGGTAGGCAGCACTAATAAAATCCTGAATAGCAGAAATGATGGGCTCGCCGTTCTTGGGTGTCGCCAAGTTGTTCTTCACACCCATCAGTTCCATAGCTTCGGCTCTGGCCTCTTCTGTCTGGGGAACGTGCAGATTCATCTCGTCTCCATCAAAATCAGCGTTGTAAGGATTGCAGACACACTCGTTCAACCGGAATGTTCGATGCGGACGGACTTTGGCAAAGTGGGAAAGAATACTGAGCTTGTGCAGTGAAGGTTGTCGATTGAAGAGAACGATATCGCCGTCCTCAATATGACGCTCCACCGTGTCACCCTCTTGAAGTTCATTGGCCACATGCTTAAGGTTACCATACTTCAGCATCATCTTGAAGGTCGAGTCCTTCTTCATGAGATAGTTGGCTCCAGGCCACTTCTTGGATCCATTTAACACACGCTTTTGAAGCTTCTCCTTGTTGTAACGAGTCACAACCTCAGGGTATGTCATGTTCTTGGCCACAAGTTCCGGAACGGCGACCTCATCAACTCGCAAATTGGGATCTGGCGAAATGACTGTCCGACCGGAGAAATCAACACGCTTTCCCGACAGATTACCACGGAATCGACCTTGCTTTCCCTTGAGTCGTTGCACGAAACCACGGATAGGCTTGCCCAGATCAGCCTTGTTCAGGCCCGGGACATCACTGTTAATGTAGACTGCAATTTGCAGTTGCATGTAATCCCAGCATTCCATGATGGTCTGTACTGGAGCACCTTTCAGCAGAGCGTTCTTCAGGTTGATATTCGACTGCACAATGTCTCCCAGCTTGGCTGTGAGATCATCTTCCGTCGATGCACCTTCTTGACCCACAGACGGTCGGATACAGACCGGAGGGGCTGGGATAAATTGCCAGAGGAACATCTCCGGTCGGGCTTCTTTTGGATCCAAGCCCAAGAGTTCACAATCAGAGTTGGAGATTCTCTTAAAAAGCTTCAGCACTCGCAAAGCATTCATATCATCCTGCGCCTTCTTGAAATGCTTTTCAACTTCCGCGTTGGCGCCTCGTGCTTCGGCAAAGGATTCATCAAACACGGTTTTGCTGATCGGGGGTTGCTTCTTGACGGAGGTCGACGAATTGAAGGCGCGGAACTTGTCGTGGGTAATCTTCAGCGCACTCGAGCCGGCCTTTTTCACGACACCGTTGATCGCCTGGCAGTGTTCGCATTGTCGGGTCTTCCGGCACCGTTCATTGATGCGTTTCGCAATTTGCATTCGACGTAGGTTATCCAATCCTGGGCGGCGCATCTCTCGCAGGAAAGCACGGCGCTCCGTCTCGGGGAGCAGGATGCGCGAACATTCCTTGCAGATTTCCTGGAGGATTCCGATCACGCGCTTGAAGTAACCGACGTGGAAGGCAGGCAAGACCAGCCTGACGTGACCGAAATGACCATTACATTCTTTCAACATGTGTCCACAGGTCTTGCACTGTGCCGTCTTGTTGGAGATACCCATGCGCGCATCAAGAGGACCATTGGATACAACCGCTCGGTCATGATCGAGGTCAAAGAACTTGCGGTCCGAAACTTCGACCACAGCTTGACTGACAATATCATCGTTGGTCCTGTAAAAAAGTGCCCTACGTTAGCGACCGGTCTCAACGTGAAAGCGCCGCGGCTTGCTCTTCAAGCTTCAAGTCGAGAATAAAAGTGGGCCCACATACAGAACACCGAATTTCAGTTCCTTGATCACTTTAGGAACTCGGTCAATGACCTGGGCCTTGCCCAGGTCGATCTGAGAGCTCTCTGGGGGCTGCATTGCGCCGTCGTCAAGGGTAGGACATGGCAGGGTGACTCAAAGCTGACTTGATCGTCACAGGCGGGTATCAGCCGCGATCGACGGGGATCACCGAGTGTCGAAAGTCCAGGAACCCACGTTACAGTGACCAGTAATGGGGTGAGACTGAGAAACTCCGTCAAGATACTGAGAAAAGGCGATGGGGAGCAGAGAATGGCGATGGCTGGAAGGGAATGAAGAACGCAACGACGGCGGGGTTGGCCACGAACTTTTTTTCTGCCGCTGAAGCTCCCACCGCCCCAAAGCACGGATCAAGCGTCAGTTGACCAATCAGATCAGTGGAAAGTACTTATGCCTTGCATAGCTCCTATGGAATTGTTTTTTCTAGAATAACTGTGAGACCGGTTCTAGAAGTCATCAAGAACAGTCAAAGGATCTCTTGCTTTATGGAGATTCTATTTATGGAGATCTTAGTCCTTCTTAGAGTATGAGCATCTGCACTCTGTCATAGAATTTGGTATCTTCTTCGACGATCCAGCATGCAAACGCTTCTGACAGCTCTGCCCAAGCCACCCAACCATGTCTATACCAAGGAAGCTTAGGGACGGATTCTGATAGTACCACATGCAGCAATGTGCATGAAGCGGATGATATCCATTCAAATAATCTCCCTACAGCTCAACTCCAAAACTATAGACTCCACAAGTATCACCAAATCAAGACTGATTCAACCTCGAAAATCCACCCTCAGGAGGCTGCAGCCAGTTCCTCTTATCGTACTCCCACCCCTTAGCACCCTCGATAACATGGAAGGTATACGCATACCGACTCTTGGGGCTGGTATTCTTCTCACTCTTGTGCAGCACATTCCCATGAATCAGCACCAGCGACCCAGCCGTGACAGTCAAAATCTCCAGATCCTCATCAGTAGGCTCATCAACTTTATCCTCATCCATACCCTTCGGCAACGAAGGCCCATCATTCTCAATGAACTCCGTCCCCTTCCCATCAGCCTTCCTCACAAACCGGCGGGCGATGTGGCCGCCCTTCCGACCCTTGTGAGAGCCCTTCCACATACCCAGCGTCGCATTACCAGGTCCCGAATCTTGCAGCGCATACCACCACCCAACAGCTGACGGGGGGTTCGTGTACAGGAATTCAGAGTCGCGGTGCGATGGGACCGCGCCGCCAATGGAGGGCTGCTTGCAGATGACCATGCTCTGGAGAACGCGCGGGTCGGTGAACCCGAGGGATTTGGCCACGGCAGCATTCTGCTCGTTGAGCGAGATCGCCTTGAAAGGAGGTGATAGGGAGTGCAGAGAGTGTCCAATCTTGTTGACCGCCAGGTGCTTTGGCTTGATCAGTGCGGGGCGACCTGTGAGCGGATCAGGCTCGGAAGTAAACGCGTCCGGTTCGAAGAAGAACCGAATCTTGTCACCAGAGTTCAGGAAGTAGTCATCGCCCACATGGTCGGCCTGGTCGTCATCGCCAGTGGTGAATTGCGTAAGCGGGTGAGAGTCCAGCGAGAAGTCATTGAGTAGTGTGTTGGCCTCAGCTAAGACAGACTCAATCTCATTTGGACTCAGATAGTCGGGGATGACCAGGTAGCCGTTCTCGTGGAACGAGGCTACCTGAGCTTCAGTCAGACCGGCCATTGTGGTGATGTGGAAGGGAAAAGAAGACTGGAGATGACGCGAAGTTGAAAAGGCGGGGAATGATGATAAGCGATATCGATCTGCCGAGATTGGTGGGCGATCGGAACATGCCGAGGGCAATCGCTATAGCTCCACGATAAGAGGGTTCTATGGACTAATTTACATGACTTTATCATCATGAGAGTAAAGATAGAACACAAAATATCAGTAAAATCCAAACGTAGGTATCATTCGTCTTCGTTGTACAGAGCAGATACTAGATGAACAATGCAGAGGCCATATCCAAAAACGCCGCTATGTCGGATATCCGAAGAAGAAAACAGTGTCATACACAATCTGAATCATAACCACAAGTGGGGGTAAAACATAAAATAAACGAAGGCCGCCCGGGAAAATACATAGCTGTACATAAATTCATCATGTGCAAAGCAGAGGTTAGTTTTTTTGTGTTCATTTCTCTTCAGCTGGCATAGCCCATAGTGACCGATGGTCGGGGAGGTGCGTATTTTCGCACAGCTCTGCTCGGGCTGCATCCCACAGATCCAATGTCGATGGTCTTGAGTTCCCGGCTCAGGGCATCCATGCCTGGGTTACCAGTGCTCGTGTGGCTAGCGGCAACCGGATACCCTGGGGATCCATGGGAGATTGGCAGCTTTGATGGGATGGGAGGACCGGGGCTATAGTCGTACAACGGGGATCGAGAGCCTGGAGATGGAGAAACAGAGCCCCGTGAGGAGCGCGGCCGCTCTGTCGAGGTTGGGGTGGTGTAACCCCGGCTATGAGAGTAGCTACCGTAGCTCTCGTGGCCCCTGTCCGCGCGAGGTGGTGTTCGGTCCACAGGTTCACGGGTATGAAAATGAGTCGGAGTGTACTTCTTGCTCGGACGATCAGTCTCGGTCGTAGTACGGAATCCCACCCGGGGTGGACCAACGGGGCGAGAAGTGTCATTCCCACGAGAGGTAGGTCGCGGGGAGTGCTTGAACCGGATAATTACTTCAGGCTTGCGGCTCTTCCTCTCTGGCTCGGGTGCCCAAGTGTCTGTGGGCAGATGATCAGATGGATCAATTTCACGTCCATCATCACCAATGATCGGCTGATCTGGGTCCCGGCTGGGCTCAACCTCGGCACGTACCGCCGCATCTCTAGCTTGAGAAAGAGACTCATACGCTGGCGATGGTTCCCTGCTGTTGACTGACCGAGAGTGCGGGTTCAACGAGTCGTACGAGTCAGGGGAGAATGGAATCGAAGAGCCCATAGAGGTCGAGGGTCGTGGGCTGACGGACTTGCGTGTGACCATGCGCGTGTCCGGGCTCACAGAGCCGCCACGACTCCTGATAGAGCTTCGATCATCCATGGGCTGTGGAGATGTTCGGAGGGGGTAGATAGGAGCCTCGTATGGCATGGGAATAGGCACAGGTGCTTGCGCAGGCATAGATGCTGGGATCATGGCCGAGCTACTCGACGCCGACAATGGTTGAGGAATCATCATCTCATCCTCCATGTGACTGGTACTGCCTTTACGACTAGTTCGTCCCTCATATACCCGATCCTGTTCCTCACTTTCGTAGCCAGCCACTAGACTTGCTGGCATGGATGGAGATGGGTTGTTGGCATACACAGGGCTGTATGGGGTGTAGGGAGAAGGCGATTGACTTGTCGGCATTTTCACCAGTGATGGTGGCTGGGCCATCCGAGACCTGTGCACGGGAGGTGGGGGAGGAGGAGCGTCCTCTTCCTCATCCTCCACACGCGGTTGCATCGTGGCATATTCTGGATGATAAGGATCACTTCGGGGAGCAGGCAGGGCCTTCATGATGCGTGGGTGATACCGAGGGTCATCTCCAGGCCCAGAGGAGGAATTAGGTCGTGAGTACTGGAGAGGGGCGGGTTCATCGCCATGGCCAGATGCCCGTGGTGAGAATGTCGAAACATGACCAAATGTCATAGGGTTTGCACTATACTGAGGCGATAAAACCGATGTATACGCATCGTGTGGCTGGGGAGGTCTGTCGTAAAGTGTCCTCCCATGTCCATCGCTCTCAAATGGTGGTTCCGAGGTTGAGCGATAGTCCCGTGGAGGCTGGTCGTAGTCGATATGGCTGCGCATTGTGGCAGGAGGGCGAGGGTCATATTGAGGTTGAGGGTTCTCGTTGGGGTAAGTCGTTTCGTGGGTATTGCGTCTCATCGTGCCAGCAGGTGGGAGAGCTGGGGCGGGAGCGGGAGCTGGATTGTCCCATTCACGTTGATATGCATCGGGAGCATCATATTTCCCTCGAGTCTGCATGCTCGGGGCGAGGGGGTTGTAAGGCGGAGCATCATAAGAAGATTCTGAGTGGGTTGGTGGGTAAGGAAGGGCATCAGGATTTGTCACTGGAGCAGGTGCGGGAGCGGGCATTGTATGGGCATGATCACGCATGGTCGGTCGTGATGGCTGGGGATGTTGCAGCGGAGGAGGAGCCGAATGAGTCTGCTCCAAGACAGAGGGCCTTGGGGGAGGAGGGGCCACTCCAGATGGATCAGTAGGCAAAGGTCGTCGCTTGACTTTCTCTAATGATCGTGGGCCAGACAGTCCCGAGCTCGATGGGCCAGTACCAGCAGTCTTTCCTTGAACCCTCTCTGCCGCTTCTTTCCGCTTCACGATGACGGCCTCATCTTGTTGGCGAGTATCATAGTAGGTCATCTCGATCCGAACATCACCAGCATATTTGCCTCGGCACTGTAGCGAGTGCCAATGGTCATTCTGACTTCCCCCGGGGATGATCAAGTTCTGCAAGTCAATCCAGGTCTCTCCAATCAAGTCTGTCTTTTTATCGTCGTTGAAGATGGACACTTTTAGTTTGAAGTAGTCTGGTGATTCATGTACTGTGAAACGAAGCTCGTGATCCCTAGAGATTCACATGTTAGTGCGAGGTATGGATCAGTGTTTTGATTGTTGTATTACCGTACCATCTAGGAGTTTGTCCACCACGTAGGTCAGTAGGGGTCTTCTTGGCTTCTTTGCCTAGTCGTGCAGCACAATAAGGGTTCTGCTTGCCCATAGTCTTGCGATTGGGCAAGTTTTTGGCACGGTCGATGATGGCGACCAGGGTGCCAATTGGGGGGCCATCGACCGACATATCGGCGAAGATGCCCGCAGCGTGGTTGATTTTGGAGAGCTTTGACATGGTGGTTGGCAGAGCGATTGCTCAGAAGCTCTGTCTATGTCAACCAAATTGAAATCAAGCTGAGGAGCAGGAGTTCACAAGAGGACCAGCATTGAAGATATCTGAAAAGAAGAAGAGCAGGAGGAGGGGGAAAAAGATAAACGCCCTCCTTCTGGAATGTCCTGGTCGGTATGGAGGGGGCTGGGGAGTCCACACTAGGACTGGTATGATTGGGCAGAACCCCTGACTCAGCCTGATTCAGGCGTCTCGACCACGGTGGATCGGGGCGATATGACAGTACGTGACAATACACCAGTACACGATTATCGATAAACAAAGCCCATAAGCATCTGCTTCGTCCTTCAACACTACGTCAGCCCTAAGGACTTCGTTGCAAACTACTTCCAGCCTCGTTCGGCACACAAAGCCCAACATGCAAGTTAGACTGCACAATCTCCAGTTTCATTCCACGTCCTCACTCATTTCACCCAACCCCGGCCAGACATCGAAAATGGGGTGGATCGGCGGCGTCAGCTTCACGGAGATTCCCCAGCCACCTCGACCACCGCCAAGTGGACAAGGCGCATCCCACCCCGCCAAGAGGTGCAACGATTGGCGACTGACCCAGAGTCGTGATCGTCATCCTCCGATAGCGCTGTCTGTGAATCCGGTTTCATTCGATGTGCTGCGCAGCTGTCAGGCACGGCTCTCCACCTGTAAGGTTCATAAGATGTAAACATTGCCATGGCGACGAGCAAAACACACCACTTTGCTTCCCCACTCTGCTTTGGATGAACGAGCCCTATGATAGGCAAATCGAATGATCCTCGGGTGATGTCGATTTGATCTCTAACTCCTCCCTTCACGGTGAGACAAACCTCAATAACCGATGATGTACGACCCTCCCTGCTTCCAATGTCAGACAGATTGACTGTTGCCTGCCTCACGGCCCCAGTAGACGGGGCAACGCCAAGCCTTCCGACCACCCAGGCGCCAGGCCATTTCTATTATTAAAAGATAAGCCAGGATGAAGAAACCGGGAGCCTGCAAGAATAATCGCGATTGACTACGAAGATATGATGTATGTAGCCATATACAGACCACGCTTGGGGAAACCGGGTGCTCAGCGTCGAGGAGAGATGTCAGGGGGTGGTTTGTCGGCGAAAGCTAGGGTCCAAAAGAAGCTCAGATCCAAGTTAAGTAGGCGATACCATCTATATATGCTAAAGTAATATCTCGTCTGTAAGCTATCAATATTAACTATTGTTCCAACAATGGCTATAAGTGCTGCAGCATGCAGCTGCCCACCTTCGAGGCACCCCACTTAATCAGAATAATATGGGGGGATCAGTGCCTTACAGCCTTACCGCCTTGTGGCCTTGCGGCCTGAACCTTTGGCACTGAAGGTCTGTTATGCCTCAGGCCACAAGACCTCTCGCCGCCATTCCCAATCAGGTCGAAACTTTTTTTTGATCGGCAGAAAAAAAGATCCTCCAGCCTTTACGACCAGACACCTCTGCACGCCACGAGGTTCTGTCTCGGGTTTCTTGTTCTTTCGGTCGAGTCTTACACCTGCTCCCGGTGCTTGACGCAGTTCTTCGCACATCACCATGGCGGCGCCCGTCCTGCCCCTGCAGCAGGTGAAACTTGCCTCGCTGCCCTCAACCCGCCTGACTCCAGAGCAGCAATACTGGCGCACCTTCAAGAACCCTCTGTTGATCCCTTCCCCGGCAAATGGCCCTGTCAACCTCATCACTCAACCTTCCGCCCCATCCTCCTCTGCCGCATTTCCTTCTCTGACACAACCTCCGGACGTTTTCACCGTGACCACTGGCGCGCGGGTACAAATCTACTCGATTCGCACACGGAAGCTTCTGCGGACGATTACTCGGTTTGACGATACGGTCCGCGGCACAGATGTCCGTCCCGATGGTCGTATCTTCGTGGCGGGTGATGATACGGGTAAATTGCAGGTCTTCGATGTGAACTCGCGTGCTATTCTGAAGACATGGACGGATCACAAGCAGCCGGTGTGGGTGAGCAAGTTTTCGCCCAGCGACCCGACAGCGCTCCTGTCGGCAAGTGACGACCGTACCGTTCGGCTGTGGGATTTATCTTCAGACTCGAGTGCGCGGAAATTTGTGGGACACACCGATTACGTGCGAAGCGGTTCCTTCATGCCGGGCTCGATGTCCTCATCTGGATTGCTAGTTTCTGGTTCTTACGATCGTACCGTTCGTATCTGGGACCCGCGTGTTGAAGGCCGTGCGGCTATGACGTTCAAGATGGCTGCTCCCATTGAGACCGTGCTGCCCATGCCGGCGGGTACTACGGTACTGGCTGCTGCCGACAACAAGATCGGAGTGCTGGATATCGTTGCTGGAAAGCCGCTTCACATTATTCAGAGCCACCAAAAGACGGTCACGTCGCTGGCATTGGCGTCGAACGGAGAGCGTCTTATCAGTGGTGCGCTGGATGGCCACATGAAGGTCTTCGAAACGACTGGGTGGAATCCTGTTTCTGGATCCAAGTACCCCTCCCCTATCCTGTCGCTCAAGGTCATTACCTCTGGTATTGCCTACGAGGACAGGCATATTGCCGTTGGTATGCAGTCGGGTCTCCTCTCGGTCAAGACTCGACTCTCCGGCCAACAAAAGGTCAAGGAGCGTGAACGCCAGAAGGAGATGCAGGCACTTTTGGAGGGTAAACTGGAGGAGCACGACCGGCAAGTCGCGAAGAAGCAGAAGCTGCGCGGCTCCGGGTGGGAGAAGCGTCTTCGTGGACGTGACTTTATCGGCGAGGGGGTGGATATCGTGATTGAAGGCCAAGATCGCAAGAAGCGGAAGAAGGAGCAACCATGGGAAAACGATCTCCGCAAGGGACGCTACTCGGTTGCCCTCGACCAAGTCCTCTCATCTACCGACAAGACCGCCCAACTCACCCTCTTCACAGCCCTTCGTCACCGCTCCGCTCTCCGCGCCTCGCTTAAGGACCGCGATGAAGTGACTCTGCAGCCGTTGCTGCACTGGATCTACAAGCACATCCGTGAACCCCGCCTAGTAGATCTGTGCGTCGAGGTTGCCATGAATGTACTGGACATCTACTCGGGCAATCTGGGCCAGTCCGCTCAAATTGACAAGCAAGTGGAGCGTCTGCATAAGCGAGTGCGGGATGAAGTAGAGATGGCCCAGCATGCCTGCCAAACGAAAGGCATGCTGGATATGCTCAAGGTCAATTGACCGGGAGCATTGCTTATGTGAAGCTGGCTTGGAGTTTATATTTGGGCAGGTGTATTTTGGGATTTGGATAATTTTTCTTTCTTTCCAGTGGGTGTATATGGCGGGCCATTGAGCATTCTGTATATTTGCATAGAAAACAAAAGTCGACCATTTCCATATGCGATTACTCTACACACAGTTTACAGAATGTTCCTAAATCCAGTAGGAGCCCACCGGTCTTGTACCGGGGATCTACACACGTATTCCAGATGGTACATATAATAGAAGTAGCGGTCTAGATAGAAAGCTAGCTATATGGAGGTTTAACGTGCAGACAAATCTCTATTCATGATGAGACCGAGGCAAGCACCTCTGGCTGATCATCCAATCGAGTCACGGCCGTGGGCTGACGGCACCGTGCACGGAGCTCTTGCTGGTACTTTGAGGTAAGGGACTTTGCCTCTTCGACCCTTTGTAAGCCGAGTTTATCCAAACGTCGTCTAAGTCGATCTTAGCCACCACGTCCACTGTCCAGTGGACGTGATCGGCCATTTCACCTGTTCTCCGGTGTGCTCTGTCCCTTACGACACAAAACAAACCCATTATTCCGAACTCTTCATCTTCCTCCCCGCTTCAGATATCTCCGAAACCCTGTACCTGGGACACTGACGTGAGGTGGCATTCTTCGAACACTCTCGGTTAGCCCTTGGCAAACCAAACGTGCTCCAACCCTCCACTCCCCCTCCATCCCGCCCCGCCCCTCAACCACCTGAGCAACCAAAATCCAACTGAACCAGCTGTTCAGCTCCACCTTCGGTTCTATTGTGGAGTCGAGACCGACTGATTGGCGATGCTCTAACGGAGGACAAAAAAGGCCAAAAAGAAAAGAAGAAGAAGAAAAAAAAAAAAAGAAACACACTCGGCACAGTCAGCAAGCCCCGGTCCCCGCTGGGACGACCCAAGAAAATCAATCACGTCACGCTGTCACGCTGTCCTTTCATCATGGCCGCCGCCCTCGACGAGGAAGATCTTTCGATCCCACTTGCTCCCTCCGACCGCGACCATCCCCGTGAACGAGATCGTGTTACGAGCAAGACGGCCAGCTCGAATCCCTCCCCCATGGCAATGCCTCCGCCCTCGCGCCCGACCGGTCGCCCCGACCCCACGACGCAGTCTCCGGCCACCATGCGGGACATGCAGCGTCTCGATCAGTATCAGTCCGTCAAGATACTCGGTGAGGGTTCCTTTGGAAAGGTCAAGCTGGCCATTCACCAGCCAAGTGGACGGCAAGTGGCTCTAAAGATCATCTCCCGGCGCAAGCTCCTATCCCGGGACATGGTTGGGCGCGTGGAGCGAGAGATTCAGTATCTGCAATTGCTACGACACCCTCACATCATTAAACTGTAGGCAATAGTCCCACCTCTCTATGTCCCTTTCTTTATCTCCTGGGAGGAATTGATGCCTCCCTCGCTGTCTCTCCCGCTGTCTATGATTGTACTGGTATGTCCTGGTTCACTGACCGAGTTGCCCCGCCTCTCCCGCTAGATACACCGTGATCGCCACCAAAACCGACATTGTGATGGTCCTCGAGTATGCCGAACGCGAATTGTTTGATTATTTGGTTCGAAAGGGAAAATGTGGTGATGATGAAGCCCGCAAGTTCTTCCAGCAGATCATTTGCGCCGTCGAGTACTGCCATCGACACAAGATTGTCCACCGTGATTTGAAACCCGAGAACCTCCTCATCGATAGCACGAAAAGTGTCAAGATCGCCGATTTCGGATTGAGTAACATTATGACGGATGGAAATTTCCTGAAGACTAGCTGTGGAAGTCCAAACTATGCTGCTCCGGAGGTTATCTCTGGAAAGCTCTACGCCGGCCCCGAGGTGGATGTTTGGAGTTGCGGTGTCATCCTCTACGTGCTTCTGGTGGGCCGCTTGCCCTTTGACGACGACTATATTCCTGCCCTATTCAAAAAGATCGCTGCAGGCAACTTCCACATCCCCGGATACATCTCTCCTGGGGCAGCCCGGCTCATTCGCGCCATGCTTCAGGTCCACCCGGTTCACCGAATTACCATTCCGGAGATTCGACAAGACCCCTGGTTCACAAAGAACCTGCCCAAGTACCTGGAGCCACCACCAGAGGAGTTCATCGCTACAGATGTGGACCTGAGCAAGATCGACCCTCGTAAGGTGGGCTCTGGAAAAACGGTCCCTGTGCAGCATAAAATCCACCAGATTGCCGTGTCCAAGCTGGAGCGAAGCATGGGATACGATCGGGAAGATATCGAAGATGCCCTGCGTCATCCAGAGCCTAGTGCAATCAAGGATGCCTTTTCAATTGTCGTTGAAAATGAAATGATGCAGACCAACTGTGAGTTATTGTTGTCCCATATGTCAACCTCTTATCAGGGCGCGCTAGCTAACTAATTTTTTCTCATACAGCCCCAACCGACGACAATATATTGGCTCAGAGTGTTTCACCCCAGCCAAGAACACCCGTACCAACTCCCGCCCAACGAACACCCACCGCTCAAAGACCCCAAGAGCAGCAACCAGCTGCGGCCCCTTCCGTTGCACAAACTCCAAGTGTCTCACGCCGCATTCGACCAGAGGAGACTCAACAAGACGATACCGAAGAATTCGAATCAGCGCGTCTCAGTCATGTTCGGATTTTGCCTACCAGCTTACCTTACGTGCATGATCAACTCATGGAGCAACGTGACCGAGAACAAAGAGCTCGTCTCGAAGAGCGCCGACGGGAAGCCGCTCGTGCCGAAGAGGATCAATCGGGATCTGAACGCAGAGAGTTGACCCCGGAAGAGCAGGCTGCAACTGCTCGGGCCTTGAAACCCCATTCTCGCAGCGTCGTCGACCTGGATAAGTTGAAATTCGAACCGCCCATTGGCCATCCCATCACACAACAGCCCAAGAAATCCCGCAAATGGCAATTTGGCATCCGCTCACGGAATCAACCATACGAGGCGATGCTGTACTTGTACCGAGCCATCGCCGCCCAAGGTGGAGTGTGGGATATTCAGCCCGTCGAATCAGGCACGACTATTGGTCCCGATGCCACATCAGACCAACCCAAGCCTCTGCAAAGCAAATACCCCGATCTCCCATCAGACTACTACATTCCTAAGGATCCCTGGTTCATTCGCGCCCGCTTGTTGAAAGAAGGCGTCAAAGCCCCGGGGCCATCAACCAGTGTCTATAACAGCCGTAGCGACCTGGAAGAACTCCGTCGGCGGTTCAACATTTCCGGGATCTCCGCCCCAACCGAGGACAAGGAAAAGGACATCAAGTCTCCTACATCCGACAACGGCGGCATATCCGCACCCTCATCGGCCACGCAAAACACCGGTCTACCCAGTATCTCGCACGGTGTCTGGGTCTTCGTTGATATCCAGCTCTACCAACTCGAGGAGAACAATTACATGGTTGACTTCAAGTGCGACGGCTACCAGAACGTTATTCGCGCCCATGGCGATACAGAATGGCACCCGATTAGCAAGCGCTTCATGAACAAGGAGAAGGAGGTCACTAGTCCATACCCTTTCCTTGATGTGGCATCAGACCTTGTGGCTCAGCTGGCCGTGGCTAGTTAGATGCCTCGAATTTCACTATTGTTATGATCATGACATTTCCCATCATAGTCACCCACTCCTGGTCTCGTTTGCCAACATTTGTTAATCTGTTTTGCTGATAAGTGTGGAGTATGTGCTTGTACATGGATTTTCTTCTTGCATTTGGTGTGTCATTTTTTTTTTTTGAATATTTTCATGAGCAAGCGTGTCTTTTATGGTGATTTTCACATTATATGGAGTTTATCGCTCTATTATCTTACGTTCTACAATACAAATTATGATAACTTTTGACTGTGATTCCAACGCAAAGCACACACCGTATTGATTCTCTCGGCTTCCAAGTACAAAAATCAGAAAAGTCCAATGACTTACCTCAGGATCATTCCCTCATACCCCAACGCTCTTATCCTAGACAAGTTCCAAATTCCCACTCAAACCAGTAATCTTACGCCCTTTCCACCAAGGAATCGAACGCAAGACTTCCTAAACACAGGCAAAAACCCCATCCCCTTCCAACACCAATGACATTGAAACGACTCAACCACCTCCCGAACACGATCAAACGACATCGTCGACCCAACAAGACTACATAACCACACAGGAACCGGAGATTCTTGCCTCATCGCAAATTTACTCGTACCCATAACTTCACCCGCATGAATCGAAAAAAAAAATGGTGAAATCCCACCCCAATTCTCCAATTGTTTCAGCGTGGCGAGAGGTACATTGTACTGTGGTAGTTTGGACATTCGCGATGGGCCTGGCAGTAATGGATCCATATGTTGGAAGGGATGGGATGTTCGGAAGCCGTTCATTCTAAGAAATCCAACTTGATAGACTGAGGGTAATTCCGACTTCTGCCAAAGATTGAACTTGATCCTAATTAGAACCGCAGTTATGCAGCAACTTTTGGAATCAACTGATTTGAATTTGTCGAAGTCCAGCAACCGCACCGTCCATGGCCCGTGTAATATCACGAGTCAGTCTCCGCTGCCTCCGAAGCTCATAGCTTGCATAGGACAGCATTTGCTTGATCTCGTTGCACTTGACATAAAAGTAGCTATCCCCTAAAGATGCTTGATACATTCCGATATCTTGAATCGCTTGTTCCATGACCGAGGCCATTGCCTCAGGTGGTATATAATAAGTATTGTTTACCCACGATGTGAGGTTTCCGATGAGCTCATATCGTAGCTGCAAGAACTGTGCGAGGAGTTGCATTTTGAACTGGGGAACTTGAGATGATTGAGAGTTTGAAGATCTAGTGGGAACAAGGACTGGATACTGGGAAGTCGGATGAGGTTTGGCATGTGCTGATCTGTACCAAAGGTGCTGAGAGTGAGTTGAGTTTACTTGCACTGCAGTGGTTGGCTTTAACAACTTCTGCAGTTAAGGGAGGTCGAGAAATTGATCACAAGTAATTATTCGTTCTTTGAAGGGCATCCTTCCATCAAAATTGGACGCCTCCCTTTGTTGGAATTTAAGAGATCTCATTGAATAGATACTCCATTCATGATGGATCGTGCAGACAGAGTAAACTATCGAGAGGTACAGGTAGATGGTCGAGTCACAAAGAGCGGGACCACAGCTCCCGAAAGAATCAAAGCCATTCGTCATACATTGATCGCCACTATACCACCCCAATGCTTACTCGCAAAATGAGGTAACAAAGAACTTCTCTCACACAATCTCGGCTCACTTTGTCCGTGGACTAACAAGACCATAAAAGTTCAATGGCTTCACACTAAAAGCCCCATTCGAGACCAGTTCATACTTCAGGTCCTGAAACTCGAATGAGACTTCTTTCAAGATAGTCGCAAGAGTAAAAATAGACCAGCGCCATGCCCACATCTTTCCATAGCACTCGCGTTTGCCGTTACCGAAGCCTTTCTTTGCTGCGCTCGGAAGATTGTCCCATTTCTCACCGAGCATACGTTCCGGACTGAAGGTTTCTGGATCCTCGAAGACTTCGGGATCGCGGTTAACGGAATGCAAGATGACGATCATGGTTTGATCATGGGGGATCTCGTATTTCCCTCCTGCGAGGAATATCGGGCTCTTGTCTTGGGTAGGAATGGGCTCGATGTTGAAGCCTGGAGCGGTGGCTGATAGACGCAAAGTCTCCCGTATGATAGCTTCGCAGTACTTCAACTCCCTGAGTTTCTCAAGCTGGATCTTTTGGTCCGAGCCGATGACTGAGTCTATCTCCGCATATGCCATGGTCCTCTTCTCGGGGTTCTTCATCAGGTAGTACAGTGCATAAGAGACAAGGTTAGAACTGGTAGCAGCTCCGATAAAGATAGTCACGACCTCATCCACAACCTGTGTGTCACTGAGCTTCTCCCCGGTGTCCGGATCCGTACCATGTAACAGTGCGTCTAGCAGGTCGTTGCGAGATTCTTCGGGCGTCTCCTTCCGCCTCTTGATAATTCCTCTTGCAAAATCACGCATGATCTTGATGTCTTTCTCGAAGCCACGCTGATAGAACAGCTGATTGAGGAGGTTTGGACGTGTAGGCCGTTTCATTGCTTCCATAGTAATTCGCTCCAGAGCAGGAATGATGGCAGGTTCCGGCCCTTGTAGGACCTCGACGCGCTGATTGAAAAAACATTGCATACAGGACGCCATAAGTAGACGATCGAGGTCATCCGTAATAAGCACTGACTGTTTGATCGTCGTTGTCCATTTGCGTGTCAAGTCTGGGATCACGGTCGCCATGTCATCAAAACAAGCATCAGTCTCCGACACCGTGACATAAGGAATCATGATCCTATGCGCAATACCCCAGCTCTTCTCATAATCGTATGCGGTAAACAGGCAGTCATTTGCGCAATGTCGCATCTCCACAATAGGCCCCGTCACGCATTTTCTGAACCGTCGCTGATCGCATATTTCTTGGAGTAGGTTCACATTGCCGATGAAGACGATCTGGTTCCCAAACACTTTGATCTTGAAGACTGGGCCGTATATCTTGGCAAGTCTATTCAGTGAGTTCCATGTTTCATCGGTGTTGACATCGAACACGTTTCCCAGTATGGGGATGCCGGGCGGTCGGGGTATCTTGCAGGACATAGCCTTCTTGGTTGATATTGTGGAGAGGTAGGCAGAAATAAAGACATGCTACGAGGGATGATGGCCTGGTGTCTTATACGTGACCGCTATGGTTTTTCAAGCAGACTCGAAACATGTAGTCAACAAACACCACAGTGCTGATGGCTTGCTGAAGTGGAGTTACACGGTCATGGGGCCAAGACATAGGCAATTGTAGGCGATAGGCTGACCTACTCATTTGGAAGCGGAGATCCATGATTCGATAATTATGTGGACACGTCACACAATTATAATCTGGACTGCATATAGAGGGGCGTCCCTTTTTGTTGCGCGGTGTTCGTGCCTTACTGCCCACCCAAAGCGGGTAGCGCTTTGGGTGCGCCACGGTTTCTTCGTAGTAGTACCTTTTGTATATCCTCACCATACAAAAGGTATATAATTTATCCGTTTATTTTTCCTCTAAGAAAATTTACTATAAGGAACCTTCAAGAACGATTTTTGACCCTTATTCTAAGCTAAACCCATGAATTACTATAGCACTAAGTATAAGCTACCTTGAAATAATATTACTATCCTATTAAATCTAGACCTCTTCTAGTAAAATACTAAGATATTCGAGAAAAACTAGATTTGTTAAGTAAGTACCTTTTGTATAGTCAGGCTATATAAAAGTTACATTACGAAGAAATTGTGAATTACAAAGGAACGTTGGCGCACCCAAACCGCTACCCGGTTTGGGTGGGCAGAAAGGCACGGATATAAACAATAGAGACGCTGCCTCTCTCCTATATCTACTGGGGGCCTATTCAAAGAATTACCTAGCCTGGAACGGCACCTGCAGATTACCGTAGTTACTAAGTACACATATTGTGATCTGCATCATCATGCATAATACGGCGAAGAAGTTAAGCACAAATTTTAGAATCTCACAATTTTTGTATTGGCGGTCATTGTTCCTGGGCAATAGGTAAGCTCTAGACAGATCAAAAGAAGGTCACCTGACATTCACTGTCGAGATGATAGATGATCGTTGAGTGACCTTCTCAATCCATGAAATACTCCTCCACCATGCCCCGAAATTCAGATGACCATGGGTGATTGGATTGGCATTTGCTGGTCGCTTATCTCTTTTTCTTGTCGAGGGGCTTTTTGATGGCTCCTTTAGCGGAAACACGAGTGACCAGCTTAGCGCCTTTGCGACCCCCTGGCCAGAGGCGGCAGCGCCATCCTCGAAAATCTCCTCATCGTCTTCGGAGTATTCCTCGCTTCCGTTGGTATGCTCCTGCTCGTGACTCTTCTCACTGCCTCCCTTCTTGGCCCGCTTCTTCTGGGAGGAACGTTGACGAGCTTCCTCGATCACGAGTGGGTCGAACGTGGGCAGAATCTCGATATCTGGGAACCGCACCAAACTATTCCGTTCATGATAGGCGGCATTTTGTGCAAGCTTCCTATCATCCTTTGAGAGGGTGGCACCGCCATTTGGCTTGGTACGCCTCAGTTTCTTGCTGTCCTCTTCGTTTTTGATCTTTGTTAGATGAGTTCGGATCCGCTCCACGATGTTTCGGATCTCATCAAAGGACTTTCCAGTCCCTACCTCACGCTGCAGCCACTCAGGCACGGGGGCCGTGATTGCAGTTGGGTGCCGACGACCGTTACCCAGGAGCCCTGTTGGGGCCGGGCGCTCGCCCTGTCCATCGGCGCGCAACGCCTCCCGGCGACGAAGACGCAGTTCGAAGCAGAGGACATGGCCCCACTGCTCCATGCGGTCGAGAGACTGCATCAACAGCTCACACTGATTGAAAGGCCACTGCTCGGCCCGGTATCTAGCGCGCTGGTAATGTTTCCGACAATAATAGACCCAAACACTATCCGGAAAGAGCTTCGTGGAGGCCTTGTTCCTTCCGAAGAGATGGGACACAATCTTTCGAAAATGAACGCCATCGGGACTGGGTGACATTTGGCAGGGTCGAGAGAATTCACACAGTGGCGCGAAATTCTCAGTGTCGCAGGAATCAAGGTCGTGGACTTGTTCCCCTTCTGGATCGAGGGACTCTCCTACAGCCTCGGGCAGAGCATGCTGTTCATGAATATGAGGTGTAGGATGTCCATGGTAAACGGGCACAAAGGAGCTTGCAGGCGAAATTGGCGGAAGGTCATTCCCCTGGGGAGGCTGTTGGGGGCTGACCATGTTCCAAGTGTTGGTGACGCTCTGGGGGGAGGTACTGGCTGAAGCCGAGCGACGTGATAGAGGGGAGCTGATTGGGGATTGGTACAGATGGCTGCCAAACCCACTGACCGGGGGGCATGACCATGTTTCCGTTGAACGAGGCACTGCTTGAGAGGAAGCGAGCTGGCTGTGGAAAGGTAGATTCGACGGAAGCAGGGGAAGGGACGGCATGGAGACCAGAAAATTGGTCACAATTTTGGTCGATGGCACCGGGCCTCATCTGCATGGAATGAGGGCGTGAATTTGTGTCGATGGGCGGTTGCAGTTGGCTTCCTGAAGGCTGGTTCCATGGGTACTGGTTCTCAGGCAAGTCAGACGTACCGACTTGATCGTCCGCGAGCCCCGGCAGTTGATTCCCCCACGGGGGTTGAGCCATGTTGGATGTGACGGAGAATGGGATAAGCGATGTCTTGGGTGGGGATGGTATTGTTGATGGAAGAAAAAGGTGTCCAGAGGATGGGGTAAAGAGAATGATGGAAGGGAGATAAAAGTATAGGAGAGGAGACGAGGAACGAAAACAGGACAGAAGTTGAGGTTGGATGTTTGCGAGGGACAGACGCAACGCAGGAAATTCCCTCCAGGCTGACCACGCCTGATCCAAATTGGGAAAGTTTGCATGGATGCCTTCACGATGTCTTGTGTCTACCCAGTCTCCAAGGCATGTTTATTTTGAACGATGAAACTGGGACACTTCAGAAGTTTCTACTCTGATTTGAAGCTTCAAGAATCAGCCCAAGCCATCGATCTGCTTCGACTTGAGCCCAGGACTTACAACAAGTACCAGGATTACAATCAACACCAGCCCAGGCACAGGTCCCAGCAACTACCAACCGCCAAACCTCGATATGCATGCTCCAACCGTGTCATGGTCCTTACGATGCTTCAATTCGCCTCGAACCGACTACAGATGACGTCGAGACACGATACGCATCTTATACTCCAGACACATAACAGCATATCCAATCAACCAAGTCGATCGTCAGGATAGAGATTCTGTTATGAACACGATCCTATGCCAGACTGGAACCAAAACTGTTGAACCTTTGACCAATGGGTTGAAGTCATGGCGTGGATTCTCCCGTACTTACATCCCGATATTGACACCGAGCCAGGATTCTGAACAAAGCAAGGTCTGTAGTTGACGACATGATTGATGGACCATGCTTCCAAGAACATTGCGTCGCAATATGGCAGCGCACCGTGTCTCGATAAAATGGCCCGGCCAAGGACGAGGAAAGATTAACAGATCTCTGGGCGGAGCGAACAGAGCAATACCACAATGATCGCCTTGAATTAAACGATCTGAAGGTTGATGAGCATGGCTAACAAGATCTGATGTTGCTAGTTGGACTTTAGATACATCACTGTTCCCTTCCCATTCATTCGAATACCCAGGAATTCCAAGCCATTCCAGTCAACTGAGGAATCCCAAAGCCAACAAAAGGATCTGTCTATTCCAGCAGGTCGATATCGATCCTGTGTCTCTGATATAACATCCTGTCTACACGGCGGGCCTCCAAGGCAAGATTGCGAGCGGGCTGTCCGAAGCTATATCAGACTAGAAAACGCCGCATCCTGACTAGCTGAGCTCACAGGAGAATTGATCTCTGATAGTGACCAGTAGCCTTAGCACATAATAAATCAAGTCGATGTGTCTGCTAAACCTATAGTCATTTGGGTGCATCAACTCTGCAGAGGGAGCTCTGTGTATAGCCCCTCTTCAGCAATTCGTCGATATCTTCAATCCACTTTGTCTAGACTTTCCCGGTTCTCTGATTGAGCTAGAGTAGCTCGCTATCACATATGAAAGCCTCGAGCGATGTAATATGATTTAATTGGATATCGTGGTGATATTAGAAAGAGTGGGTACGCATGGAAAGCTTAGCAGCGTAGCCAAGAAAAGGACAGGTCAGACCTCAGCACCAGCAGAATGAATTGACTATATCTATGCTTCTGGAACTTAAAAAGGAGCTTGTTAAAATGCAAATAAACTGTGTTATTGGAAAACTTGGAGGCAGCAGAATGGACTTCTAATAGCACGAGGTTGGTACGGGTATTGGATATTCAACGAGAGACAATTTTACCCTACTGCCAGCGTCAGAATCACGAAGAAATCGATGCATTACAGAAGCAAAAAAAAAAAACTTGAATATTTGACAATTTGAGTATAGTCCAGATATCCAAGACCTGACGCGTGTTTCGTCAATCGGGAAACGACAGCGTCGCAACGGTCGTCACCTCCGCCATGCAACGAAGTACTACCTAGTGGACGGAGCCTATGAGTTCTTCGGCAATCTACTCGTATCTACCGGTAGCACTAATCCTGCAAAAGATGAGCACTTGCATGAAGAAAGTCACTTTGGCTACAATACAGACGAGATCTCGGAGAAGCGCCCATTACGAAACGAATTCCCATTCACCAATTGCCTTTTCGGGGAGCCCAAGAATCTTCGCGGATTGTCGGATATGAGCGTCGGCCATAACGGTAACTAATCCCCATATGATGAAACAAGCTTCTGACTCTGGCTGGCTACAAACTCCGTTCGCAGTAGTATCGTCAGGTTACGGGAAATTGCGGGGGTGATGGGATGGCCTCCACGCTATTCCCTACAAGGTAATATTCCCGCAGATTTCTGACGCCGGGTTCTGCTGGGGATCGTCGCAATGCCGGTTGAAGAACCTGTTGATTGGGGCATCATTTACTTTCTAACATCCACCCTGAAAAAGCTACCATCTGAGTGCGATGAAAGGCCCTGCACCGCTAAGTGTAGGGTACGAACATCGAGGAATATAAAATGCTAAACTTGCGCCGACTTAAGATGATGAAACAGACCTTCTCCAAAGCACTCTACCAAGACTCCTGCGAATACTCTCGAGATGGTATACGCTGCCTGGACTCTCCTTAGCCTTGCTGCTCTCAGCCATGCGGCTGAGAAGCGGGCTGGCTCGGCATCAGCATACAGCTCCAACTCTGCTGGGAACTACAAACTTTCATCCATCGCAGCTCCTGTCCAAGGCAGCGGCAGCCCCGGATCAGAGTCAACCTGGCAGCTAAGTATAGATGATACAAGCTCCGGCCACAAGCAGACAATTGTCGGCTTTGGCGCGGCAGTTACCGATGCGACGGTGACTTCTTTCAACACGCTCTCAAGCTCCAACCTCCAGGCCCTTCTCCAGGACCTGATGACCAGCTCCGGTGCCGACTTCAGCTTAATGCGCCACACTATCGGAGCCTCAGATCTATCGGGAGACCCTGCATACACCTACGATGACAACGGAGGTGCGGCGGACCCGTCCTTGTCAGGCTTCAGTCTGGGAGATCGCGGTACCGCGATGGCGAAAATGCTGGCCACGATGAAGTCATTGCAGTCCAGCCTGAAGATCTTTGGATCTCCCTGGAGTGCCCCGGGTTGGATGAAGCTGAATGGTGTTATCGACGGGACCACAACCAACAACAATCTGAACGATGGGTATCTGAGCGGAGGCACGGGGACCTCAGGGTACGCCAGTGCATTCGCGAACTACTTCGTGAAATACATCCAGGCCTACGAGAATCTCGGTGCCCATATCGATGCAATCACTATCCAGAATGAGCCTCTGAACAGCCAGTCAGGCTATCCGACAATGTATGTCTACGCAGATGAATCTGCGCAGCTCATCCAGAATTACATAGGTCCTGCTCTTGCAAACGCCGGCCTGAACACGGGTATCTGGGCCTACGACCACAACACCGGTAAGTTGAGTGCCCAAACACAAACCTTGATCCCAATCTAACATTGCTCCCAAAGATGTGCCTTCTTACCCTCAGACCGTCATCAACGGCGCTGGCAAATACGTCGACTCCGTTGCCTGGCACTGCTACGCCTCCAACGTTGACTGGAGCGTCCTAACCCAATTCCACAATACAAACCCCTCCGTCAATCAGTACATGACCGAATGCTGGACTCCAGCCGGAACCTGGAACCAAGCCGCCGACTTCACCATGGGCCCGCTCCAGAATTGGGCATCCGGAGTCGCAGCCTGGACTCTGGGGACCGACAGCTCCGACGGACCGCATCTCTCCAGTGGTGGCTGCTCTAACTGCCAGGGCTTGGTCACGATCAGCGGAGGCAGTTATACGTTCAACCCAGCTTACTACATGATTGCGCAGTTTAGCAAGTTTATGCCGCCCGGTGCGATCGTGCTCAATGGTAATGGCAGTTATACTTATTCGAATGGTGGTGGTGTGCAGTCTGTTGCGTCGCTGAACCCTGATGGGACGCGCTCGGTTGTTATCGAGAATACCTTCAGCAATGATGTCTATGTGACGGTGTCGACGCAGAGTGGGCAGGAGTGGAGTGGGAATATTCCGAGCGAGTCTGTTACTACCTGGGTGCTTCCAGCGGTGTAATATTGGGATTGAACATGTTATGAGATCTTTGATAGATCAGCGTCTTTTGACCACGTCGTTGTACCCTTGATGCAAAGGGCAGAGCTACTTGGCGAGTGAAGAAGTGCTCGCATCGCCAACAGAGAGTATTTTGGTTTAACTGTCGCTTCTTTTATTTCGAAATGGCACTTTACCACGTTTTATCTGAGGATATTTTCGGTGAAGAATGAATGATCAACACATAGAAAGTATCTTATTCAATACCCGTACCTAGATCGTTAGGGCTAAAGTGTCACGTGAACACAGCTCCGCACTTCCAGATACCCAGACACAGGCACTCTATTCTACGAAAAGACACTGGAGACACAGAAGGTATTTTAATCATATGGAGATGATGATATTGTGCTTCTTGTTCTATCATGTAGAGGTCATTATCGTGGTGCAAAGTCCAACTCCCTATGTACAGAATCACACAGATGATAACAATAGGTGAGGGGGAGTTGGTAGGGGATGAGAGAAGTAGATCTCAGAGCCTCTAATTTTATCAAAGGGGAATAGAACCCCGTGGAAGAATCATTCATGTATGGGCAAGGGGAATCGCTCAAAAAACAATCGATGGGGGAAACAGGTATCATCCAGAAAACGCCGAGGAGGGTATGCAAAACGAAGTATGAAAGAGGGCAAGAGATAGACGATAGATCACTGAGCAGCAGAGGCAAGCGATGACTGCAGTGCCTGAGTCAAAGCCTCTTCCTGACGCTTACGTTCCATCTCCATCAGGTACTGGGCGTACTTGGAGCGGGGGTTGTGGATACCACACTCGGTCTTCTGCTGGCCCTTCCAGCGACCGGAACGCTCGTCCTCGTTGTCAGCGACGGGCTGGGTCGAGTGCCAGTCGCCAACACTCTTGTATCCGCGATCGAGGAGCTCGTTGTAGGGGACGTTGTGCTCCTTGACGTAGGCCTTGACCTGGTCGAAAGACCAGTTGGCCATGGGGTTGATCTTGATGAGACCGGCCTCGTCGACCTCAATGACGTCGAGATCACCGCGCTTGCCACCCTGGCTACGGCGACGGCCAGTAAGAACAGCGTGGACATTCATTTCCCGGTAGGCACGCTGGGCAGGCTCGACCTTGGCAACCCAGTCGTAGAGCTGGTCATCCATCTCCCAAAGACGGGAGCCATACTTGGATTCGAATTCAGCGGCGGTGTCAGCACCGAGAGGCTTGTACACATGCACGTTGTTGAGCGGGTAACGCTTCCGGACCTTGTCAACGAGGGCCAGGGTCTCAGGGAAGTGGTGAAGAGTGTCGAGGAAGATGAGGTCAACCATCTGGGGTCGGGGCACCTCCAACTTGGACAGCATATCCAAGGTGACGAGACCAGTCAAGCCAAAGGCAGTGGTCTGGAAGAGGTGAGGCAGTGATGTGATGCACCACCTCAGGATATCTGTATAGGAGTATCGAGTCAGACCCTGATCGTCCGGCAAAAGCGGGGTTCCAGGCTGGCGGGAGAAAAAGCAATATCAAACATACCTTGAGGCTCGAGGAATTGCAGTTGACGGTTGAGGAACTGGAGGTGTGGCTTGGTGAAGACAATCTCGGGAACATAGTCGTCACTGGAGCCACCGCTCACATAGCCAGACTCGGTGTTGGCATCCCTGGAATCAATGCCATTCTCCAGGTCCGAAGGATAGTTCTTGGCTGGCATTGTGTGAAGGTTGGGGATGTGATATGCAGGAATGGCAAAGCAGGACTCAAAAGGACAATGGGACTTTTCACACCACACGGTGGCGTTGAGGGCAGATGATGAAGCGTGGAGAGGGATGGCAGGTTGACGATTGAAAGGATATAAAAGAAGAGCAAGTGGATTATTGAGCACGACATCATCCCGATCAGTCGTGCCTAGCATTTCTCATCCGGCTCCAGTGCCGTCAAATTCTGCCGGCCTGCAGGGACGCAATCACGCAATCGTGCTGACCGCCTTTGAGCACGCCATTGATGCGCAGTTGGTCCGTGTGGGACACCGAAACCAGCCAATTTTGTCGGTTTGCCCTGTAAATCGTAGGCATTCTCGGATCTTCCACTAGCTATGAAGAGTATAGCGCCCAGGTTGCCATGAGAATTCTGCTGCTACAGGCTGATAAATCCGTTGTGCTAAAAAATGAAGGGCGTGTGCTCAGCCCAGCACATGGGGGATCTCCGCGGCTGACCAATGCATCTTTGCAGTGCAGCGTCGTCATTTGCTCTCTAATCAATGATGTTAGTGGATTTCTAGAAGATTGGTGGAATCACTAGAGGTTACCCGATCTGTAATTGAGCTTACTTGTAGGCTGATGTGCGTCATCATGAAGAAAGCTCTGGCGTAGAGCTGCGATGTCGTTGCACTACTGCCTTACACTTGTTCGCTGGATCATGCCCCGCCCTGATTATGTCATGGGTCATGTGACTTGATTCTAACTGCGATCGTGAACGGGTCAGTCATGTGACTTTGCGGGCCGGACCACCACGTGCGATCGCCAACCTTTTTTGGGCAAGTTGGAGTTTGGAAGTTATTGTACAGTCCAAAGAACAAGGAGAACCACGCCGGAGACCCTTGCGTCTCCTCCTGTAAAGACTTCATCATGGTCGACTCAGTCACCTCCCGTCAGCGGCCTTCGCTTGGCCAGATGCGAGGCAATTCCTTCCTGCAGGACCATCAGCAGTATAAGCCCCCAATTAACCAGACAATTGGAGAGGTACTCAGCGCACAGCTGGACGAGGTCACATTGACCAACCCGATCAAACCAGATCCAGAGCGTGTCACAGATAGCGGCATCATTCACAGCATCTTCAACCACCAGACCAACCAACTTCCGCAGGGTACCCCGCGCATCGTCGCGACCATCTTCTACAAGTCCGCCAATCCCGTCCACCCCCACTACCACCCCGATGCCTCGCCTGCTTTGCACCCAGGTGATAAGCTGCCCTCGCCGCATATTCCCGCCGGGTCAGCTCCGTCAGTTGATATCGAGAAGATTCCTCGTGAGCCGCCTGCACCGGAGCCCGAACCGCTGGACCACCTGTACGGGCCATACGTCTCGCAGCTGTGCCTGACCAACTTCCTCCAAACTCTTGAGTCCTTGCCCACCCCGTATCAGCGCACAAACACCTCACACCGCTGCCTGGATCGCGAGCAGCATCCCCGTGTCGTGGAAGTAACTATCTCCCCACCACCGGATCCCGCGTATCTTTCGTTCAGCGATCTGCGCAAGCATGAAAATATCTGGCGGTTCGAGCGCGAGTGGAATGTTGAAGTGGTGCTACAGCAAGAGAGTGTCTTCCGCCGGCATAAGCGGCTAGCAGTGTTCGATATGGACAGCACTCTGATTGAGAACGAGGTCATTGATGAGATTGCCAAGTTCATCGGTGTAGAGAAGGAAGTTTCAGTGGGTTACCCAGTATAACTGCCGATGAGAGCATACTGACCGTAGTGTTAAAGGAAATCACTGAGCGCGCTATGAATGGTGAACTCGACTTTTCGGCGTCCTTAAAGGAGCGTGTCGGTCTACTCAAGGGTGTCCCGGCCGATGTGTTTGACAAGCTCAAATCGGTTATCACCATCGCCAAGGGTGCCCGCGAGTTGTGCCGTGCCCTGAAAGCTCTGGGCTTCAAGATGGCCGTTCTGAGCGGTGGTTTCCAGCCTCTGGCTGAGTGGCTTGCTGGCCAGTTGGGCCTGGATTACGCAGTTGCGAATCACGTAAGCGAAAACTTGATCTTTCCCAAATGTAGGCATCCCAAATGTACATCGCTCTGACTTTATCATTTAGCTTGAGATCGACCCGGTAACCCAGACTCTCACCGGAAAGCTGGTAGAGAACAAGCCCATCATCGACGCCGCTCAAAAGCGCACCCTCCTCAAGTCAATCGCTGCTGAGAACAACATTCCCCTCTCTCAGACGATCTCTGTTGGTGACGGAGCCAATGATCTTCTCATGCTTCACGCAGCAGGCCTGGGTGTCGCCTGGCGCGCCAAGACCAAGGTCCAGCTCGAAGCCCCCACTCGCATAAACGGCGAGAGCCTCACCGATATCCTCTACCTGCTGGGACTGGACAATGAGGATATTTCCGAAGTCATCAAGAACACGGAGTAAACAATTCTGTGAATAGCTTTTCTTACAATGAGCCTTTACTTCTCCCGTGCCATTCAGCAGAACCACAATACCCATTACAATACGGCCGACCTGATTGGACCTCTGATATCCACTTATTTGGAGTTTGGGACAGCATGAAAACGCGCTAGTCCACGGACATTTTGACTTGCATTCTTCTTGATATATGAATAGCCTGGAATTTAACGAAGCACAAGAGGTTAGAGTTTGATGCCTTGATCCGTTTATAGTCTGCTTTGGAGATGAGAAAATCATATGGCGGCGTAGGCGTACACCTAGCACCGCGCATAGATCACGACCAAGACGTAGTCAAGAAATGATACGAATTGCACAAAGAAACTCATTTTGATTGTGGTATATGGTATATGGAATGAAACATTTAAAAGGTAGACGAGCCAGTCGCACTGTCTAGAAAGTGGAGGGAGCACGAATGTACAAATCGAAATCCGTTGACGGTGATACAAAAAGAACAAGGCCAGTTGCAATTGTGAATCAGACAAAAGTAAATCCCAGACCCCACCGATGCAAATTCAACGCCGAGCGAAGGAATGGTGTATAAACCACGCAGAAAGAAATGGTGTCAAGGTTGAAGGACTTGACGTGCCACACATATTATCATATTTTCTCATTCAAATCAAGGCGAGAAGCCTCACCGAGCAGCCTCGTCCACCGCAGCCACAGTCTGATCAACGGTAGCAGCTCCAGCTCCAGCACGGCGCTTCTTCAGCACGTTCTCAATGAACGCCTCGCCAGCCTTGTAACTGCTGCGAACCAAGGGACCAGAGGCACAGTACAAGAAGCCCATTTCAAGGGCACGCTTGCGCCAGAACTCGAAGCGGTCAGGCGTAACATACTCATGGACAGCCATGTGACGCTTGCTAGGGCGCATGTACTGGCCGAAGGTGACAACGTCGACATTAACAGCGCGGAGCTGTCGAAGGGCATCCTCAATCTGCTCATCGGTCTCGCCGAAGCCAAGCATGAGGGATGTCTTGGTGATAAGATCAGGACGAGCCTTCTTGGCAGCATCGAGAACGCGAATTGATTGTTGGAACGTGGCACGACGATCACGAACGTGCGGCGTCAGAGCCTCGACGGTCTCGACGTTGTGAGCGTAGACATCGAGGCCGGACCGGGCTACCAAGGCCACCATATCCAAGTTACCCCAGTAGTCACCGGTCAAACACTCAACCAGAATGTTGGGCGCCTTTTGCTTAATCTTGATGACCGTCTCGGCGAAATGGCGCGCTCCGCCGTCTGCCAGGTCGTCTCGGTCCACGCTCGTCAAAACCACATATCCGAGTCCCCAGCGCGAGATAGCCTCCGCAGTATTTTCAGGCTCATGCGGGTCCAGAGGGGCCGGAGCTCGGCTCGTCTTGACGCTGCAGAAGCGACATCCACGCGTGCAAGTATCACCCATGAGCATGATTGTCGCTGTCGCAGCTGACTTATCACTGCCACCCCAGCAATCGGAAATGTTAGGACAACGAGCCTCTTCACAAACGGTGTGCAGGTTCAATCCACGCAGATCCTTCTTCAATCGCTGGTAATTCTTCGAGTCCGGGATAGGCGTCTTCAGCCACGAGGGCAAACGAGTCATTTCCTTCTTGCGGCCGGCGGGTCCGACCATGGCGGTCTTGAGGGCATACGCCTCGGAAGGGTCGAGAGGCTCTTCCTTGCCCCCGAGACGAAATCGGAGAAAGAAGGACCAGCATTCAGCTTGTCCTTGAAGGTCGTTGTTCGCCGCCGGGTAGTTCCCTCGGGTGTGTTGGAGGTGGCGGAAGAAGCATCCGTTGTAGCGTAAGTGCGTTGGGCGATAGGGAGGATCGACGATGAGCGCGGTTGGATTGTCACTCGGACAGACGACAATTGTCGTAGACTCCGTGTTGGTACTGCCATTATGAAGGTGTGTATGTGTGTAGGTTATGTCGAAGTCAAGAAATCGAGCAACAGACCGCAAAAGAAAGGTAGCGCCCGATCGAATCCCGCGGGAAACCGTGCTGACTAAGATTCGCCGACCGGGGGCATTATTATTCCGCCGATCTCGGTGAGAGGACCCGATGCCGAGATTAAGCTTGCCATAGTCACTTAAGCTTGTTCTAACCGGAGCATTAATTCGAGGGAGCAAACCTTCCCTCGGAGTGATGAAATTGAAAGCCATTATGATTATGCTTTACTATGCTGCTACCAAGCTAATTGTACAGATTCAACAGACCACCAAAGCAACACATCCGAATAAGCGAATCGCAATGCAAGGGTATGAAGGTGAGAAAAATGAACACATGACAGCGAAAAAAGGTTAGGAAATGTTCGAGTCAATCGAAGAGTGGGAATCATTACTAAGAAATGGAAAAGAGGCGAGCGAGGGCGGAGTTGAGTCAGAAAAAGGAAATTATCAAGGAGAGAGGTAGACTTCCATCCAAGTGTGGATGGATGAAGAGTGAGAAGGATTGTGGAAAGGATCAAGAAGATTTCAAGAAGGATTAACGCGGGGCATTTGTTTCAAGGACTTGGGCCAGAACCTCAATGGCAGATTTGAGAGTATTGTCGGATCGACCACAGATGGCAAAGAGCAGGTTATCGATGATCCGTTCGACATCCTGACGCATATTGGTGCTGCGCGAGCCCAGCATGCGATCTTTGATGCGGCCAGTTGAGGCGGTTGGGAGTTGGATTCCCAGAGTACTGTATGCCTTGGCTGGGACAGCGTCCACAGCATATACGTCATTTCGTGACGATAGAGAAGGTTTTCGGCGATGTAGTTTTGCTAGAGAAAGAAGGTAGTTGCGGGCAAGGAGTGCTGCACAGAGACAATCAAGCAGATTCTCTGCAACTGTTGGGAAAATGGTTCGGAATGGTCGTAGTAGAGTGTTTTCGTCATTCTTCCGTAGAAAAACGATCACCGGGGATGCAAGTCGGAGCATATGGCGAGGAAAGTCTTTCACTGAGTACTCGAGCTCGCCCAGTGTCCATTCATGATCATCCAGAGTCCACTGGTGGTCCCAGGATGGCTGCTTCTCATGCCTCTCTTCTTCTGAAGTATGTGATGTTTGACCTGGGGGGTGACTAGGTGGTGACGGGGATGCTTTGGGACTGACGCTGCCTGATCGAATTTCGGGTTGCGGAGATGCCTCGCGCTCTCCCAGAGTGGATTCAGGCCGATCCCCGATCACAGTGGACGTGATACTGTCAGAGGTCAGTGATCCCGGATCTGAGTAGGTATCGTCATCCTTGCTATCCTGGTAGCTATCCATGGAGTAACCGGATTCGCGTGTGCCATAGCCACTATCAGACATTTCCATTGGCGTGTCCAACGGGGTATCTGGGCTGAAAGCGGAAACCTCCTCTTGCCGTTGATCAGGCGTCATTGGAACACAAACAGTCTGACGAACTGTAGGTGCAGGCGGAGGGGGCGGGCCCATGGGGCCCATGGATGGTGATGATTGTCGTGAAATATCCACCAGCCTTGGCTTGCTAGCAACAGCGAATCGCTGTCAGAGGAACGACTTGTCAGTATGCAAGAATTAAAAGACATTATTCTTGTATGAAGTCAAAACTCACCACAGGCTCGTCCAAGATCCGCCCATCAGGAATAACATCCAGTTTCGGCATTGGTGGATCTTGTTCGATAATCTGGAATTTTCGACGATTGAATTCTTTGGGGTTGTCGTCTTTATCTAGCGGATCTAGTGGCACACCTTGCAACCATGTCTCACAATACGAGAAGTTGCTGGGGATCCAACTGGCTTCACTCGAGACAGTTGTTGCCCTTCGCCGTTGCTGTCTCGGGGAGATAGCAGGCATGGAAGCCTTAGCGCTGTGCAGAGATGCGGGTGATGTAACTGGCGTCGGTTCCTCCTTGTCAGGCCTTTTCGTCGTTGGTGTTGACGCAAGTGTCTCTTCGCATTGTCGAATCAGATTCGAGTGTGCCTCGTGGACATTTGTCACATCTGTTCGTCGTTTTTCAGGTGACTTGACTTGCCAGTCTGAAGGGCGATACGCTTGATAGGGAGATGTTTCTTCAGTGGTGGTTTGCTCTGTAGGGTCTTTGCGCAAGTCCACATGATCTGTGGTGTCCTCGTTCTTGAGGTTTTCCGTGCTGTTCGTCACCTCTGAGGTGCATTCAGTGCTCTCCACATCCGGTGAGGTCTTCTGGTCGCTTTTACACTCAAAGTATGATGCTTCGGGTCCAGTGCTTACCGGCCTGGATTCGGAAATTGGAGGACTGGGCAGCAGGCCAAATGCAGTCATACTTGCTGATGTTAGGTTCTGGTCTGATCGCCACGTTCTCAGTGCATGACCGGCCGGCGGCTTGAAAGACTGAGGCGTGTGCCTCGTGGGAAATGGCGGTGCCGCATCGCATGAAATAGAGACTGGCGACGAAGCCGATACTGGAGAGCTCGGCAACATCAACTGGAAGGGCTCTTTCATTCTGCGGACTGATCGAAATGGCGAGTGGCAGGATGGTCCTCGGTCTGCTGGGCGACGCGGTAGAGACAATGAATGGTCATGAAACTCTGCCCGAGGCAACGCTGGAGCTGGAACAAATGATAGAGATGTCGGATAATGTCTGCTGGTTCTACGCCGAGGTTGATATGTCGGCGACCATCGGCGTGGCGATGGGATGGGCTCCGCAATGGGATCCGCAATAGCCATGGCATCATGGCTTAGTGAAGACGCATTGGATGATTGATTCCTTATATGGGTTTGGATTCGGGCTGAGAAACATGTACCATTAGGCATTTTCGAAGGACCGCAGTCCATGGCAGCCATGGCGCCGGGTTCTTTGGTGAGGCGATGACAAGCCCCAGTTCCAGATTAAATCAAATGGCCAGTCTCAAAAAGCAAAACGATTGTTGCACAGGAGTTACCCAGATGAGATCGTGATACCGCAACAACCAGGCCGTCGTATGTTGCTGAGAATTTGGGATCAAAACAAAAGCAAAGGCGAAACCTTTGCCTATGCAGGGGCTCGATATACCCTTATACAACTGGAGTGGCGCTAAGGCACGTCAGGAACAAGTCTCCAGGTGGACAGAAGGGTCACCAGGGCATTGACACTGTGCACATCCCCCTTGACAGGACTAGAACAACATCACTCCTGTCATGGAGAATCCCGGGCATGTCGAACAGAGTCCGGACTGGACAGTGAGCGTTGCCCCCCCTTCTTCTAGGAAACCGTTTCCCCCCCTCCGTCCGGCACGAATCTCAGCTTGCACCAGGCACGGGCCATAGCAATAATAGCGAGAATGAGCTCACTCTGTCCTTGCATTCCCGCCAGAGGTGAGATCTAAGGCGGCGGAAGTTCATGATTGGCTCCAGATCTAGGATCCGTGGAAGCCAAGGGTCTGCAGGAGCCCGTCAACGTGGAAAAGAACCTCGCTCGTCGCTTAACCCCGTCATAGTTGGGTGGACGAGTGGAGCCTAGGAATGAGACAACTGGGATGGAGGGAGGGGGAAAAGAGCGACCGTGGCGAATCAGCACCCTTGAGAAGGGCAATAGGATCGACCACAGGGTGTTCCTGAGCGGGCCCCAATTGGATGTATTGCATGTTGTGTCTCGTCGCAACAGGAGAAAGGGATGCCCCTTGCATCGGAGCTCCTCATGCCTGGCCGCAGTCTGAAACTTGAATATAAAATGCTTCGCCATGGCGAGAATTCTTTCTGCAAATTAGGCCCGGGCAAGTCAGAGGCTGTGGTTGAATACTTCGCCTCAATCATGCCGTACTCACAACCTGGATTTTGTATCATCGACGTGATTGTCGCTCACTGTAAATCATGTTCAGTAGTTCCTCATACTTCCCTAGTCCAACCCTAATTTCCACCACTTATCGTGTGTGGCCCGTCCAGACAGTGACATCCCAAAATGAGAGATGCTATATCCACAACTCGCCCTGTAAGATTCAAAATAGATTAAAGTATCCTCCGGACCGCATCTTGTCAGATCGCTAGAGTTTGGGACCGATCACATCGCGGAGGAATGGCTCGCATTGAGGGTCAAGGGCAGTGCAAACAGTACAAACAGAGCGTTATCAATCGGACTTATCGCAAAAGAAAAAAAAATGGACGCGGCTGGGGAGAATGAAGACAGCTCTCTGTCTCTTTTTGTTGAAACTTGAACCTCCCATCCCCGTATTTGCATGCACCGCGCCCCATTCTCCATGCTTTCCGAATCCTTCGTCGCGTCAACGCTGTCATCTGCAAAAACGCCGACCGCCACGCTACGTGATGTCGGCATTTGCCTGCAGGAATTCCAGCCTTCCCCTCAGCTGCGATCGACTTTCAAGAAGAGCTCCACCACCACCAATTGTCTGGCTGTAACCCCGTCGCATATCTTCTCCGCTCAGGCAGATAAGGCTGTGGTCCACGTATACAGCCGGGAAAAAGGGAACCAGGAGGCTTTAGTGCCCTTTCCGGAGCGAATTCGCAGCATTGCGGTTGCCGGCGCAAAGTATGGAGACGTGCTGGTACTTGGAACGGAAGGCGGTCGATTGATCCTGTGGGAGGTACGACAATGGCCCCCGGTTTCTTCCTCTAGATCAATTGGACGATCTATCAGAGTATGGTCAGCTAACATGCACAACTGGACTTTAGACATGTACCGGACGTCAAGTCGCTACCACAGCCTCTCATCTCCAGCCTGTCACCTCTATCGTTGTCGACCCCACCTCAAATTTCATTCTCTCCGGAGCTAACGACGCCAGCATACACGTCTGGTCTATTCCGAGCATTCTCTCCTTCTCCAAGCCCGCCCGAGGCCGGGACCGTCAGCCCCCTTACGCACCTATCCGCACCTTCTCTAACCACCGCGCGGCCATTACCTCGATTGCCGTTGGACACAGCGCTGGCCGTCATAATATCGCCGTGTCGACTGCGAAAGATAACACCGCAATTGCATGGGATTACCAGACTGGACGAGTCCTACGAACGTACCTTCTTCCGTTCTCTGCGACGTGCGTTGCCCTGGATCCGGTCGATCGGGCGTTCTACGTGGGCTATGAGGATGGAAGCGCACAATCGGTAGATTTCTACCGCAGCAACTCGACACAACATCCTCTCCATGACCCGTCTTTACAGTCTACACCAGCGCAGGTGTCAACCGAAGACCGATGGCTCCCTCCTGCTGCGGACTCGGGTGCCGTCAAGGCCCTCGCCCTCTCCTACGATGGAACCACACTATTGTCTGCCCACGAGAGTGGGAAAGTCTTGTCATGGAATATCGCACGTCGGAAATTCACAGCCTCCATCGCCGATTACACGCATCCAGTCACGAATCTGATCATGTTGCCGCCAACTGGCCTGTCACCGGAATCCCAGGACCTCAAGCGGACGATACATACAATCGTGAAACCACGCCTTGACAATGCCTTTGCCGATCCCGCGCATGCGCCTGGCGCTGTCCCAGCCGAATATGCATTCAACACACACATCCTCGCATCATCTACACAATCCAGATCCCGCAAGCCCTCCCAATTCTCCCAAGCGCTCACCCATGCATTCTTCCCCGACTCTATGATCGAAGAAGGCCTTGCCGAACTAGCCGCATTGCGTCAACCAGGTGGAAGCGATGTCATCCGCGTTGCGCCCGCAGCTTCCACCCTTGCAGATACCTCCGGCCATGCGACCACGCAAGTGGACACCCACGTTGCAGACCTCGAAGCTGAAAATTCCATGCTGAAGAAAAAGGTCGCATTGAACGATACGGCCCGCCATGCAAACGCCAGCGAGGTTTCGCAGTTGCGCTCGGACCTTGCCCAACTGCAGGATTACATCAATGAGCTGCATGAGAAGCAGGAGGTAGCTCAGCAGGACAAGGTACAGCGTCAAGCAAGGAAGGAAGAGCGCGAAGCTAAGCGACGTGAAGCTTGGCTTGCTGCGGAGAAGAAGGGTCGTAATGGGGATGCTGTTATGAAAAAGATGGAGATTGATGATGACATGCTGACTAGTGAGTCGGATGACCAGAGTGATGAGTAAAGGTTGTCATATGTAAAAGCTTCGCATTTTATCTCGGGGTTTTATGTTTGATAAAATGGGGGCATGGCGTTTAAGTGAAATGTTTGAATATGTGTCTATATAATGGAGATACCATGTCGGATCCATAATACGTACACCTGCTCGAACCTCGATCAATGTATATTTTCTGCATAGAATCGGACATAGGGCATGCGATCAGGGCACGCGAGCACCAATCGACGTCAACCTCCAGGATCCGGTTTACTGATATATTTTTATGGACTTGGGCGCTATGTACATTAACAAGACAATGATGAAAAAAGGCCAAGGGGATATTGAACATTAGTCAAAGCTGGTCTGGCTGGAGATGAGTAGTTGCAATCTCTACAATGCATCCATCTTGGGCAGTGACGCAAATATTTTGTAATATCAGTATTGTGTCATATGTAGCAAGTTTGTTCAAATGACAGGACACAGCATTAGATATTCTCAATTGTCAATTTGTTCAAATGCCATCTTGTTCCAATTTTGAAGATCAAAGTTGAGTGACATCGGTTTGTATCCGTACTTTCCAATGGGTTCACCTTGGACCGTTCATTTCGTACCATGAATAAATACTGCAATCCGACAGGGTTATTCTCCTTCAAATCAGGACAGCAAATACTTTACAGATTATTCCATCCAGAAACCTCTATGATTGGACCCACTCTCCACATCCAAGGGGCGTTCAACGATATCTAAACGCTCGCCATATCCAGGAAGGACCCCAGGTTCCACTTAAAGAACCGAGCCCGAGCACACTGGAATTTGATTCGATATTTATTCAAGAACAGACCCATGTTAATAGTTAGCTCCTCTACCTGGTTCGCTGTCATCGTTCTTCCCCAGAAGTTCATATTTGCCCCGTCCATTCGAGAAGCTCGCCGCACCGCCGGGATGATGTCAAATTTGCCTCTGAGCTGGAGAAGCTCCTCATGCCTCGCCACAAAAACGAGTATATATGACCGAGACTAGTAGAACGTATCGTTAAGAAGTATCTGCCAGAAAGCACGACTTTCATGATCGATCGCATCGCATCGCATTTTTCAAAATATATACTCAAGCCAAATCCTGGCTGAACCCAAACTAATACCTGATTTTTTTTCAACAAAATGTCCGACTCGTACACCAGTTCCTCCTCCTACTACAGCGCCACAAGCAACGGCGACCAAGGCAAAACCACCACAGGCCACCGCTACACAACAACCTCCCTCACCGAAGCAGACGGCTCAACCATCGTCCGCACAGCTCGCCAGGACTTCGGCCAACCACCCATCGTCGAAGAACACCGCTACGACAGCAGCGGCCAAGAACAACTCGCCCTCCCAGGACCCGGCACCTCCTCGGCCGGCGGTGTCCGCAAAATAATAGACCTGGATGAAGAAGGCTCCTCCGAACCATCCACCTTCGATGCGGATAGCTCGTTTGGCAGCGGAGCGACGCCGCAGTTTGACGGGGCGGCGGTGCCGTTCGGCACGAGGGTGGTGGATGTAGATACGGGGGCTTATGATGAGCACATGCATTATTTTGGGGATCAGTCGGTGCGGCATCATCGGGAATTGAGGGATGCGGCAGGGAGGAAGTTTACGAGAGAGGTGGATTTTGATCCGTCGGGACGGGCGGGCACGGCGCATGAGAGGAGGGTGTTTGAGAATCCGGAGACGGGGACTAAGGTGGAGAAGGATGATGATGTGGAGGTTTCGGAGGTGATTTAGTGTGGCTGGCGATGGTGATGATGATGGGAGGTGATTATGTGTAAATTGCATTTGCTGTATATATGACTCGTTTGTAAAAATTGAAGTACGAAGTGGTGAGATGTGAAACTCCGTCCAGTCTGATAGGAATATGCGAATATGCTCAAGAGAAGTATACTACCACCGTTGCACCAACCTACCAGCTTGATCTAACGTAGACGAAGCCGTCCTCCTTGTGACCAACGGCTACGCCCCTTCTCCCACCACTTGGGAATATCATAGGCCCAATGGCACAGCATGCCAGCGATGAAACCAATCGCATCGTTCTTGAACCCAACCAACAGTCCCACAGTCACCATCATGACTGTCCAGCGACGCTTGCGCTCCTCATCCGTGCAAACGGGACCAAGATGCTGCTCTGCAGCACCTAGCACACCACTAGCCTGGCTGAGGTCCCGAGCTCTCGATGTATTCAGACTCTCGCCAACACTCACAAGCTCCAGCCCAGCTGCAATGACCATGACGCCCAGGAACGCAGCCGGGAACCGCTTGAGCAAATCGACCAGGGTCTCGCCAAACAGGAAACCAATGATGAGCTTCAGGATTCCGAGAAACACCACACTGGCACCCGAGCGAGCACCAAAGCGGTACTGCGCTGCCAGACCACCAGATCCATGGCAAACGGGCATAGCACCGAACCAGCATCCAAGCAAGTTCATACCGGCCACGCTGAGTCCAATATGGGTGATAGCTGGGGTCTGGACATGAGGCAGCAGATCATTCGCCAAATGAACGACTGCCACGATCGAGTTCAGTGTCGTCAGAGGAATCTGACCAATTCCCGCATCCACCGCACCCACCCACCACTGATGGGGAGTCGGCACAACCAGCCAGGGATGCCATATACTAAACGCCGGGAGATGAGCCGCCAGCGCGGTACGGATAATGGCGAACACCAGACCAACGACAAACAGCACCAACGCATACGGAACCTTGCGATAGACACTGGTAACGATTAACGCGAGAAACGCCACAATAGCCCAGATCCGATTATCCGCCCACGATGGCCCGATCCAACCCAGTGGCCGGAGCATACCACCACAAGCAGAGATAATCAACGACAAGCCCGCGCCAACTTGAATCCCCTTGATCACGGGGATGGGAATCACATTCGCGAACCAGCGTAGCAAGCCAGTGACGCTGAAAAGAAGAATGCAAAGGCCGACGAAGATGCCTGCTGCGGCGATCGAGCCGCTGGAGAAGTTGCGGGCGATCGCGACCGCGGCGATGGCTTTCATGGGTTGGACGGGGAGTGGGATGCCGAAGAACATGCCCGTGAGGATGTTGTAAATACCCGAGAAGATTAAAGTGCTGGCGAGTGATACGGTGCCGTTCACGGCTAGGGCGATGGCGATGGGTAGAAATGTGCCCAGGTCGCCCAGCGACCCGGAGATCTCAGAGACATAGTTGCGTTTGAAGGTGCGGAGGTTGTGCGAGGAGATCTCTCGTAGTGTTTGGGCGGTCATTTTCAAGGTCCGAAGTCTCTCCTTGTTGAGATCATTTATTCCAAGCTGGGCCTGCTACGGCTGGTGTTGGGAGGTGACCAGAAGTTGATGGTAGGAATAATATCAAGCACGAGAAGTAGTCAAGGGAGGGGCGCACGAGCTTATCAGGATCGCCCGCTCCCGATGGATTTGCGGGGGGTGACAGGCGGCTGACGCGGTCCAAGCAGAAACAGGTTAACTTGGTCGTTAATTGGCTGTTAGTTAGGCTACAGACACGAGAAGTCCAGTTACACTGCATGGCAGAGTCACACCGGTTTGGAATATGAATTTAAATCATGTCCTGACAGATGATGCCACACGAGATAAACTCGTACCACGCCCCACTTGGCTCATTCAGTACGTCCTCCGCGGAGGCCGCGGAGTTATAAAAAGGAAAGACTTTTGATCAGGTCCTCAAGTATAATGCTTGGCCTCTTTCTGATGCACAGGCAATTATAACCTGACGATCCATTCATCCAAGACTCTTCTATAGCGATAATGCTAATTACCTGATAGTAAACCCACCATCAACTCGAACATCCGCACCGTTAATCATCCCACTCGAGTCCTAACCCAAGACATGAATATTAGCCAACCAAAGGCCAAAAATCCATCTCTCAAGGATATCCCATCACATACCTGACAAAGAAACAAAACCGCATCAGCAACCTCCTCCGGAAGTGCAAACTTTCCAACGGGAATCGACTTCAAAAACGCCTCTCGCACCGAATCCTCCCCCCACGCCTTCTTCCCCAGATCCGTCCACGCCACCGTCGGCGAAACCGTATTCGCAGTGATCCCACGTCCAGCCCACTCCGACGCCATACTCCGGGTCAACCCCATCAATCCCGCTTTAGAAGCACAATACGCTCCATGGCGCTGCAGCGCGACATGCGCCGCTTGACTCGAAATACTCACGATCCGTCCCGGCGGCGGGGGACTAGTCGAAGAGGCAGCTACCTTGGACGCAGCAAAGTACATATTGGCAAAGGCCTGTGAGCAGAGCATTGGTCCGAATACATTGGTGGTGAGATGCTTCATCGTTTCGGCGGGCGGTGTACTTTCCATTTCGCTCAGCGATACGTATCCAGCCGTGTTGATCAGGATACTGGGGAACGCCCTTGCAGCCAGAGATGAAGAATCCGGCGCCACGAGGTCTTCGTGTAAAGAGGAAAAGGCAGATTGAACCGAGTCGGGCGCCGTGATGTCGCACTCGTAGGTGTAGATTTCGTCCATGTTGGCGCCGCCGCCGTACCGGGTTTCCAGTAGTTCGTCGCGGCGGGCGGCTTCGAAGGGGGCGTAGAGAATTGCTAAGCGGGCGCCTTGTTGTTGCAGTTTCTTGCCTATGCTGGACCCGAGGCCGCCTGAGAAGGCACAAATGTGTTAATTCTGCTTTGGTCATTTGTTCGCTGGGATGGTAATTCTTTCCTACCTAGGCCACCTGGTAGAATCGCTAACCTGCGCGCAAATGCCATTTCGGTTGCAGCGTATATAAAGTTGGAAGGAAAGGAATTGATGAATTGATATATAAAGATCACGAATCACAAATCTATGGAAATAAAGTCCAATAATGAGGGAGTGTAGTTGTCCCTTGACGAAGGGGCTCTTCCCCTCACGTCCCAATTTGACGGTGCGGGCAACGATCGACGTCTGACGTCTGACGTCAATCTCCACATCGTCTCTGTCTTGTTTACCAACACGTTCCTGGAGATGCCGTGAAGTGTATACTACTTTGTCGCCATATCGGGGTTTTGTATGGTCGAAGATCCTACGAGTTTGTGTCAACCGTGGCCTTGTTATGACCAGGAAGTCAGCCACTTATGAGAGAGATTGTCTCGCTACGAGCCACGGCAGTCTTCTCCATCTACGATCACAAGTACGAAACTACGGCGACTTGCTGCTAGTCATGCGAGGCTTTAACCCGTAAAAGGCACTCACTTGATCGACCTGAGCATTGGAGGAGGTAATGTGCTCTCTCGACACCAAGAAAGATGGACGAGAGAGAGAGAGCACCCCACGACCTTGAAATACTTGGCCGACCACGTGATGCCCAACTGGTTGGATCAAGCAGGGAAAGTATCCAGGATCAACCCCATAGCATGGGTGGCAGACCACAGATATACCCCCCTTCCTTGGCCAGCAGCAAGCCGCGACCTACGAGGGAAAAGTCCCGTCAGTTGCATCTACCCCAGGCCCAGCCATGAGGCAAGACACAAACGGCGTGAACAAGAAAGAAGAAGGGAAAATGAGGCAGGCATGTCCTTTCGCTGGTATTGTCCAGATCAAGTTCTAACGGTAATTCTCAGAACGAGGCTGACTTTGCAGTCAAGCCTCGAACACCCGTCATGCGTGCTTCCTGTCAGGAATACTTACCCAAGCTTCTAAAGCAATGGGAAGTCGTTAGATCCACCATACCCTGTCCCAGTCCCAGCGCGTAGTGGGCAACAGTTTCCACTCGTTCCGTTGTTGACGACGTAACCCCTGCGCCCCTTAGACAGCAACATCCTTTTCGGACGTGTTGACCGTCGCAGCTTGCTCAACCGTGGTGTCGGCCTCGGATGACGAGTCGCTGACCTTCAGGTGCTTGAACCAATCATCCTTTGACTTGCGCCACCACTCAAACATCGCAATGATAGTGACTCCACCCATGATGACAATCGCATAGTTGAACAGGCCCGAGTTCTGATCGATAGCGGCATTCGAGTACTGCGGCGCACAGAGCACAGAAAATGCAAAGGTGTTCCAGATGAACGTAACAACCGCAGCCACGACGCCAAACCACCCCATGTCCCAGAAACCAGGGCGGAAAGAAGTCCGTGTGATAAAAGCACGACCAATTCCAACAAGACCATAAGCAGCGATAGATCCTGCAGCGGAAGTCGAGACCAGACTGGCGAAAGCAGCCTGGGACGGGAGCTGGGTGCAAAGCAGGAGTGCAGCAATAGATGCGATGAAAATAACTGCGTTGTGAGGCTGTTTGTCCTTGGAGACGCGCGAGAGAACATCGCTGAATGGGAAGACACCATCACGGGCAACGGCGAAGACAAGACGTGAGACGGCAACCAGGGAGATGGAAGTGTTCAGGATGGCGCCGATCATGGAGATGATGGTCATGACAACATGGGCATGGGGACCAAGCGCGAGCGCATACATGTTGATGAATGGCTGAGGCGCAGTAGTGTCGTAAAAGGTCTCGATGGATGGCATGCAAAATAGGAAAAGGATGATGATCGGGAAACCACAGGCGGCAGAAGCAACGGTCGACCAGAAAACACCCTTGGCAGCAGCCTTCTTGGCCGAGATAGTCTCCTCGGCGACATGGCCGGAGGCATCCTCACCAACGAGACAGCTAGAAACCAGGAACCAAGACAGCACCCAGTTCAAACTAGGGGCGGTTCCCTCTCCGTTGTACACAGAGGTGAAAACGAACTCAGCGGACTGGAAACCATAAGTCTTTGACACGCCGATGGGCAGCCAGATAAAGTTGAGCAGCATATCAATGACGATGACCGCAAAGCCCGTACGGAAGACCCAGGCGTACATACGCGGGGGCAGGAAGTTCAGCGCCGTAGCCAAAGCCAAGAAACCCAGCGACAAGGCCCAAGCAACGGCACGAGCCTTCACATCAGAGGTACTGAGCGGGAAGGTGGTCTCCGGGTTGAAAACAACAATCTCCGACACTAGATAGTTGGCCACTCCGAATGAATCACTCGCCAGGAAAGCAGTCCATGCAACGAGAGTCCAAGCAGCGATGAGGTATGAGACGAAACGTCCAAGACGGCCGCCACCCCACGATCTGAAGGCCCAGTAGTAGATAGAACCAGCCGCAGGGTACGCAGAGCACGCCTCAGCGAGACAGGCAGCAGTAATGATGGACAGAATACTGCCCGAGATCCAAGAGCTCCACCTGGAAAGGTCATTAGCATCCGTACAAGACGTTTACCAGCAAAAACCCAGGAAAACTTACAAAGCAGCCGGCCCTCCATTGCTGAGCGCAATGTAGAACAGCACTCGAATACCACCAATGCAATACAGAGCAGAGAACGAGCAAGCAAAGTTATCAAAAGTGCCCCAACCACGCGCCAAAACAGCACGATAGCCAAGCTTCAACAACTCCCGATCATCCTGCTCCGTCACAGACAACATGTGGTCTGTGTGCTGACCATCAAGCTCGGTCTTGGCTGCATCCGAGACAGCCTTAGCATCTGCAGAAACCATCTTGGCGTTACTGCGAGAGAATAACAGCGAATATCACGACCAAAGAAAATAATTTCCCTCGAATTGTTCAGCGACGAGACTTTGCGAAAGGGAAGAATCAGGACGAACTTGTTTGTCAGAGTTTTTTTTTTTTTCTGTTCGCGCGGTCGCGCGATCACGTGTGGATCGATTGGTAACTGAGCCTGTGGGCTTGGTTTCGGGTTTGAAAGTGGGGGGACTAAAGCTTAATGGCAATTGGGATTGGACTCGGACTACTTGGGTCCGGTGAGATGACTGTGAATACTGCAGATAAGTATATAAGCATCACCATGATGTCTTGGAAGTTGATGACCTTTTGATATCCATACAGGTTCGATTCCATGTCTGATTCGAAGTAAATTCATGCGAATGCTCAGATATGCAAGCAATGAAAGGAGAAAGGATATAACAAACTATGATGAATCCCCCTTTTCCAAAAGATATAACTGCTCTTTCAAAAATTGCATGGTAATACTTGTCTCCTTCCCAGTTTGCAAGATGTACTGAGACCGGCTTGTTGAGTATTCCACCAGTCCAACATCCGGAGCCATAGCAATACGCCATGCCAGTAAATAACCAGCAACGTTCCAAGAAACCTCCTCTTCTGCGGAGAAAAAGACACTACTACGGAATTCCCTGGTATTGCCGCGTCTCAGCTGCCATTTCTTCTCCCAGGTTTTCACCCACTTGAGGTAATTTTCCCGTACGCAAGATGGATAAGACGAAAGGACCGTGATCGAGTCAAGGTCAGCGCCGACGTGCGAGGCATAGGTTGGCTTTTCCGAGATAAAATCGGTGCCGTACTCGGGACCAATTTCATAGCATCGTAGGAGCTCCTTAGGCAATTTGGACGATGTGTCAGGTACCGGAGACCGATAAGTACTCATCGCCACCGAGGTCGGTTCGTCCGGGCCATGTATGATTTGCAAAGCCATATCGAACGTCGTTTCGATCACGATCAAACCATCACTGGATGAAGTCGAAAGAGTTGTCCCGAATGAGTTCCCTGAAGCTGATATGTTTTTAACAGTAGAGATGTATTCTTGGGACCTCGGATCTCTGCAAAAAGCGGCCAGAGGCTTGAGAATATCGGAAGTCATCATTCCCAGGATGCTGGGTTTGAAGGTGATGACACAGTGAACGGGATCAAAATTGGAAAAATGTCAACACTTCGTCGAGACTTATATGTACATTTCGCTAAAATTCTATAACATCTTCTACTGGATGCCAGTTGGCTGCCTAAGAGCTCACGAATCATCTGCACGCTTAAACTTTGCATCACCTCAGAGCCTCATTACCCCGCTCAGGTACAACAACAGACCAACTAAAAAGTACTCTGTGTCACACGACAGCCACTCTAACAAATGAACAGCCCCAAGTAACACTATCACACAGCCTTTGAAAGAAGCTCAGTAAGCTCCTGCGCCACGAAACTAGGGGAATCCTGTTGAATGAAATGCCCCGCACCAGGCGCAAGCAGAGGACCCTTGCCCTTCTCCGGCTCCGTGATCTTCACCAATCCCTCATTGTACTTGTGCCAGTACGGGTTCGAATATGTCAACGACAGAGCTTGCGGGAGCCCCATGCGAGCCGAGTGTTCCGCGAAAGTCTCAAAGTCATGGCCAACCACAGTGACAAATGGATGGCCGCGAGGTCCTTGAAGAACCGGGCCATCGCTCGCCGGTAGAAGTGTTCCCAAATTCTTCCGACTCAGACCCTCCTTGTTGCCTACATCGGGGTGGAAGATCCTTCGAGTACGCTCGCGAGCTGCACGCAAGGCCTCGGGTGTAATTTCAGATGGGAGGCTCTCGGCGTCAAAACCCTCGGCATCTGGGTCAGGGAAGATAGACACAAAGTCGGAGTTGGTCAGAACACTGTCGAGAAGTAACAGACCAGCAACAGTACCGGGGTACTCTTGCGCGTACAAGCGCGCGAGAGCACAACCGATCGAGTTCGCGACCAGTAATAGCGGTAATCTATTAAGATCGGAAACATCCAGCTTGTCCTTGGCGATTTGGGAAAGAAGCTGGTGAAGATCTCTCACGGCTTCGAGACAGTCGTGGCCATGAGTTGGGTCTGCGGCTCCCTCGTCGGCAGGATCCAGATCGGTGGTTTGGCCTTGACCGAAACGGTCATAGGTGAGGATGGCTGGTAATCCAGTTCCCTGGTGATTTTCCTGAAGCAACTTGATAGTCGGCCCCCACGCGGCCTGTGGGAGTCCCAGGCCGTTCAGAAAGACGATCAGGGCTGGGCTGGATGTTCCGGTAGCTCCATGGAATGCGTAGCTAATCTTTGCACTGGGCTTGGTCGTGAGGGTGATATACTCGAGCTCGGCCATGTTGGGTTGTAGTGATGATCTATTTCTCCCCGGTGATGAGGGGTTTTGGAGGAGAGGATTTCTGGGGGTCACCTTGAGCTTTAATAACCAATGTCTCCCATCACGCCACGTAATTATTTCCCAGGTAACCGAAAATTCTAGTCCATCAATTGGACCATTGATATATTGAATCGCCTAGTGATTCTAGTGCTTATGCTTCAATTCGCCAGCTTCAATCGCAAGGCTGCGATTCCGTGCGGCTGAACTCGGTGGGACTAGAATAGGCCGCCCCTCCGAACGCCGCCGTGAAGCATGCTTCACGGCAAGTTGTTCAAATGTATTGTCTGCAAATAATATTGCAGTATAGCATGCGATAAGTCGTCATTTGGACAATCCCACCATACAAATGATCACGGTATCTCTCTTTGCAGTAATAGACGCGGTGCTCAGGACAACGCTGTCCATTGTATTAGCTAGATAGTCAAAAATATAATTGATAGAAGTAACTAAGAACACAGATTATTAAGAGCACAGAGGATGGGTAGATGTGCGATGATTGGAAGAGCGACGGTCAAGGAAGAGAGGGCAGGCCTAAATGGGCACAAACAAGGACATGTGGGAGCCTCAGGCCACAACACCTTACTAGTCTCTTACTAGTCTCCTCTTTGCCTTCAACTCTCCAGTCAGTGATACGTACAGACGTGCATTCATACCAAGGCAAGGCTCACTGACGAACCTTGGCGTTGCTCTCATAATGCCTTGATTTGCCCAAATTGACATCATCGGATAGGTACATCGCCCTACTGTCCAGATGTACATACGCTGATTGAGATAGGAGTGGCACAGATGAGCCTGAGGTCTAAGGATTGCTGGCTGGAGGCCATACAGTTAGCCTACTTATTAGTACCCTTAGATGCTACGCTACGCCCCGCGACAACGAACATTAAGCGTTAGTTGGTACTTTGATCTGCGGACCATAGATGCGGCCTTACTACATGCTAGATTCGTAGATGCACACCGTACTTCAGCTGTTCTTGAATCCTTTCTCAACAGATATGGCCAAGTAGTTCTCTCCGCCGTGTCTCCAGCACGATAATTCTTTTTCTTCACTCACAACTGGACAATTTGTAACCTCGTATAGACCTTCCCACATTCCGTTTGCATTTTTGCTGCAAGGAGACCTCTCAGCTCAGGACCCCGTCTCCCCAAGTATGCGGGACTTGAAACACACTACATAATTCATCTTCATTGGGCAATTACATTCTTAGCTTCATTCATTGAGTTGCCTCAATAATCCTCATAATACTCATATGCCTCAAATTCTATAGTTGTCTAAGATATCGTTCGCTGCGTTCTCTCCGCCTGGTAGGAGTGGTACATAGATACGCCAAATGGCAGGGTTCAGAATCTCTACTGTGCCTCGGATTCCGAGATTCCTGCTAATTTTGCAATTCATTTTTCCATCGGCCAAGAGCCACAGCGATCCGCTGCCTTGAAATCCTCAGCTGTGCCGAGCTTATTGGACGCCCTACAACAAGGGTGAGCTGAAGCGATGTTCAAAGTCGCTTTGGTAGGTGGGAGACTTGAAATGGTTAAATTCCAGGCCACCCCCACGCGTGGCTTCTAGGGCCCTTACCATCCAGCCCTGGTGAAGTTAATCCCTCGGTGCTGTGATTATCACGATGCATTTCCTCTCGCTCTCCAGGTGCATTGCACTGGGTATATCCTGCACAGCTATCTTGTCCACAGCCGTGGCTAAGAAACTGATCCACGACATACCCCCAAAATCACTGTACACATTCGATGAGCTGTGGGAGCTTGAAAAGGGGTTCTGGGACGCCTTTCTTTACCCAGCGAATATCAAACAAACACAGGGAAATCAGTCGACCATATTCGCTGCCGATGTACGTAAACAAAGTTACATCCGCTTCTGGTCATGGAGATAAAATGGGCTCATAATGACAAGGTGCAAGGCCGAGTGGACATAACTCGTACCTTTGATGGCGATGAACTCAACCGCGAGTACATCTTCGGCCTCTTCGCAGATCCGGCACATGTCAGCCTCGTCGGTGTTCCAATCTCGTATAGCATTACTCAATTCACCGCGAACGACAACATCGCCAGTGCCACGACGGTAGTTACGTTCAACGCGACAACTTTCGGAGTCCTTGTTCCCGTCACTATTGATACATGGATTGAATTCAACGAAGATGGAAAGATTACTCAATACGATGCCACATTCCGTTGGTTCGAATATCTACTGGACTTCCTGCTTGAGGGTGTTGCGACGCAAATTAATGCAACTTCCCCAGACCAAGCCGTCGCATATGTCTCGGACATACTAGCGAAGACTATCTGCGCAACTCATGACAAGGACTGCACAGGATCCGACCAACAATATAGTGACAACAGCGCTTGCTATAGTTTCTTGACCAAGTCCATTCGTTTTGGCAAGAGCTACGAGCTTGGACGGAATACGTTACTATGTCGCGAGGTTCATGAGCATATGGTGCAGTATCGCCCGGACGTCCACTGCGCTCATATTGGACCGACTGGCGGCGGCTACTGCGTGGATGATATGACGTACGGCCAGACCGTTTTGGAGAAGTATTTCAACGACTCGTGGATTCCATATGGATACGGATTGAGTCCGGATGTATGGCTGAAGAACTAAAGATGGTCACTAGCTGGTGCTGTAGCACTTGTCACACTTCTTGATTAGCTATAGCTCCAACTTGGTCTCGAGTTTACAAATTGCCCAGACTAGCAGATATTGAGAAAACTCATTCACACAGAATCGAAATAATTAAAATCATCATCAGCCTCGTGATAATGTCTGCTAGTCTCTACGATTGCCTCGGGTGGTTACAATTCCGAGCAATGCTCAGGAATGAATAATATTGGAAAAACAGGCTGTCGGCTGCGCCGGAGTCTCCGATGCACTGAAGGATCTTGGCAGTTGTAAGGCGTCTCGCCCAATTTACCCAAATAGGCCGATCCCGTTCCTGGCTCTCCGGTGGCGTCCTTGGTCAAGGGACACTCCTGTTAGTAACTGCGAGAGAACTGTGAGATGGAAACAGATTTCTGCGACATTGACCTGCATGCTAATAACTAGCCAGAGCAATGACGTCAGTAAAACTTGGCTCGACATATCGGTCCGTTAAGCCCGTCGTACCCTTGTCTCAATACTGGGCAGTCGCACGGGCGCATAGTTTACTCAACGCCCCGAGACCCAGGACAGCCCATCAGTGTTAAGTGGATGTATAAGTCCCAGTGATTGTCGTCAATATTCTATACTCCCAATGAACATCAAAATCACCTAGAATTATTCTCGAAGAACCATCATGAGTCAAGCACATCACAAATTGAACGGGGGAAACCCGGAACTCGCTATCAACCGCCGAGACCGGCGGCCTGTGGCTGGCCCTTTTTCGGTTAAGCGGCTCTTCCGCAGGTGCCGAGATCGAATGGAAAGGATAATAACCTTCCGGCATTGTTCTTCGCGGCGATGCGGAAAAGTCTATTCGTGAGGAAGAAGCCTACCTGGAACTATCAATCATGAAAAGCACACCCTGCCAACAGCGATCAAAATCCATAGTCTCCATATAAGAATTCCCCCAGCATCCATCTATCCCCGGATTTCCATTGCTATTACTCAATTGTTTTACTGTACCGAGGTCAAGTGGTACAGTATCCGACACTCCCCACAGCGAATAATTGTGGGGAAAGACGGGACTTGCTTAAGAAAAGTGGCTGGGACGCTTTCCCGCTACACATGTTATGAACCCAGGTGGTCACCAAGCATTGACTATTGCTGGTAAAAAGTTAGAACTTCTCAGATCTGGATTATCATTCGTTAACTCAAAGCCATACTTGGGGGTTCTGCACGCCAAGTCGCCCAAGTAGCCGCATGGCGTCCTTGTCAAGTCTGGTTGTGTGGGGTAAAAGGCTGGTCCGCCGAGGGCCAAAGTTTCGCCAATTTCTGATGATCAACGGGGACCGGCGAGCACCGAAAAGCGCTTTGTCGTACTTAGACTTGGCTCGGCGCAGCGGTGGCCAAACCGTACAATATAGCCATCATCCAGTTCCTTATGAAAGAATAACACAATAATCTACCTTCATCCTCGACCTTCAATCCCCCAATTGATCCAGCGGTTCCCGGCAGTTTGAAAATTTTAGCCGGGGTTCCTATAATATTGTCGCAACTATGGGGTTGAAACCATATCTCGGCCTGCAGGGCAATGCACTGCTGCGGGCAGCGGTCATGCTGGTCGTATGTCCGACATTTACTTGTTACGGATACAACATGAGTGTAGCTGGAGGTCTCTTGACGCTCTCGGCATTTAACAATCAATTTCCTCGGATGGACACTATCAATACCACCGGTGCACAGCAGGAGGAGAATTCCCAAATACAAGGTGAGTCAACGAGAGATCTACAAGTGCTATGAGGGTCCGAAGCGTCGTCAATGGGACATTCCCGGCAATCTTTGATTATTGGACTCATCTTTCTAACCCATCCATTGCTACTGTAGGCACTGTTATCGCACTATATACGGTCGGCGGTATTTTCGGCGCCCTTTCCTGCGTCTACCTTGGTGATCTCCTTGGTCGACGCAAGGTCATCTTCTTCACGAACCTTATTTCAATTATCGGTGCCATTCTTATGGCTACATCTTTCCAATTCTCTCAATTCATCGTTGCCCGAGTAGTGCTTGGTCTGGGAACTGGCGGCTATGTTGCGACAGTACCTGTCTGGCAATCAGAGATCTCTCCAACCCACAAGCGTGGATCAAATGTCGTGACTGACGGTATCTTCATCGGTGTGGGTGTTACTGTCGCACTTTGGATCGACCTGGGATTTTACTTTGTGCAAGGCAGCTCCGTCTCATGGCGTTTCCCTCTCGTCTTCCAAGTGATTCTTTCCGCGACAGCCATGATCTTTATCTTTCTTCTCCCTGAATCACCTCGCTGGCTCATCAAGACTGGCCAGATCGAGCAGGCACGCCATGTTCTGGGAGCATTGCTCGAGGCCGATCCCGAGTCAAGCACCGTTACCGAAAGTGTGGTGACTATCGAAGCCTCCCTCGCCTACTGCGGATCCGGAAAATGGACCGATATGTTCACCAATGGAAAACAACGTCTCTTCCACCGTACCTATCTCGCTGCCACTGGCCAGATGTTCCAGCAAATGTGCGGTGTCAACCTTATTACGTATTACGCTACGACGATCTTCGAACAATATCTCGGTATGGACCCTGTAAAGGCTCGAGTTCTCGCTGCCGCCATGGGCTTGATGCAGCCCTTTGGTGGATTCTTGGCCTTTTTCACCATTGATCGTCTCGGTCGCCGACCACTCATGCTGTGGAGTGCCGGAGCGATGTCCATCTGCATGGCTGGGCTGGCAGGCACGACATCTGCCAAGGGTAACACCGGCGCTCTGGTCGTCGCTGTGATCTTCCTCTATGCTTTCCAATTTATCTTCACCGTCGGCTACTCGGGCCTGACGTTCCTCTATGCTGCGGAGATGGCACCACTGCAAATTCGAGCTGCTGTCAGCGCAGTTTCTACCAGTACTGTCTGGGCGTTCAACTTCCTGCTCGCTCAGGTTACTCCCGTTGGCTTTTCCACCATTGAGAACCGTTATTATATCATTTTCGCCGTGATCAACGCTGCCATTGTCCCATCAGTCTATTTCTTCTTCCCTGAGACAAAGGGACGTTCTCTAGAGGAGATTGATGAGATCTTTGCCCAGTCGAAGAGTATCTTTGATCCTCCGCGCATCGCTCGTGCCATGCAAAAGGTGCATGTAGGCGAGGTTCACTCCGAGAGTGGTGATCAAAGTGGGTCGAATGATGATGTTATCAAGGAGGAGGTCAAGGCTTAAACAACGATTACGATATTTCGCTTTCATTGGCTCTAGTTGGCCAAATATGACATCGACTCTGCTGGATTCAGAATTCCCCATCATGTTTGGATCTTTCAATTCTGCTAGCGGGTCTTCCAGAGCACAGGTCGCTCGGAAAGGATTGCGAGCATAGATTATACCCAAGCAATAAGAAGTCACGGATTGTGCATGAAAGAATAAATGCAACCTTATCGGTGCAAATGGAATTACAGTCGTGCTTTACAAGACATCTCCGCATAAATTCGGTTTCACTATGGTGGCCCATCGGTCTTTGCTCATCCAGATTGTCTCATCCACGTGAAATCGTAATTTCGTTACATCCGATATAGATCAACATTCACATGATCTTTGATATACTTACAAGTTCCAATGTGTTATCTGTAGCTTCTTGTGGCTAGGGCAGGATAACTGATATGATGATTTTACCGCCTTTCCACTGTCGGCATTACTCCAAGTTGGATACTGTATCTGGAAGGCGGGGAGCTTGTCTAAGAGATACCGAGGCTAGATAACGGATCTGTGAACGACGTGGGATGTCAAGCTGGGGCAGTGATCAATTTAAATAAGACTGAAGAGGCCATTTCCAAGGGTTGTGATATGGAGTATTAATCCATTAACTCGTACTAAATGGCCCTTGAACTCATCGTTTTACCTTGTTTTCTAAACACAATCTATTGCGCTAGAGGGACAAGAATGTTTATGGCTGGAGGATATTATGGATTCCTTATGTCCGAAGACCTACTCGCAGAGTGTGGGACAAGACAGCGGTATTACTCTCAAAATAATGCAGTACCCAACTTCTATGCTACGTGACCTCAATCTTTGCTGCTTTAAAATAATCTCACATTTGTACATGTAGATCAGATACTAGATTCATAGACACAGCAGTCATCGAACACGTCCACCGTTCTCTCCGTACCCACGCCGAGTCCATTGCAATGAAATCATCCACAAGCATCATGTTTCGAGAAAAGAGAGAGAAATATTCTATCAAAAGCCATCACCGTGAACAAATCCCATGACCAGTCACGAAGGAACGGATACTAATCCAATTCCGAATGACAAGTTCACTGAGGCCTCCAGAAAAGTCTATTTCCCAGACCATACTCATAGTCTCTCTCAATTACGTGCTGGTACATCAGGAATCCAGCTCCAGCACAGCCCCGAATGTGCATCATCAATTCTTCCCACGAGTAGGAAGTGTTACGACGGCCAGAGATCATTTGCTTCACCCGTTGTGCAGAAAAATCCGGGTTAATGTCCGAATACTTGAGCATGGCGGCTTCAACTCTAGGCTGCTGGGCGAGCCAGTAACATCCACGGCACATGAAGCGGCGTTCGATTTCCGTCTTTCCCTTCGGGAGGTACGGGAACGGGACGGTGATCATGTTGGCATAAAACTCAGGCAGCCGAGGCTGGGGGCCATCAAGTTGACTCGGGTCGTTAGGGGCTTTGACCTGCATATTGCGGAGGAACCGATAGGCAGCGCCGAGGAAGGCGTCATCGGGGTGCGCATCGAAAGCGTCGTCGGGGTCATTGGGGGCGGCGTAGCGACACATGGTCTTGCGGTTACCCCAGATCTTCATCGCGGTTAGGAAGGCGGCTTTCGCAGGGACGAGATCCTGTCGATCGATATTAACGGTCTTGAGGAAATTATTAGCAGCCCAAAACCTTTCCTTGAGTTTCAGGATGGGAAACTCTCGGACTTGTGCCTCACTCAGACAGAAGGCTGCCGTAGCATCGGGGACAGCCATACACCAGTAGGCCGGGCTGAGTGTGCTGCAGTTGAAGCAGACGCGTTCTCCGAGAGGTAGGAAGAGCTCTGTGCCCTGATGACCACAAGCTCGGCAGTATGGGTAATGTAACTCCTCGGCAAGGTCTTCGAGGCAGGCAGATTCCTGCAAGCCGCATTTTTCGACGGCTGATCGCAGGGTGGGTACAAGTTTGATGAGGATTTTGTAGGTCGGGTGTTTTTTGATCATGGATCGGGCCATCTTACAAGTCTGACCGAGGGCCTCTACGGACGAGATATCCAGGTAGTCCATCACCTTGAACATTATCTCGAGAGGGAGTGTTGACAAAGTCCCGGGACCGGAGGGCTGGGTGCCAGCTTCAAACGAAATGGGCGTAAGCAGGGTGGTACTGCTCAAGCGACTGGACTCGTCGAGGCCGTCGAGGGCGACAAACCGACGAAGCTCATCCTGATCATGCCAGTTGAAAGGATTGGTCGCCCAGGCCCACTCCTTTGAGCTGATAATGGCTTTAGCGTATTCGGCAGGGTCTGACATCTTGAAGCGCAGAGCTGGGCCGGTGTAGGATGGGTTCAGAGCACAAAAGGATGATCGAGTTAAAGAAGTTGTTGATGATGGTATGAAAGAGAGATAGGAGGAAATCTGAGGGCCAGAAAGGATATGTTTGTATCAATATTCACTATTGTGGGCGTGTCTCCGTGTGTAAGTGTTGACCACAAACACAACGACCAACTACCCATCATGGAACTTTCCACAAGACTCTTGTCCCAGCCTAGTCAATTCTGTCAAAATTGCCAATGTGGACGCCTCCTACAGAATGGCAAAGGGCAAACTAGAAATATTGTAGGGAAATTGGTCTAGATCAGCTTTAGTATGGGTACAAGTTGAAACAATTGCAGTTAGTCTAATATACAGCACTGCAAATACTATTGAACATCGGCCACTGTCGAGGCAATCATAACAGGGTCCTTACTCAACCTCTTCCATGGGGTTGGCAAGGTGGTCTGTGCGAACGATATAATCCTCCTCGTCCTCGTCTTCTACTCGACCATCGGCCATCTCTTCATCATCACCCTCCAGAGATGCATCGGAATCGCCACCGACATGGGAGCCTTTGCCCTTCTTCTCAGCAACGCCCTTGCCCTTGCCTTTACTGCTTATTGTCGATTGACCACTCGTACTGCGAACAATACCACCCGGCCATTGCTTCAATCCCTTGATACGGCCATGAATACTGCCCACCAAGGAGCCGTCTCCGTTGGTCGTGGGAGTCCCCACCGGCGACGGTGACGTCGCACCCAGGTTGAACGCTTCCATCGCTTCAGCAATCGTCTGTGAGCCACCGGTTCCAGCTTCCTGCTTCTTATCCACGGATTCGAACGTTTGGCGGATCCGTTCGAAATGTTCCAGTTCCTTGGCACTGCAAGAGGTTAGTCTTAAACCAAATTACATTCTCACGCTGGGTTGTCTGTTCACACATACCTGACACTAGGGACAAGTTCCCCTTGGGCAGACAGGAAGTCTTCCTCCGTGACTGTCACCGAAACATCCTCTGGCGTTGCCAGGTGGTCGAAGAAGTAAGCCGTGGTCACCGGACCACCAGGGAGCTGTTTGATTTTGTCATCTACAGCGGTAGATTTCCGTGTAATAGCCTTCAGCATGGCATCGGAGCAAAGCGCATACAAATCAGCACCGGTGTATGTCAATGGAAGTCGATCTGCCACGCGGTCAAGAGACACATCCGGGTGGAGAGCGAATTTCCTGGTAAGCGCCTCCAGAATCGTCGCCTGCTTTCTGTGCGTATCTGACACTCCCAGGTAGAGCATCTTATCGAAACGACCAGGACGCAGCAGTGCGGAATCCAATAGATCGGGACGGTTGGTTGCGCCAATCACGAAGACGCCACCGCTGTTCTCCTCTCCGCCGTTCATACCATCCAGCTCGGCAAGCAGCTGACTGACAATACGATCCATGACACCGCCGCTGTCTCCCTGGTTGCCACGCTTGGGCGCCACGGAATCTAGCTCGTCGAAGAATACAACGCAGGGTCGTGCATCCCGAGCACGCTGGAAGACTCTGCGTACGTTGGCTTCAGATTCACCAATATACATGTTGAGCAGTTCAGGACCCTTGACAGAGAAGAAATTGAGAGAGAACTCGGTGGCAATAGCCTTGGCGAGTAGCGTCTTGCCAGTTCCGGGAGGTCCATAAAAGAGGATACCGCTGCGCTTCTTCATGCCCTTTGCAAACAGCTCCGGGCGTTCAAGAGGCAGTTGGATTGTCTCGATAAGAGCGTCCTTGACGTTGGTCAACCCACCAACATCATCCCAGCCGACGTTGGGGATCTTAGGTGCACCAATCGAATCGGCAAAGTTCTTGCGGGCAGCCTCGACGGCGAAATCAAAGTCGGCTTTGGTGACTCCACGGGCACCGTCCCCGCCGGCAATCAGGACATCCCTCACGCAAACGTGTAAACCAGAAAGTTGCTTGCTGGCGGTCTCTGCCAGTTTCTCGAGCCGGGCAGTTCGGGCACTCGCTGCGCGCTCCACGACATCCACCAGATCTCCCGCAACCAAAGCGGCGGTCTTGAGCGCGACGGTTCCAAGTTCGACGTCGGCTGACAGCTTGATGCCACGCTCTGCAACCACATTTCGCAAGATACCCTCACGCTCCTTCTCCTCGGGGGCTCCCATCTCGAATTCGTGGGTGAAAACACTGCGAATGCCCTCTGGGATCTGTTCGACATCGGTGGTCGTTGCGATAACGACCCGAGCCTCACAGAGGATGTCATTCATGGCAGTCACAATACGGTCGGCTGTCAATACCTCGATGTGCTTGATCAGCAAGGCAGTACAGTTCGCACCGCAGTGGAACGCCCGCTCGGCACGAGCTTTGAGATAAGCTTCGGTTTTAACATCGCCGCCGTTCGCGCCGCCTTCGGTGAGGATATCATAAGCATCAATGGGGAAAGTGTGGAGACCAATATCTGCACAGGCACGTGTCGCAACAGTTGCCTTGCCAATGTGTCGCTGTTGGGATTTCAGAAGAATGACGACGGGCTTCATGCCCAGCTGGATAGCCCGTGGGCTCGTTGCTGCCGCCATCAAGTCACGGATGCGCAGCTGCAACGGGGCAATAAACGACTGAGGAGGTTCTGTGACAATACCATGTGGTGCTGGTGCATCACCAACGGTCTTGGGGATTTTCTTGACGCCGAGCCAGTATTCCCAGCCGTTACCCAGAATACCGGGGACGCGGCTGACATCGCTGCCGGCCTGGACCATGCGAGTGCTGCTGGGGTCGATGACCGCAACTCCACCCCATTGATCCTCACCAGTCTCATCGATTTCTTCGATGCTAGTGGGAGCCACCTGTCCAACGCGGAACCAGGCCACGCCGACCTTGCGGGCCTCAGAGCTCTCCTGCTTGGATCCTTGTCCTAATCGAGCAGTGATATCGTCTTCTTGATTGGCGCCATCGCCTCCAGCTGTACCAGAGAAGACCGCTCTGCCCAATCCCTCGTCGACACTAATACCAACAAGATCTCCGCTCTTCAGGATTCTTCGACGAGACTCAAAGTACTGCTTGAGCCCGGCAAAGAGTGCAGGCTGAAGGACTCGATCCATCGACAGGGGCGTGGAGACCTTGAGCAGTGTGACTTCTTTCGCCATGGGAGGGTTCTTCACGGCGCTGTTCTTCATGTGGTGCAAGAGGCCAGGCTTTGACACGCCGTTGGCAGCCTGGAAAGTCATAGGGGAGATGCGGAGGTACTTGGGGTTCTCGATATTGCTCAGAAGCAGTGGAGGCACGAAGACGGAAGGGGTCAGTCGCGTCGGAGCTAGCTGTGAGAAGCTTGATCGGCGAGCACCAGAGTGGTTGATCGCGTACCGGGGCTTCGCGGATGGAAGTCCTGGCAGTCCAAAGACCTTAACAGGTCGCCAATCTCCAGAATCCTCGGTGGCATCGTTATTAAAACTGCCGAACTTTAGCGAAGCGAACATGCCGAGTTGAGGCTCTTCGGTTGCTTCGATCCGAACCCAGTCGCCCGAGAAGCAACCGATCTTGGCAAGTGTGCTGATATCGACAAAGATGAAGGAATCCACATCCTCGTCATCGCGTGGGCGGGGATGGAGAACTTCGTTCGGGACTTGTTGCAAAAGACCTTCGACCTTGAACACTTTTCCACCTCCGCGGCCAGGTCGCATCGTTGCTGATGTGAAGTTCGACGCGACCGAGCCTGGGGTATGGATCCCATCAATCCGTCGACCGCCAGCCCGAGGTGTAGCGGAGGTGATGGAAGACATAACGCCGGATGGAGGTTGAGGAAGCTCGGGAGCAGAAAGTGAAATCATGTCCTCCAAAGAATCATCGGAGTCATCGCTCATGGAGCCCACTGATCCTTCAGTCTCGGATTCTTCAGCCGCAGACGTTGTTTCCACCTCAGTGCCACTCTCCCCAGCTTTGTCCTCGGCCGCAGAGTAGAACTGTTCGTTGGAGGTATCGTCGGCTTCATCTTCGGCCACTTGTTTTAGAAGCGCGGATCGTGGTGGGAGCGTTTGTGGCACCCGGTTACCCTGCTGCGGACGAGCCTGAACAAGAACCACCTTTGTCGTCGGTCCCAGCAGACCCTGCGAGACAGGCTCGCAGAAAGAAATGCGAGCTGGTGGCGCGGGCGCATAGGTAATAGGATGGGGCGGAAGAGGAAGCGGAAGAACGTCACCCATATGCACGAGTCGTTGAGCAGCCAATGCCTCACGCACAGCGGCAGTCAGTCGTTGCTCAGCATCGGCCGCTGCCTTTTTCGACGGCCTTCTCGTGTCCACAGTCTTGCCGGTCTTGGACCACACTCCATTAGGACCGTGGACATTAGATGGGAACCCACCGCCGAATTTGCTCTGTACATCATCATGATTGCGGAGTAAATGGCGCTCAACAGTTACAAAGACGGTATCGAGATGCAACGGGGCGACATCGAGGAGCCGAATCTCCACCGCCCGGTGGGTCTGTAGCGAATTCCGGGATGCGTCGAGCTTTCCGAGGGCCTGGAGGAAAGGTTGCAGGGTATCGGCGGAATCGGGGAACAAGACGGTAGAATGTGAAATTGGTGTTTGAGAGCGCTCTAAGCTGTGAAATCGCACAGGTAGAATCGTCCATACCTGGTCCTCCGCCGAGGAAAGGGTCGGGGAATGCGGGGAAACGGCTACATAGTGCACGCCGTCATGCGTCGCAACATCTGATTGAATACAATGTCGGATCCAGTTAGCAATCATCTCAGTCTCGTATGCAATTTCGTAGCCACTCGACCGAGTCATCTTTCTCTGTACTCACCCTGAAGCGACTGCTGCGGAAAGAGGTCCTTGGCCAAGTCCTCCGATAAGAGGCCGACATTGCCACGGAGCTGAGCATCCAGCGCCAGACGAGCAGCGACCGGAGGCTTGTTACGAAGTCGCCTCTTAGCAACCCGTTTCCGGCGCTGTCGAGGCTGCTGGGAGCTCTGCCCGTAATGATCAAAGTCCATTGGCGCAGTGACTCCAATTGCCGTCGGGAAAGCGCGCGGGGAAGGATTGGAATAGGAGGTCTCGCGGGAGAGAGAGAACAAAGAGAGATATCCAAGCCTAAGAAGGCCACCGGCTCACCATTCGACAAGGCCAGGAATGTGCGACTGCAATGTGGAAGCGCGGGGAGAAGGACGAAATGCGCCGGATCCAGAATCCGGGGGAAGTCAACACGCGGGCAACTCGGCACCGCCCGCCATTCTGCCACTGGCTGTTCCGAAGCCGAGGTTCATGATGGCGCTTGGGTTGTTCGGCGTTCGGCTTTCTGTCGGTGTCGGTCGCATTCGATGAGATCGGCCTGATCTCTGGGGCATCACACTCTTGAGACTTGTAAAAAGAAAAAAAAAAAAAAAAGAGATCCGTATTGCTGTTGCGTGCTCTATTCACTCGTAGCCATCGTCAGTGACCCGGCTGCTCCGGGCAGCTTGTGATCTGAACAGCCCTTCGTAGCTGTGCACACATCGATGTGGTGAGGACTGGAATATTTTGCACATTAAACTATACTCATTGCCTAAGTTCTGAACAATTCCTTGATTTTTGCCATGAAGGATATTCGATAAATCTCGGCTATCAGAACACGACATGGCAAGGGCTGTTCAACAAATAGAAGTGCGTCTTGAGCAATATATATCTCGGTCAGATGTTTTACCTAGCTCTGCCAAAACCAACAATAACCTTAGCCAGGACTTTCGAAACTAAAAATATCCATTTGGTCCATCTGACTTTCAGCGGACAGGGCATCTAATCAACCCCCAGCCCTGGCCGTGCCGATATTGCCAATGTGTGGTTCGATTGATCGGGATCAAGTCTAAGTGGTCCTTCCATGGTCAGTGGTCAAGCACATATCCGCCGAGACATCTCCACAACCCCAGTATGACAGAAGGACGCAGCCTTGGGAGGTTTCAGATCATCTGAATCTGGGGAGTTTGTTCGTGCCAAAACAAACTACGGAAACCAGACGAGTGAGGAGAGAGTATCTTATTAAAGCTCTAATAGTTGAAATAGTAACTAGTACTTGGGGATCATGGAGCTAGCTCCACCACTATTGGGTAGAATTCCAACGATTCATAGTGGCGTCCATAGAGCTCTTGCAGTTGTGTAGCACACCTTGGTCACGTATGGATGTGGCTTGGATTTCTTCCATGGACATGGAAGTTGAACTCCGGAAATGTTGTATGCAAGGGCATTGGCAGGGGCTTAAAACTGATGGTCTGTCTTTCCCGGTGTGATGGTCGCACACCTCCTACTGTAGCTCCACCATGGATGTGGTATCTGGTCTTAACTAAGCACCTGAGTATCCCGTCCAGGTGTCTATAGATACTAGAAGTGGCTCATTGGGTTACATTAACCAGGATATTCCGATCATGAGGTAGCTTGAGCCTCTACACCTTTGCTCGTGTTACACCCAGCCAGAACGAAGCGGGTCGCTAGAATTTGCCTACAGTGCCAGCCGTTATTGCCTTCGATGTTGAGAAACACAGAGCCACTGTTTCAAACTATAATCACATGATATGCTACACCTATTATGAATCTAGCGTAAATTACCTATTTCGTATGTTCTTCGTAAAGACACCCGTTGTTGTACCTATTCGTAAGAATACAAGAGGCCTGGGCGGCTAGAAGCTTTCTGCAAACTAAGCAAACTTGGCGACCGTTGCAATATGTCAACTTCCCTCCCTCCATTCCCCGGTTGCTTCACTGCAAAGGGTCTGGCGCTGCTCTGGTCCATCTCGGATCAGGATTGATAGGCAAGGCTCGATCTGAAGGCACGGCTTTTACGATAAAATTGAACGACCCGGTCCCAGAGAAATCTCGAAAATGTTGCTAATTTCACTGATATTGACTAGAAACCAGTGACGCAGCTGCGTGAATGGACCAACTTGTTTCGTATTGGCAAGAAGCTCTCTATGGCCATTGCCTTTAACTATAGGTCTGAAGATGATAATCACTGTATGGCTACAACAGAGCTGAAAAGAGACGCCGTGTGTCTACAACGAGCGGAATGTTGGTCGAGCAAGAGGCTCATATTGCTGCGGAAGAAGAGGGAATTGCACGACCCTTCAATCTGGAATGTTGTTTGACCTTATGTAGAGATCCATCGTCTGAACTCACGATATAATCCTGAGTAAATTGCTTACTTCAACACACTAATTTAGTCGCCTCTGGCAGCGTGCAGCGCGTTGCGCTAATCAAGTCACCTGATGATGAGGCTGAGCTGCCCCTCACTCGGCTGTGTGGCTAATTCCTGCTTAACCCTTCCTGAAATTACTCTAAGCGACCTATGAGTTGCTTTAACCATGGCGTGTAACTCATTTGGCAGCGCAAACTCTGGGCTCCAGATTGGAAATAATACTGGCAGTATCAACAATCCGCACTTTTACCTGCCCCTTGGTAAGTGTCAGTCAGAAAGGCCTTTAACGTTAACTATAACGGGCCGTAGGCAAGTTGACTAATAACCGCGCCCGCCCCAGAACCGCCAGAAACCCGCCCAGAGCCTCTATCTACCGTACCTTTCTTGCACGACGAAAACTTTGTCAATCGAGATACACTTCTTGCCCAAATTCACGAAAAATCGTCGGTACCGGGGTCCATAATAGTTCTTGTTGGTCTCGGCGGAGTTGGGTTAGGAAACACGCATCTAAAGGGTGTCTATTCAAGACTAACTGGACAATAGGAAAACACGACTTGCCATCGAATACTGCCACCCAGTCCGACAGCAATCTACCGACACATGGGTCTTCTGGATTCATGCGAGTAACGCAGCCCGCTGCGAGGACGGCCTGCGTGACCTTGCCGATCGAGCCAAGATTCCTGGGCGCAAGGACCGCAACACTAATATCTTCCAGCTCGTCGGAAACTGGCTTCAAGATACAACAATTGGAAAATGGATTCTTGTTCTGGATAATGTAGACGATGATGAGCTGCTTAGCAAACCTTTAGCGACTGGTACCGAGACCCAAGCAGACATCCAGGGCCATCCTTCGACACAGCCGCCGCTACGATACCTTCTGGAAAGCTTGAACGGCTCTATCATCATCACAAGTCGGAACAAAGGAGTAGCATTGGATATCGCCGGCTACACGAAGAACCTTATAGATGTGCAACCTATGAACCAAGCCGAAGCGCTCCTTTTACTACAGAACAAGTTGGACATACATATAAACAGGACCGATATGGTACAACTAGTGAAGGAACTAGAGTGTATGCCACTCGCGATCGTACAAGCTGCCAGTTATCTTACCCACCGCTCGCCCCGCATCTCAGTCTCGCTGTATTTGGAAAAGGTTCGAAATTGCGATAACGAAACGACTAAGCTTCTTAGCTACGAGGCAGGTCGCCTTCATCGTGACTGGGAGGCAAAGAATTCCATTGTATTGACATGGCAAATATCTTTCGACCATATTCGACAAACAAGACGATCTGCGGCTGACTTACTCTCTCTCATGAGTCTTTTCGACCCACAAGGAATCCCGGAGAAGCTTCTGGGGATTCAAAAGAGAGAGAGAAGTGAGAATAATTTGAGCTCTTCAGAGTTGTCTGTGAACAGCTCGGCTGACTCAGACTTTGAGGATGATATTGCAGCTCTCAGAGACTATTCGTTCATCCAGATCGGTGAAGATAGCACCATGTTCAGTATGCATCGGCTAGTGCAGCTCACGGTACGAGCATGGCTCACGACAGAAGGGGAAATAGAGCAATGGAAGCACCGATTTATTAGCAACCTGTGCCAGGAATTTCCGAGTGGTGGATATGAAAACAGGGAAAGCTGCAGACTGCTGTTTCCACACGTGAGATCAGCGATATCACACCGACCAGAAACCCAGGATTCCCAACAAGAATGGGCTACTCTACTTTATCGAGGCGCCCGATATGCACATGAAAACGGCAATACTCGGGAAGCTACGGAAATGGCTTCGAAGTCAAGGAAACAGAGGATAAGCATATTTGGTGTCGACAGTGAAGAAGCCCTTGAAAGCACAGTTATGCTAGCAACAGCATATCGGCGTGATGGACGGTGGGAGGAGGCCGAGCGCCTTGAGGTACAGGTGATGGAAATGCGAATGACGAGATGCGGCATTGAACATCCCAGCACGCTAGCGAGCATGGGCAACTTGGCAACGACCTATAGAAAGCAGGGTAGGTGGGAAGAGGCCGAGCAGCTTCTCCAACAGGTACTGAAGACACGCAAGACCAAGTTTGGCGTTAAACACCCCGGTACGCTAGCGAGTATGGGTAACTTAGCTACAACCTACCGGAAACAGGGCAGATGGGATGAGGCCGAACGACTTGAATTGCAAATTCTAGAGACGAGAATAACCAAGCTCGGCGACGACCACCTTACGACGCTAGCAAGCATGGGAAGCCTAGCAACGACCTATCGGAAGCAGGGCCGATGGGAGGAGGCTGAGCAGCTTCTTAAGCAGGTAGTGGAGATGCGCAAGACAAAGCTCGGGGACGACCATCCGGACACTCTGAGGAGTATGGCTAACCTGGCTGCTACCTACATGGAACAGGGCCGGTGGGAAGAGGCCGAGAGGCTTCAGGTGCAGGTGATCGAAACGCTCAAAACCAAGCTAGGCAACGAACATCCGGATACGCTGACGAGTGAAGTTGGCCTAGCGGCCAACTATAGAGAGCAGGGCAAGTGGGAGGAAGCCGAGCAGCTTCTCGAGCAGGTGGTGGTGACAAGCAAGACTAAGCTCGGCAACGACCATCCAGATACGCTGACGAGTATGGCTAACCTGGCTACTACCTACATGGAACAGGGCCGGTGGGAAGAGGCTGAGCGGCTTGAGGTGCAGGTGATGAAAATGCGCAAAACCAAGCTAGGGAACGAACATCCGGATACGCTGACGAGCATGGCCAGCCTTGCTCTTATCCGGAAATCTTCCGGCAAAACGGCAGATGCCATTGATTTGCTGAGAGATTGCCTAGCTAAGCAGAAACACATCATCGGACCTAATCATCCTCATGCAGTGTCAAATTTTGAAACCTTGCTTGGATGGGAAACTGAGCAGCTGAACATTGATGCATAAACCCTTGATCTATTTCCTCATTATCTGACAGATATCAATCACTGGACGTTTGTTGCCGAATATCTTTGCCGTATATCGTGCTGTATTTGTGGCATTCGAGCGATTGTGTCACTGCTGCTTTGCACTTGGAAACGACGGAACGAATCCTCTACGCATAATAATGTTTTCAACGGACAATATTTAGTATTCAATTGCTGTATTCTCAGCCAGCGATGCTTTTTAAACGTATGAGTCCAATGTCGTACCATAGCAGAGCGACGATGTTTTTCTTGCCATTTTGTGAGTGGTTTAGGTGACTGCAGTTGCTACGTTGGGAGGAGTGAGAGCGAAGAACGCCAAGGTGGGTGTGGCTAATTTTTGATATGGCACAGGTGTTATTTTTGGACATGTAACAGTACATGACTATACTTTCTGCCCACCCACCGCTTCCGATGCAAACATAGAACAAAACTTTAAATTCGAGATTAGCCATATAAGGTTTAGTTTCTCATGTGACTAAGGTTTGAAACAGTGCCTCTCTGTTCCCCGATTTGGAGGCAATAACAGCCGGCACGGTACACACGCGAGCAAAGGCTTTGGACCAGCGGAACACACTCTAGTCAAGTAGAACTTGAAGGATATCTTCTCTGTATCGCTCAGAAGATTCTTATGAGTCATTAATATGGAGAAAAGATTCTACAATAGGCGCTGGCGCCTACGTCCTCTCACGGTCGCCTTGAGGATGCCTAGTCCAGACCCGCTACAGCCTGGATGTTAACCTCTCCCAAGGCGCCCGCGAGGTCTTCTTGCGCATATATAATGACAAGGCTAGTCTACAGTCTCCATCTACACCTCTGAGTTTCCTCGACTTTTCATATCAACCCAAATGGAGGATACACCCTTGTCGCAAATGTTCGTCACCGCCACATTTCACCCCCAAACCCAACGCGACCCTATCAACGTGTCAGATTGGGGTTCCTGTGGCGGAGCTGCCACTTAGCACGCAGGGAAGGAGTGTCCAGCCCCAGCGATCTTAAGAAATTGACCAAGTCAGCTTCAAAACCAGGCAGACGAAAACGAGAAAAAAAACCCGAAATCTGCAAGTCGATACGACAATACGAGGGGGAACCAGTTCAACCGTTCAACGGCCGAGCCATCCGCGAGGCTCAAATTCCCGTGTGGCGGGTCCACCCAGTGAAATCCAGACTGCCCGACGGCGATATCCGTTTGGTTAGGCTCGTTCAGGGTCGTGAGGGTCTTTATGATTGAACAATTGCACGGTGGCTGGCCCATCATTCGTCCGTGTGGAATGTGGATGTGAAGATCAGCGGATCGGAAGGTGTTCTTCCCCCAGACCAACTGGCCTGGCAAGGCTAAGCATGTCTGCTTGGAAGAGACGAAGGCTTCGTGGTCTGCTCTTTTGAGCCAAAGGCCAACACTTGGGTCTTGGGGTTTTGCCAACTATTTCTGTTGAAGGATGTGCCGTCCTGGCGAAGAGCTAGAGGGGGAGAAAACGTCCGCCTTTTTTCTAGGCGGCCAAATATCTGACGTCGCCCTGCGCAAAGATTACCTGGCGATAAGCTGACGGCGCAGGCAGTGATTTTTCTCTCTCTCTGAATGGAAGAGGAACGCCGCACCCCTGGTCGCAGGGAAACCTTGTCAGACGGGGGGAGTTTGAGGCTCTCGGGGTTTGGGACACGAAAGGACAAAAAGGACCAAAAGGACGGAGCAATTCTGGCTCCGCGGATCCCGTCGTGTTCCATTTTAGGAGCCCGTGGTGGAGTCTGGTATTATTACGATTCGTAACGGAATGGGGCCATGTGTTCGACCCAGCGCAAGGCCCAGGTTTCCAAACTTTCCATAGTTTTGTAGGCCACGCTTTCTGTGGCCTGCGCCCGAGCGGCTGACCGTGACAATACCAAAACGCTTGGCAAGGCCAATCAGCGGCAATTGAATCTGCTCAGCCATCGCACACGATTCCCCTTTGGTGCTAGTGGATTCGACCATCAGGCAGACATCTAACGCGCAAGTCCACTCCGTCTGCTCCGTCATCTTCCTCCTGCGCTCTCCACGATTCCTTTTCTCTCCTCGTATTTGCTTCTCGCATTAAGCCCGCCGTTCGCCATCTTCTGCACTGTGTAGAATCTCGTCGTCGCCAGTATTTCGTCGATTTAGGTGGTCGAACTGCCCCTCCTCGCCTTGAAACCCCCTCGATCGATAACGGTTCCGACCGTTTATCCATCATCGATCGTTGCGAACGTCGGTCGACTTCGTCCGCTTCGCTGGCATCGATTTCCCTCATCAGTAGATTTGTCTTTGCATATCGTGGCCTTCACAAGGCATTTGGGATACGCTTGATCGGTTGATCCGTGAGCCTGCCAACCTGCCTAGCGACCATTGCCAAACACCCGCTTGGCCTTGTCACCGTTCGTGATCTCCTGCTGCTGGATCTGTATTCCAGCGCTTGATTGCATCGTCACGACTCTCCCAACGCTTGATATCCTTGTTGACGCAAGAGCGGTACCGGTTGCCCTCGATATATAAAGAAACCGGTTCGAAGTCGCAAGCCGGACCAAATCTGGAGCCCGGGCGTAGTCTCTGACTCGACCGTACGTCACATCACGAATCACGAATCAGCTGAACCATCCATCTGGTGAGTCACTGGGCATTAGCCAATCATCCGGAACAATCTGTCCTTTCGGGGGCATTGAGTGCAGCCGTACTAACGCGGGCATCGATGCAGAACCAATCCATCATGGTGTCTGCTCAATTCGAGTCCACTCGGGTGCACCCGCGTCGGCGGCCCGTCATAAACACCACGCTGGCCCCGGAGGCGGAGTCCAGTTCTTCTTCCAAAATGCAACTGAAGAAGGGTGAGACGTTCAGTACTCCCACCAGCCCGCCGTCGAGTGATCGTGATCCGGTGTTGAACATCCGATCTCTTCCTCGTCGCTCGCCGACATCGCTGGATGCTATTACTGCTAGTGAGCAGCGTATGGCATCTATTCTTGAGCGGTTGACTCTTGACGATCAGCCCGAGGAGAAGTCGTCCTCTGCTGATGATATGGATGCGGTGAAAACCGAGTCCAAGTCTGCCGTCTCGACTCCCTCGAAGCCCTCGAGCGAGGACGGATATGACCTGTTTCCTTTGGAGAAGAAGGAGCAGCAGCAACAACAACAACAACAACAACAAGAACCAGAACATGGCCACGAGTCCGACAGTGGACTTGGGTCGTCCGTTAGCAGCCGTGAATCGCTGGCTGATCCATCCGAAAAAGGTAAGCGCATGTGATCCACCACAAACACAAACGATGCCATCCCCAGCCCTATCCATTTCCTCTTTGGGCCCAGACTAACATCCGGATTTCCTCTTCGGGAAGTGAACAATGAGATTCACCTGGGACAATCCGCCATTACCACTGCTTCCACCAACTTCGACCAAGGCTCCAGTCCTCGCCGTCAATTATCCTACTCGGCGTGTAAACAGATTGAGCGCTTCATTCTGGTCCCGATCCTTAAGGAACCCAAGCTGAAGCCGTTCCATCCTCTCGTCCGCAGCATTCCCACTCGCATCGTGAACAAGCAGATTGTTTGCCTTCGCGATCTCGAGAAAATCCTCTTGTGGCTCGCTCCTGTAAGTCTGCTCTACTCTCCTATCGTCCGTCTGCCTCTGCCTCTCTGCTTCTGCCTCTCTGCTTCTGCCTCTCTGCTTCTGCCTCTCCTACTTTTTCCTCCCTCCTAACCTCCTCCTCTTCCAACTCTCGTCCTTTCTCATTTTTTTTTCCTTCTTTCCTTCGCAACTTTTCTTCTCCCACCGTCCTTCGTCTATCCAATTCCTTTTTCCATCGCCCAGTCTCTCCTTCGTCCATTTTTCTTCTCCCACCAGCATCCTCTCCTTTTGCAACTTTCTTCCTCACCAACAGTCCTTCTTTTCCACTCCTGTTTCCTACCCAATTTTCCCACTCACTCAGTCCCCCCGTCTCCAATCCTTCTTCTCCCCCTAATTTCTTCTCTCACCGTCCTTCTCCTTCGCCCACCCGCTTCCTCTATCAAGTTCTGCCCTCACCACTTCTCTCCCTCTCCAACCCTCTTTTCCTCCCGAGTTTCTCCCCTCACTTCGTTTCTCTTTCACCACTTTTCTCCCCCTCGGTCTTTCCCCTCAGTCTTCTCCCTCACCAGTCTTCGTTCTCTCCGAACCCCGTTCTCAAGTTTCTCCCCCTCCCTTATTCTTATCTTCTCGTTTCGGTACTGGCGTTCTGGTTGCTCATAAGGTCTCCTGTTTCAGAAACTCTCGGCGTCTCGGTCTTCGTATCTCGGCTTCTGCGAGTTTACCATCCAGTGTCTGCACACTTCGACCTCTCATCTCAACGCTCGGGATCAACGACTTCCCGCTGATCGCCCTTACACTAACGGTTACTTCCTCGACCTTGTCACTCAGGTTCGACGCTACGCCGCGATGATCCAGGCTAATCGCCAGCGGGTCCAAGCGGCCCAGGACTCCCAGACTCAGTCCGCCAAGAAGGACGAGCCGTCCTCCCTGTGAGTCGACACCCCCATGTTTGATCCCAACTTTCATCTCATACTGACAACTTGACAGTATCACCACCGCCGCCCTCGAAGGCGGTCTCTCCAAGAATGGTCGCCCTGCCGAGCTGACCATGATACAGGATGGCAAGGTCATCTCCCTGGCCACTGGCCTTCCTTATGAGCCCGATGCTCCTGCTACCTTCAAGCGCACCATCACTCTCGATGATGAAGGCGATGAGGGTGTCATGCGCTCCATGGCTCGTCGCAAGAAGAATGCCCCTCCCATGGACATCAATCAGAAATGCGCTCACTGCGACAAGGTCTTCAAGCGTCCCTGCGACCTGACCAAGCACGAGAAGACCCACTCCCGCCCCTGGAAGTGCACCGACACCACCTGCAAGTACTATCAAATCGGTTGGCCGACTGAAAAGGAGCGCGACCGCCACATGAACGACAAGCACTCCGACAGCCCCAACATCTTCCGCTGCCACTTCGAGCCCTGCACTTACCACTCCAAGCGTGAGAGCAACTGCAAGCAGCACATGGAGAAAGCTCATGGCTGGGTCTACGTTCGTTCCAAGCACAGCTCCCGTACTCTCGGTTCCAAGAGCAAGCGCGGCACCTCCATCCGGGCCACCTCGCTCCAGGCCACTCCCGACACCCCGAGCGTGTCGACTCCTGCTTCCGGCCCCACCGACTTCAGCACTCCCAGTGTCGGCCCGACCCCTTCGCCTTACGAGGGCCCTGCTGAGCTCCCCGATGGCGCGACCTTCAACTTTGCAGACCCTCCTGCCATGGTCCCGGGCGAAGACTTCCCGGACTTTTTCGATACCTTCAATCTCGCCGATATCGCTGCCAATGGCTACACCGGTATGCACTACGAGCCGTACCAGGCCCCCTCCTCGGCCGGTATGAGCAATGATGCCGGCGTCAACAGTTACACTGGCTTCGATAACTCGCCCCAGCCCACTCCCTACTCGGCGGGCATGAGCAACGATATTGGTCTCGGCAGTTTCACTGGTCTCGACAACTCGCCCCAACAGACCCCTTCTCTGGCGGGCATGACCAATGATACCGGTGTCGACAGCTACTCTGGCTTCGACAACTCGCCCCAGGAGACCCCTTACTCGGCGGCCATGAGCAACGACCAGGTCTTCTCCGCCTTCGACCTCGCTGGCCTGAACCACCTCCAGGCTCAGTTTGCGGCTGGTGAACCCGAGAGCCTCATCCCCACGCTGGATGAGTTCAGCACCTATCACATGCAGCTGCCCACTGCTGCTGAGGGTCTGAACGCTGGCCTCAAGCCAATCTCCGAGGACCAGCTCATGATGAACATGGGAGCTGGAAACTTTGCCGCGGCGGCACCCACCCACCTGCCTGGTCTCTCCCCCGGTGCCCAAGGGGGTTTGATGCTGTATGCCCCCGACTCGGGCATGTCGGGCAACAACATCTCGAGCGACTTTCCGTTCGGTCTTCCCCTGGCTCAGCAGCCAGTGAACGATTTCACCTTGTTTGGTGAGACCGTTTCGCAGGAGCAGAGCCCCGAGCAGATGTACGGGCAGTCGGAGCACATGTCGATGGATTAGGGCTCCATCGACATGAACATCAAGGCCATGCAGAATGAGATTGACATGGCGATGCTGTCGGAGATGCTGGGACTCGACACCCTGTAGATGGAGGGTGCCTGGCGCCGTTTCCTTTTCTTTTTTCTGTTTTTTTTTCTTACATGCAATCTAGCATGTAATTTATGACCCTGGATATGTCTGGTCTTTTCATATTGATCTGACCTTGCTACGACTAATAATCTGAATCTGATCTACCCGTTGTTTTTGAACTCGATCTTTTCTAATAGTTAAGCACCTCAGTCACGATTCAAAAGAGATAGATTATAGATGGTAGCCCGTACTGCTTGAACTGGTATCTTCTGCTGTAGGCATCTCTCCTTCTCACTGGAAATCTCCTCTACCTACTGTTCTTCCTATGGCTTAGCAGCCCGTGGCTGATTTCACCCTCTTCGCGACACTGGACGAACGAGAACCTGTATGACTCCCAGGAAGTTTAAGCGGTACTAAGATATGGAACAATGCATCTCCCTGGCTTATTACATGCCCAACCGTCAGCCCTGTAGACGCACTAGGCAGCATGATATTCAGCTCTATGGGCGTGGATTTTCCCGCAGTGCCAATGAATGCCAATGCCGGGTCACGGTGGAGCAGGCCGCGTCAGGGGGGCAAATTTGGGAGTACAGTATGTACCCTTAAAGCATCATGTCTTGCCTGACTATGTATACGTACTATAGTTTGTGATTGGAGTACTAGGTGTAGTGTCATGAGTGTCTCGGATCGTACTTTTCTCCAGCCGTACCAGCCTGGGAGAGGTGGATCGGTGGCGGAGCCTTCAAAGTGCTCAGTTATACAAGTTCAGTTATATGATTACTCGTATTGTCTGTTTCCTTGGCCGTGTCCCCATAATACTAGCTTTGCCCAAGTCAGTGTGATCGGCCAGTTTCGGGCAATATCGTGCAGTTGTACTCCGTCGAGGGCTCCAAATGGTAATAGCGACAGTGTTCCATCGAGAATGATACAGAATCATTAACGGAGGCGATCTCGTGGCTTTATCGCCGAATCTAAACCCTAGTTTTAAACCGATAGGCTAGCCAGGTAGACAGAGGATCGAAATGCCACCCATGTCATCCCTCATCGAATACAGTGGCTGTTCCTTGACCGACGATCATCCAGTCCTACGGGTCAGGGTAGGGGGCAGGCCTTGTAAATTAACAATTGACCGAGGGGTGCCGAGTGGACGAAAGGATGCCGGGCACATTTGGGATTACTCGGGCAGTGACCAGTGACGACATCTCCGCCCACTTTTCTTGCGACCATCAACAACACCAGTTCTGCTCCCTCTCGCCCCTACCAGCAATTGCGCTCTAGAACACAAAAACTACAGAGTCTAGTCGCACATACTCGCTGATTTTGCATCTGTTGAGATTCTTTTTCCTATTAATCAGCAAGCCTCGTTGGGGAAACGCTCACGGGGGCTGTGTGGGTGGTGCCGGCTACTATTGAATCTCGGCGACACGCCGCCCAGACCTGAAGCTGACAAGGCCAGGCAGACGAATTCTCCTTCCTCCCATCTCACCACAACCACTTTTGCTTTAAGCAGATTGATTGTACGACCGATATCAGGGATTCTGCATCCTTTCCGACCACAGTCTCGCGCCCAGCATGTCGGCGCTCGATGAGAAGGCCGTCGCCAACGGCGGTCAGCCCAGAGCTAGTGCATCAGTACCCCCGCTGGACGGTCAGATCCTGACCGGCAAGCAGGAGCACTGTAAGTGAACGGAAAAATACGCCGAGATAGCAGGATAACCTCTTGATTGGAAGGATTACTGACATTTCCTGTGACCTGCATTGTAGATCTCAAGCGCGAGCTCATCTCTCGACAGGTCCGCGGCGAAATCTCCGAGCTCAACTCCCCAACTGCGTTGCAGCGCTTCGGCGCACCCTTTCGATCGGACTTCGGCGAAGTCGCCCCGATCGACTCAGAGCTCCCGATTTTAAGATACATCTTCGTGCATCATGTCCGCAACTTCCCATTCCTCGATCAGGCGCAGGAGAAACAGTTTTGGCAGGATAAGCTACAAGTGGTGCGTGTGACCGGATCCCAAGGAACGCGTGGAGAGATGCAGGGCAGGCGTGTGGGATACAGTGTTAACATTTCTTATCCTTGATTCTAGTTCCTCGAGTCCTTTGCCAACAAGCATGTCTCGTCCTCGGAGGATCGCCTGGAGGAGACCAAGCGGCGGAAACTGGCTCGCAAGAGCGAGAAGCTTGTGGAGCTCATGATGGTTTCCGGCGTGCCGACCGCATCGGGCTATGAGGAGCGTATCCAGTTCTCGGAGATGGAGATTGTTGAGCGCGGCGCGAATGACAAGGGTCTGCTAGTCAACATGCCCGAGGGCCATGCCATCAATGGCTGGGACGTCAATGTTGCAGCGGTGCGGGTGACGTCGGTGAAGCGGACGGTCCGGTATCACCCTCACGCGGTGAGTAACCTATCCGCTGGAAGAAGGAATTTATTCTAACAGAATTTTGCAGGAATTCATCATCCGAGTGCGCCGAGAAGGCAAGGAGGAGTTCCACATTGGCCGAAGATATGGCGAATTCGTCAAGCTCCATCGCAGACTACGTACCGAGTTCCCTGGCAAGCACTTGCCACCGCTCCCTCGCAAGAACAAGTCCTCGACCACATCCAGCTGGTTCGGATCCACAGAAGACGACAACGAATCGGTCTCCTCCGTCTCTACTCAAGATGCTAGTGTATCAGACGAGCCAACCTCAAGCACGGGCCAAACATTGACGGTTGAAAGTGTTGTTCGCCGATCAGTCTCGAAAAGCTCTTTGCGATCCTCTAAATCCCCGGGTGTATCAACGGAAGTGGTGTCACGACAGACGGTTCTGTACCGCGAGGAACAACGTGTCTCTCTTCGTGCCTTCCTGCGTACCATACTGCAGAACAAGCGGGTTGCCGAGTCCAAGGCTATGCAGGAGTTCTTGACTGCCAAGCCTATCTCATTAAACGAGGAGGAATTGATCGATGTGAAACGACGCAAGGAAATGGATGCAGTCAGAATCGAGGAGCAGAAACGCTTCTACGAAATCGCCAGGCAACGAGCCGCCGAGCTAGATGTCTACATGGAGCAGTTCCGAAGGGACATTGTGGAGAGCAGTATGTCTTCATTCTTGTTCTTAATTGCCGGGAGAGTGGTGCTAATATGTTATTGCTAGATGGTCTGACAAAGCTCTTTGCTGAGATTCGGGAGAAACCCTGCATTGCCGAGCTCAGCCCGCAATACCAAAAATTCGCCGAATGGCTGCGGATAGAGTAAGTTTTAACCCCCACACTCGAGTGTGTGTTCCTTTTTGACTGACTGTGCTAGGGTTGCTGCAACCGTCTACCACCTGTTCCTCGCCGAAGACAATTCTCCCGAAATGTTCGCACAGGCCAAGCGAATCCATGGCCTTGTCCCTTACACATTGATGAAGAATGTCATTCGTATCGCCAACCCAGCGGCGGTCATGTCTGGTGTTCTGGACCTGTTCCTTGCTCAACCTTTCGGCTCACGCTCTCTCTTGCAGCGAATCTTCTCCATGACGCTTAATGAGGGCATCAAGGACTTCCAGAAATCCATTAATTCTCTGACTGCCAAGGTTGAAGACACCGTGTTGACCCAGAAACTCAAGAGTTTCGTGGATGCAGAAGAAGATATAAAGAACATCATCCGAGAGGAGGCCGAGGCGGAAGACGTCGACCTTATCGTCGCTATTCTGCGCTCTGAGCTCATTCCACCCGAGTTGACTCCTGAGCAAATTGGCAAGGTGTTTAATAGTTGGGTGGCATGGAACTACGCGGTTGACCATGTCGATGTGGAAATGCAGCAGGGGGCTCAGTGGTTCGCCAACATGAAGCAGCTTCTGAAGCTGTACACCCGTCAACGCGACAAGGCGATGATGCTCAGCATCGTGGAGGAGCCCGCCACCCTCCAGCTATTCCGTGACCTCTTCACCATCTTCTACGAACCACTCGTCCGGGTGTACAAGTCCGCCAATGTGTATAGCAGCATTACTGACTTCGCCTTGTTCGCCGACGATGCGATCTCGGTGATCGAGAGCGCCCAGCGCCAAGATGCCTCAGCCGACCCGAACCAGACCGTACAGGCCTTTATTGATTTGTGCGCGCGCCACGAGGACAACTTTTACAAGTTTATCCACGAGGTGCATTTGCACGATAACGGGCTGTTCCAGTCCTTGATGTCCTGGATCGAGGAGATCCTCGAGTTCCTGCGCAAGGGGCCACGGGGTGGTAAGATGGATATGAATGCCATGTTCCAGGGCGCCGTGGGCGTCGGCCAGATTGACAAGGAGGTTGCGCTGGAAGAAATTAACGCCCTGATCAAGTGGCAGGAGGACCGCAAGAGATGGCACTTGAACAAGACGCGGCAGAAGATGGCCGCTGAAGGTACAGCCGGAGAGATGATTCCGGGCACGAGCACCTTCAACAGCAGCGACTTTGGTCTAGACGAGGTACGTTCTAACACTTCCCCCAAAATACACATCCCCACACAGTTCTAACTATTTTCTTCCAGGCCGACCTCGAAGACCTGACCATCTCGGACGCAGCCTCCGACTCCGAAGACGAAGACGAGGAAGACGACGAGGACGACCCGATCGCAGTCGAACGCCGTCGCCGCATCAAGAAACAGGATCAACTCCGCCGCACAGCCGGCGAGCCCGTCAAACCAGACGTGACCGAAGTCCTGAAACTGATGGATCCATTCGTGGCGATGCTGCGACAAGTCCTGGCTGACTAGACATGGCTCTGCTGTGGCTTTCCTATACTTGCTTGCTTCCTTTTTTTTTCTTTTTGCAACCCGATACCACGAATCCCTTGCATGTGTTTTTGCTTCGTGATGACTCTGGCCTGAGGACGGTCTTTGCATTGTTAGGTTTTGATTGGTTGATTGCATTTGATGAAGACTTCGAGTTTGGATACATTGCTGGGAATATGTCACTCCAGTGATGGTATGCTTATATCATGGCGAGGATTGGTGATTACCACAAGACAGGGCATGGCTTACATGTTCAATAGAGGGGCAATTACGAGAATACATTTTTTAATCGCACGCAGCGACGCTTTTCTCCCGCGCTAGTCTCCGTACACTAATTAGATACCTCTTACTGACTCGTTTCCTCTGTCTGATGATCAAGCGCTTTGAGACTCCAAATACCTCAGAATTGTGACACATATACCTTTCCTTGCTGCATAAAGAACCATCAAAAGCCGTGCAAACACAACACCACGCCGGAGAAGCCCATTTCCAGGACATTTCCGTGCCAAGCGTCGGAAAACAGCGCTCTTGGCATCGCGGAGAAAGCCCGGAGAAGATTGAAAGTTGTTTACCCCGCAAGAGCCAATAGGCTTGGCCTGCAGTAAACAAAAGGAAGTCTGAACTCAGTTACCATGATCTACGAGGGTAGCAAAGCTGTGATTGGACACTTATCCGTGGCCGCGGACCACGCGCGCTCAAATTTTCCATATATGAGACTGGAGAGACTGGGTTCGCGATCGTCGAGTGGAGTGTCATCGTGCCGTGGCCTCCCACTCCCCCGCAATTTAGGTTATCAGACCCCCACAGGCTGAGCCGGTCGCCAAGGTCGGGGTTGAGAGGATTGGGTGGGTGGGAGCTTGGATCAGACGGGATGGTTGTCAAGCTTAGGTCTGATGCGAGATGCTGATGGCGTGGCATGTCTTGCCAAGAGGAGATATCCGAGATGGTGTATATATACACCGTGTCCCGCTGGGGTGGATGGATAAGGGGATAGTCAGCGAGACATCTACAGCTGTGGTTGTCTACTTTGTTGAGTTTGCTAGGTGAAACGACTATCTCGTGCAGTTCACTCGGAGTATCTTGCAGCTATGAATCCTGGATCTATCCGCAAAGAGGATGTCGAGATTGTCGATCAGCCTTCTCATGTCGAGACTCTCCCCAAGCCTTCGCATATCACGGAGATTGACACTTTTCGTGTCGTCGGTTTGACCCCCGATGATGAGCAGTTTTATATCAATTTCTCTCAGGAACGTCGGAAGAAGGTCTTTCGGAAGGTGGATGTTCGTTTGGTCCCGATGCTGGCGTTGCTGTACTTGATGTGCCATATCGACCGTGCGAATATCGGAAATGCCAAGATCGAAGGCATGGTTCAGGATCTAGGTATGACGGGAGTGCAGTACAATACTGTGCTTTCAATCTGTGAGTTCACTGTCATTGCTATTTTGGGAATCTGCTCGGAACTGTTGATGACTGGTTTACGTCCGTGATAGTCTTCATTCCCTATGTGCTGTTCGAAGTCCCTAGCAACATCCTTCTCAAGAAATTCAAACGCCCTTCAACCTACCTGGGCATTCTTGTCGTCAGCTGGGGAATTGTCATGACATGCACGGGTCTCGTCAAGAACTTTGCAGGTCTTATGACTACTCGAGTGCTGCTGGGTATCTTCGAGTACGTACCTTTGATCCTCGCGTTTTCGATGGTAAACGAGACTGACACGCAACATCTAGGGCTGGCTTCTTCCCGGGTGCCATTTATCTCTGCTCTTACTGGTACATGCCAAAAGACCTGGCTCTCCGCATTTCATACTTCTACTGTGCCAGTGCATTGTCCGGTGCCTTCTCCGGTCTACTAGCCGCCGCCATCGCCAAGATGGATGGTATCGGCGGCCTGGAAGGCTGGCGATGGATTTTCCTCCTAGAGGGACTCTTGAGTGTCGTTCTAGGTGTAATGTGTTTCTTCCTCCTCATCGACACCCCCGCGTTCTCCACGCGCTGGCTGTCTCCCGAGGAAGTTCGTTTCCTCGAGCTCTCCATGTTCATCAAGCAAGGTGGAACCAGCAGTGAAGAAACAAGCTTCAAGATGCGAGATCTGAAGAAAGTGCTGCAGAACTGGAGAATCTACGTGCAAGCTTATTTCTTGCTGTGCCAGTCAGCCCTGTCCTATGGTAAGTATATCCTCAAATCGTCGTCTCTGGGCTCGAGCTAACACATGTACCTATACTCAGGCACCAAATTCACTCTTCCCACCATCACCAAAGCAATGGGCTTCAGCTCGACCAACGCCCAACTAACCTCCGCTCCACCCTACGTCGTCGCAGCCATCTCAGCTATCATCTTCGCCCGACTATCCGATCGCTTCTACTGGCGAATGCCATTCGTAGCCATCCCCATGATAATCGTGGTAATCGCCTACGCAATCCTCTTCTCTCTCAACGGCGCCCTCGAATCAAAGCGCGGAGTAGCCTACTTCGCCGTCGTCCTCGGCGTAGCCGGAATCTACCCGATACAATCCGCCGCCGCATCGTGGAACGCGAACAACATCGCTCCATCTGCGCGCCGAGCCATCGGCATTGCGCTCATGAACTGCGTTGGAAATGTTGGCGGCATTGTGGGCAGTTTCATGTACATTGAGAAGGAGAATCCCAAGTATCCCACTGGCTTTGGGCTTAGTCTTGCGCTCGCTGGGTTTGGCCTGTTTGTTGCTTTCTTCCTTGAGTGGAGTTATAAGAAGGGGAATGCGCGGAAGGCTAAGGTGGCGGATGAGGCGAGGGTCAAGTACACGGAGGATGAGCTGTTTGATATGGGTGATAAGTCGCCGCTGTTCAAATATGTGCTGTAACTGTTGGATTTGAAGGATAAGTTGTGGAGAACATCCCGAAACTGATGCAACCACCTCCACTCTTGAGGATTGTCCAGCCCCACCGCCAAGAGACACTAGTCCACATTAGAAATAGGTCCGGAATATCAACGTTCCTATACTGGAAGGCGCGCGCATAGTGCGCAACGGCCCTGAAACGATGAAGTAGAGAGGACGAAAAAAAAAGAATGGCAACAAATTTGTTTCACTGTAACCTAAACGCATATGAAGATTGACCATCGATGAGCCAGAGTATACAACGGAACCTTGTAATAAAAACAAGGTAAAAATATTCGGGAATATAATAAAAGTCATTATTTGATTTCGACGATTGAACAGACTTATAGGTATATGACTGCTTTTCTCGCCTCGGAATTTAGGAGTTAAATCGTGCAGCTACTATTAGCGAAGGCTATTGCTCACGACGAAAGATAACGTTAATATCTTATGTCGTTCTGTCTCGGTTTTGAGCAATTATCTATATTGACTATGCTTTTAATTTTACCCACTCTAATTGAGTCTGACGTATTGAAACTGATCTATGAAATCAACGCAAAAGGGTCTAAGAGATATCGATTAGAACAGTCAAAAGCACCTGGTTATCAACTCTACAACCCTCCACTAGAGTTCTTCCTAATCGGAACCTATTTTGCATCCGTATATGCACTATGTCTAGGTTTATGCCTCTTCGGTTGTATAGGGCGATTAATCGATATGCTAATAAGCAAAGAGTCGTTCGTTCCTCCGCATAATCATAACCTCTTGCACATTCCTCTCGGTTTGGAGGTTGGCTGGGTTCATTATCGGGGTATGCCAAGGACATAACCGGCCCCTTACAAATACCGGTTAGTGTTGAGCGGGGGATTTCGTATAGCTTCGCTGCTGCGCGAATAGATTTGATTCGGCCATTTTTAATATCATCAGGGGCTAATAAGATCTTGCCCTCTTGATTGGCCGATTTCTGCGAAGATTTAGAGCTAATTGGCGGCATGGTAGTTGGTTGAAGTTGGTAGGTGGGTAGGTTAACGCGATTTTGGATGGGGTGTCCAGACTGGCCGGGAATTACGTTAATAGTGCTGATGTGACACACTGGTATCGCGATCTTAACAGCACTGCGACTACGACCCACGAAAAGCCCCCTATTGAATTGTGAAATTAATGTTTCTACATGGTACCTCAGTAGAATGTTCTAGATCGATAGGTCATTAGTTTGGCTATTTGCCAGCTAACATGTACTTATATAAGTTCCCCAAACAGCATCTATTCGTAGTCTAAGAGCCAAAACCTTTCGCGGAACGTGCACGTACATGCGAGATGAAAAGGAGAGCAAGTGGGCACGAAAAAACAGTTACCGTAAGTTACTATGGATAAGCGCACACAACTAGTATGGGCCGGGACTGATGTTAGCGTGAGACTCCTTACTGTATAGCTCACCTATTTTTGTATACTCTTCCTCCAGAATATATGTAAATCCCTTTTCTTTAACCAGGAACTTCAGCTTGTCAAAGTCACGTGATACATGCAGAAGTCTGAGTGCATGAGCTATTTCCGCGGTCGGCGAAAGAGGTCCTCGCAAATCAATCATGAAAAATTGCGTCCCTTTTCGGGCTGCGAAAGGGGCTATCAGAGCCTAGCATAATCGGGCAGATCCAGGTAACGTTAACTACGAAAGACCTTACTAATTAGATTCGTTTCAACTGATCTGATTTGTGGAGTATGGCGCACATAGCACCAGTTATGACGAGCGTGCCAAGGCTAGTTGGAATTTAGACGTCTACCAGTTAGCAATTATTTAGTGATAATACTACAGATAGGATTAGATCGATCAATTGGCAGAGTAGAGTACGAGTTGTCCTATGCTATTTCACTATGGCTTCGAATGGATGGAAGTATGCAGCACGCGAGGCTGGTCTCCATGTTTGGAAGATTCTTCAGGTGAACTGGTACCTCGGATTTACTGCATTCGGCGGGCCCCCGGTTCATTTCAAGATCGTAAGTAACGTGTCCAGCATCTAATTTGACCACTCAGCTCTGATTGCATGGTAGTTCTATGACAAGTTTGTTTTAAAACTTAACTTTGTTGACGAGCAGTTGGTATGTCTTCAAATGCAGCGTCGTTTAGTCCTCCAAAAATACTAAGTGTGCCATCTTAGTATCAGGAGCTCTTCAGTATCTCGCAAGCTCTGTCTGGACCTGCTAGCACAAAGATGCTTTACTGCGTGAACCTTATCCACGATGGTTTGCTCGGAGCTGTCCTTGGATTTATTACTTGGAGGTATGGTCACTAGCGAGGGATCGAAAGTTGATGCTGACGTAACGATTAGTCTCCCTGGTGCTCTAGGCATGTTTGGCCTCTCTATTGGTATTTCTAATATCGACGAGAGTTTGCCTCCTGCAGTTTATGCTGTACTTTCAGGACTCAACGCCGCCACGGTCGGTATAATTGCCCTAGCGGCAGTCGAGCTCTCGGATAAAGCAGTCACGGACCACCTCACTCGGATTCTGGTCTTTCTCGCTGCTACCGCTGGAATGCTATATAATGCGCTGTGGTACTTTCCAGTTCTTATGTTTGCAGCGGGTTGCAGTACGGTTATATACGATTACCGCTGGTTTCACCGACCTATCCGAGCCATATTCAAGCTCATACGGAAAGTAACAACATTCAATTTTTCTGGGGTGGGAGGAACTGGCAGAGATGAAAGCGATCCTGCTCACGAATTTAATAACTTTGGCGAAGCGTTCGACGATCATAACCGGTACTCTGCTCAGGATTCTGAGCCACGCACTATACCACCTGGCCGTCGTTTGAACTTCTCTTGGAAGTCAGGTGCAGCAATAATTGCAACATTCTCCCTTACATTCGTTATTATCATGGTTCTTCGAAGCGTCTTACGTCAAACTCCGCTCCTGTACAAACTCTTCGCCAACCTTTATCTTGCTGGAACTATTATTTTCGGTGGCGGCCCGGTCGTGATCCCGCTACTCAGAGAATATATTGTGGCTGAGGGATGGGTCAGCCCGCGCGATTTCCTCATCGGCCTCGCCGTTATACAAGCATGTCCTGGACCAAATTTCAACTTCGCCGTATTTTTGGGTAGCCTGACCGCTATCCATGGCGGATACCCCGCTGTTACTGGAGCCATTCTCGGTTTCTGCGGAATTTTCGCTCCTGGTATTATTCTCGTTCATGGAACAATGGGTATGTGGGAAGGGTTGCGAAGTCGACGCTGGGTGAAATCTGCGGTAAGAGGCATCAACGCCGGGGCAGTTGGTTTAATATATACAGCGGTGTATCGGATATGGCAGATTGGCTATATAGATGAAGGTTTCCAATCAGGCAAGAGCCTGGGAAATGATCCATGGTGGGTGGTCGTGGCCGCCACTAGCTATGTGGGCGGGCGATACTTTGGCATTGCAGCACCGCTCGCTATTCTTCTCGGTGCTGTGTTAGGCTTGATCAGATATGGAGCGATTTAGTTTGGGTATGAAAATGTACGCTCGATTCGCACATCTCCCGACAGCTCTACTCTCAACTTTATGGGATGTCCCAGATGTTCGAACATCATCTTTGCATATTCGACACTGTACCTCAGAAAAGTCTATATTTCGTTGTGGTGGAGGAATCTGACCCACGCTGAGAATCATGTCCGCTGGGCATAAGCAACAGAGCGTTATGGTAAAAGGATGGGCAAGGCGCAGGATGTGGAGCAATCATGGGTAGATAACGCGCATGTAGATGCAGAAAGATGCGTCGAACCCTAAAGCCAAGACAGGCCAGTCCCAAGAGTGCAAAATTAGGGCAAGAAGGGGGGCCAATGAGCGGTGGGCGTGGCAAGACCAACCATAAGTAGTTTAACTGGTGACGCGCGCTGTCGCACGCAGTGGCCCTGAAACGATGTGAAATTAAAAAGTGGAAAGAGAAAAGGTTCAAGGTGGCCATTAAGAAGAGACTTCAAGTTGGGGATATCAAGGTTTGCAGGGAGGTCATGCACTCATGGACTACATAAATGGCGATGTCTGCAACTAAGTGATATGCCAACTCAAATAATCAAGGAGAACACACCGTGCTTACCTCAGTCGGGGCCACATTAGTTATCTCGCTGACTTTGATAAACTCTGCGGCTTGCCGACATGGGGTGAGTTTGCAAAGCTCGTATTTCAGTCTCAGGCTAAGACATATGGGAATAACTATGTAGAGTATGGAATGACCCCGTATTAATAATGCTGATGATTGGTAATCTTAAACCACTGTTATCTCCTATATAAGGACCCATACCAGGCTTCCTAGGGCGAAGTAATTACTCAGGCCTCTTATATCATCGTTTCAAAGTCTTGGATATTAAAAGATGTTACCGCCAAAGATTTTTGTTACAGGAACGGTACAATTCACCCACTTTTTGAAGACCATGTTGACGTCCTTGCTGACTATACCATAAACGCAGAGCGGCTATGTAGGAGGAGATGTCCTATATGAGCTTCTGAGTACGCATCCTGAATGGGAGCACAGTATCACTTGTCTCGTACGAAACCCAGCTCATGAAGCACAATTCAAAGCAAGATATCCAAATCTGAGGCTATTCTTCGCTACGTTTGACCAACCGGCTGTTATTGAGGAGGAAGTAGCGAAACATGAGCTGGTCCTTCATTTTGCGATGAGTGCTGACAATGTGCCATCCGCAACAGCCATTGTGAACGGACTGCGGAAGAGGGGGGGAGGGGTCTATGTTCATACAAGCGGAACTGATATTCTTCTGGATTTGGGACATGAATTGCTATATACTCCAAATCGGATACATATCTTTAATGATTGGGAGGGGATTTCTGAGCTTACTTCTTTACCAGGTAAGTTTATATATGAAAGCTATCCCAAATCCTGCACGCACTAAACAGATTATTATCTCTTAAGACAAGGCTGTACATCGCAATGTCGACAAAATTGTCTTGGCAGCCGGCTCTGATACACTTAAGACTGCGATTGTTTG